ACATAGTATTATCAAAATGTAAATCATTCTTTATAGTTAGATAGTTCTAATCTATCGTTTTACTATACTTCTATTCAGCCAACAAATCATTAATAAGGGGGAAAAAGAGGGAGGGGGATCAAATATGAAAGAGTTAACGAATTCTTCATAAGGTATTCATTGACTGATTGAACTGCTGCATGTCTCTAGTCTTGGTAAATGAGAAGTTCTTTCTGTTTTAGCTTGAGCGCTCACAGGGAATTCCTAGCAAACCAAATTCTGATGATGACGGTATGGAAATGGATTCAAGAATAAGCCGATAGTAAGTACGGATCATCCTTGTACAAGAAGTTATTGTTGTAGTATAACACTCTGTCTCTAGAAAAACTACCAGGATATTCCACAATGCATTTTGATGCAACTTTGTAGTCGGAACAAATTTTAGTATTATGTTTTTTTTTAACTGGCAACTTATAAACAGTAGGTAGAACATATTTCAACGTGTGTTCAGTGACCAATAGAGTACGAAGGAAAATTTACCATTCGTATTGAAAGTGAGAACAGCTGTTCAGGTGTGAATATGGGAGAATAAGCAATACCGATTTTGTAGGTACAAGTACAATTTTATTAATAAAACCAAGTTCGTCTGTACAATCAAAGCATAACTCTGAATTAAGGAAGCATTAAGTTACAGGGTATAACATCTGCGTAGAAATGAGATAATTCAGCATTACTGGTCTAAGAGGACGAAACAGTCGTATGATGCAGTTTACTTCAGTGTTTAGTTCTAATTTATCTAACTCTGATATTGTGTTGAAACGTGCGATTCACTTGTACGTCTTTTGTACAATCTTACTGATTACACGAGATAACATCCACTGTTCTTGTCGTTGACAGCCATTACGTGGATGATGGTAACTCCATGGTGGAAAGGCTTAACGAACGGATAAAGGCAATTACGAGACTTAAACCTGTCTATCCTTCCGCCGAGGTCCTGCAGGTTAGAAAACCTCCACTCTGAAATATATCCTGTAACTGAGCTAGATGTCATGTTACTTTATCATGTTTAACCGAATTTGAAATATTATGCAGAGGATAGTTCGATTGTTCGAAGAAACTACGTTTGTTTGTTTGTTTGTTTTTATTTAATATTCCAAAATGACTGTCTTTTAAGTACTTTGTCATCCTCGATACTCCAATGGTTACAATTCCGTTCACTCTCTGCAACCCTGGAATAGTTCAGCGCAAAATTGAAGGCTCTGTGTGCGACACCTTGTGGATAAGACGAAAAACCTAATATGATCCTTTTTCATTTCGGAATATTTTATTGTCATGATTTTACTGACAAAAGGAATTGTAAAAGCAAACAGATCATTTGATGTACATCAAACGAACATCGAGGTTGCGTAACAGTATGTTGTACTTTCTTTGAAGTTGGGAATCGCTCAGTTGTTATTTTCAAAGGATCGTATCGTTCTTTGATCGGTTCGTTTTTTCCCACCTAAAACTCGCTCTAGACAATTCAATCGTCTTACTTGTAGCTTCAATTTTGCCATGAACTGTGCCAAGGTGGAAGAGAGTGGCACTGAGCGTAACCCCTGGAGTATCGATGATGATACTTTGCATGGAAATTATTGCCGTCGATGATTACAAAGGTTTTAAAGTATAAAGTTCATAATGTTGGAACACTGTATTGTATAAAGTTATAAGTTAAATTTGACTATTTTGCCCGGAAAACAGGTTGTCGGTGGATTTAGGAATATATCGTAGATCAGTAGATGTGTTATAGAACCTCTGTCTGGCATGAAATAATATCTCTTTTGTTTCATAGGTTGGAAATTATGGAATGGGAGGGCAGTACGAACCCCATTATGATTGGTTCGGTAAAGACGTAAGTAGAGTTAAAAAACACATTAAAGTCCAGTTATTTTAGCAATAGATGTATTGAAAATGAATGAGTAAATCACGTAATAAAGAAAAGATATTCTATGCTTTTTATTGAGTATTACGAGTTGAATTAATTAGATAATAACCAAACTGGGCTTTATCAGTGAAGAAAACAAATGGCAGGATTCGCGTTATATCGGAGCGATTTTATGTACTTCGTTGTTCACGCCTGCTAAAGCACTTATACTACATTGTAAATGAAATCATTGATACTTCTAATATTTCAGCAAGTACAAATTTTGACGGAACATAAAACCAACCGACTGGCTACGATGTTGTTTTATGTAAGTACAAACAAAGACATAAGTATAATGACGAATTCACGAGAACTACAGATATGTATTATAAAATGGTAAAACGTGGAAGATAAGTAAATAGACAAGAAGTTAGAGAGGTAGAATATCATCCTAAAATATCAGTATATCCTGAGGAATCATCAACAAGGTTTCATCTAAGAAATAAACATTTTTTCTCTCCGTCATGAGTCTTAAAATTATGTTATTATTTTGTTAAAATTGAGTATGCAACATCCGAAGTAAGAGTCGGTATGTAAAAGGTATGATATGCGTTCAATACATATATATATATGTGTGTGTGGGTGTGTGTGTGTGTGTGTGTGTGTGCAATAAAGTTTGATCAATAATTTACAGTGATTAATAAGCTAGATATCTAAAATCGACATTTCTTCAACTTTTGTGTTTCATCAATTTTAGTTAAGTGACGTACGAGCTGGAGGTGCCACAGTGTTTCCTCTAATCGATGTACATATACCTGTCCGGAAGGTAAGTTGTTGCCCGATGCGGTTTTTTAATTTATCTCTTTATTAGTTATTCACGTATCATGAACATCTGTTACCAATGAGATTAAGAGGTACTTTCTTGTAATTCTGTCAGAATTGCTATGCCATGTGAATTGAAAACTGACACAACACTTAGGCAATTGACACTATTGATTTTACTGTTTGAACCAAGATTTCATTCTAAGAAAATAAAAAGTTTTTATCATTAAATACGACCGTGTGTGTACGATTAGCATCTTTTTCTCGAACTCTTATTATGAATCATTAGTTTTAAACTTAAGATACATTTGACATGAGAAAAAGTAAGCTGCTTCGCTTCACTGGTATAAGATTCAATAAGACAACTAATGTTTCGAAAATATCATATTTTAAGGGATCTGCGGCATTCTGGCTCAACCTCGACCACGACTTAGAAGGAATAGAAAACACACTTCATGCTGGATGTCCGGTTCTGATTGGTTCAAAATGGATTGCCAACAAATGGATTCATACTCACGATCAGGATGTTCAATGTTTTAAAACAGACTCAAATGTAGAAAAAAATAAGTCGTGAGCAATATCAATATTTTTCTCCTGCATGACGACGAATACAGCTGTAATAGTTAGTACAATAGGTGTACTGCTTCCTACGTTTCGAGCATTACATATCGTTATCATTTTCCGAGGCAACACAATAACAATACATCTGGGACCGCTGCAGCCACATCATTACGTGATTAACATGTTGTATCTTGAAACCAGAAGCAACTGTTGTCACATCATACGTCTCATTTTAAAACTATCTCTTTCTGTAGCGCACCGTATTATAACAGATACTCGCAGCGTCAATAAATTGGCGCACACCATTTTTAACAGAATGTACGAAAGCAGTAATCAACACGATCATAACTGACACTGTTCTCGTTCAGCTATTAGATAATGGTTTAAAGAGAACAGGTAATTTGGTATGTATTTGTACTAGAATGCTAAATAAGATTAGGATATATTCACTGTAAAGTGTGCTTGTGTGAATGATTCCTAGAAGAAATTTGTGAAGATGTATGCATGCTTTTGTAAGAACCCGGCAATTAAATTGTTATTAAAAACTTTCGGTTTTCGGGATTTTTTTTTTAATGTGGTGCTGTGGAGTTTTCAATTCCTCCATTAACCTTGATGTAGATCTCTAACTTCTCTACAAAGTGAGATCAGTGGATAATTATCGGTCAATATGAATCAATCTTTCAACAGTCGATATGTGCTAACAAATGTTTTAACAAATATTTCAATCTTTATAAAAAGTAAACGATACACTGAAGCAATTGAAACAGAACGAATAAATTTACCTGTAAAAGATGAATGACTATAAGTTTGTAGCTGGTTTTACAACCCTCTTTATTCATCCGTATTTAGATCTGTACTGTGAAATTGATTGTAATGAATAGTCTTGTTTAAACATGAAAGATTTACAATTTGGCCTTGACCTCTCATTACTATTAGTCATTGTCGAATGATTTCTATTACCAGTTCGTTCTCTAATATTATAACAAGAAATCCCTAAAGAATATATTTTTCAGTTCACTAGAAGTTGGATTTTCAATAAATTCATCATTTCGTAGCATCCTCATAGAAAAGAATAAATCTCGGCTATTATAGTTTTGTGATCAGTTCCAAAATGTACAAAGCACAAATATACTAAGGCCCAAAGGGAAACGAAATATATCACATATAACATATGATATGTGAATTTTGTTAATGAGCCATCATGTACTTGTTAAAAATCCAGTTTTTCTTCTTGTCAGCCATTGTTTTAATACAATCAGTCCGAAAATGTACAAATATTTACCAAGGGATGCCTATTAATGAAATATCTGAATGACATACACAAATACTGTACTTCTCATGAAATAGAACTAGTAAAGGTGACTACATATCAGCCATTTTTTTCTTTGAATGGTCTCCAAATCAGAAATGGACAAAGGGAGATCAAAGGAAACCCATTATAAGGATTGAGATTTATCCAAAATAAAGTTTTCAAGAAATAACCATGACTACCTAAAGATGTTTAATCAAAGATGGCTGCCAGTTTTTTTTTTTTTGTTTATTTTTGTTTTTTTTAAGAAAAGCCCCAGAATTAACCATGCACAATTAATGAGAAACTTTGTTGTAAAAAAGTTTATGCAACTCTTTGAAAATACTACCATCATTTTTTTTTTGGTTGCATTTAGAAGCATGTCATAAAAAAAAACACAGAAACAACAAAATTTGGATAGATTTAATGGAGTACACGACAAATAATTTCATAGATTCCATGTATCTATATACAAATATCTATCAAATATGATGCTGCGTCATTCATATTCATAGTACATTATCAATTATGTCTTACTTGAGTAGCTTGATTTTATTTTCTGTTTTTTTTTTTTCTTTCTTTTTCAGTCCAACAATGATCAGTGCTAAAAAAACAACCTAAATATTACGCTTACTTGTCAACAGAAAAAACTAAAATGGAAAACAAAACAATAAATTTGAACACAATTATTTTTATAACAGCTAGGTTAACAGCTAGATTTATTGGTTTAAATGAAGCTGTTTAGGAAACTCACTCATCTTAATTGCTTTACCTTAAGTCTTGATACAGACTATTTAGTCTGTATAACAGATTTATGTCACGCCATGCCTTAAATCTTAAAAATAATGACAAACTGATCTGTCCATCTACAGAAATAGGACCCAGCAGTAGCAATAAAACCGTGACTGCTTCTGCTCCGTTTTGAAGGAAGAGTTATCTCCCATATACTTCACTCTTCTACATAATATTTGAAATCATCAAAAATAAGATAAAATGATATGAAAAATGATTTCATATATGTTGAATAGGTATCTAAAACAACATCTAAAAATATCTAAAATGTTCGATCCTATAACCATGACCATCATGTTGCACATTTTCACAATTCAATTTTGTTGTACATATAATAAATCAACAGACAAGTTGTCTTGATTTCCCCCCATTAATTAGCAATGCTGAAGATGGCTAACCTGTAATATTGGGAAAAATGCAAACATGTTTCCAGCATGATTAGAAATACAATTTATAAAATACTTCAAAAACATTGACACCGATTTGATAAAAACAGTGTTCTTAAAGTCACAAACATTTGTGGTATCTTTCTGCACGATACCCACAGATCCAATGAGAAATGCACGACATAATAATTCATCGAATCCAGTATAGGTAGACTGGTCCTCCCATAGAAAATGTTACCCAAGATATCAGGATTCATGAGTGAAAAAGATGTTCTAACTAAAAATATGGTCGTCATTTCAAATGCAAATGTCCATTGTTAAAATATACCTGCCAAGTGAAGCAGTGCATACATTTCAACACAATGTTCCGTCTTTTTCACTATATCTTAGTCACTGAAAGTTTTCTTTTTGCCTTCAAAATTCTGTATACTTCCTTTGGCAGCTGGAATGACAAATATAACAATCATTACAAGTAAAAAATTTTGACTAGAAAACTGATATGTTATTAAAAAGATCTGAGTAGTGGACCAATTGTATCCTCCATACTTCACTATACCTTATCATTTTCTGTCAGAAGATTGCTTCAATCATTGTGAGATCGTGAAATACACACTAAATATACAATGTGCACAATTTGACAGGATTGTTTAAAAGAAAACCAAATAGGAGGCTATTGTATGCTATCATAAAAAGTTGAAACAGTGTCAATATTAATAGTTAATTTACTGACAACATTTTCCTATTGATGATCTTCTTGTTTAACCAAAGATTCCAAGAAAATCATGTTGTCAGACTAATTTTTGGTTTAAACTTTCTGTCTTATAACTTACATGGACTTTTACCACGCCCACCACCTCCACGACCTCTACCCCTGAATCCACCCCGGTCTCCTCCTCGTCCTCTACCCCGGAAACCTCCACGGTCTCCACCTCTCCCACGGAAACCACCTCCTCGTCCACCACGTCCACCTCCACGTCCTCCTCTCTCTACAATATGGAATGAAAAACAAAATGATGTCAAAACTATTTAAAATACAAGCTGTAAAATAGATCACATTTTGTTACACTGAATATTTAATGAAAAAGATATAAGTATGAATATCAGATCTGCTTTGAAAACAGGTAATTCACTTAGTGGCATTCTCAAAATAATTTTCCAACAATGCTCTATATTTAGTTAACAAAAAAAATAAAAAAAGAAAGCAATTAATACAGAAATCTTACCTCCAGCAAAGTTCAAAAATATCTGCCTTCCGTCGATTTCCTGACCTGCCATTGCTTTGAAGGAGGCTTCGGCTGCTTCTACTGTATCAAAATCCACAAACCCAAATCTGAAATTCAAACACAGTCTGTAATTACAAATCATCATGTGCTTTCCATCTTCAATGATATGTTATCAAAGGAAATATGGATGAAGACCTGTTTCTATTAAATAGAATACTTCATTTCACGAGACCTTACCATTCCATAAGCGATGATTGTGCAATATCATGAAATATATTATAACTTATCTTAAAATAATATTTTTGCTGCAGAGCATTATTTGTCTACTTTTCAATGTTCAAAACATCATCTATATCCGTAATAGCACAGATAAAATCCAAAGTAAAAATGTATATCCTTAAACATCAGTAAATGTACAAACCCTCTAGATTTGTCAGTATCTGGAAATCTTGCAACTCTTGCTCCTGTGCATCCCTCAAATGCCTCTTGCAAAGTTTCACTGGTGCATGAATACGAAAGATTTTTTACAAATAAGACTTTCGACTTATCTCCTTCTGCAAAACAAGAAGAAAATACAAACTTTCAGAAATACATATATTTTGTATTATGTACTCTAGATCTCAACTTGGTATGCAACTTTCTAACTTCTCAAAACAAGTACATTGTGTAACAAGTTTGGCAATAGCTGATGAAATACGAAGGATGTTACATCCTACATAAACTATGATTTAAAAACTGAATACAAACATTCATCAATGTATGCCATCTGACAGGAAAACTGATTTTCAATTTAATGATGTCTTTCATTTCTAACAAGATAATGCTTCACTTCATTATTTTTTTTATAGAGAACTCCATTTAAAGACATCAGCATCCATTCCAATCTGCATATTTCAATCTAATATATACGATTCATTTTCAAAACAATATATCATAATGTAACCATCAACTGGTCAACTGAAATACTAGTTATTGAAACAAGTATAAACCTACTAAAACAACAAAAACCCTATTATGTAGCTTGCTCCAACTTAATTGAAAACACTTTAAATCAGAGTTCAAATTGCTAAAAGTTCCCTTTTTACTGGGTTTTACATCCTCACAACAGTCAAGGTCACAAGCTGGACGATGTTTAGAGTGACAAAAAGAGTGCATAAGAAAACAATGCAATAGCTGACAGAAAAGAATGGCAAAGGTGAACAATATGGGCAACAAATCTAGTTAGGTCTCCTCAGTGTCCACTTCGTAAAATGCACAAATTCAAAGGAGACTCACTTTTAGCCAACTCTAACGAGTATTTAGTGGTATAAAACATACCCTATTCTTGAGCTTTCCTATGACTCCTAAACAAAAAACATCAGGACACTCCCCCCCACCCCAACCCTTCCTCAAGGAGTGCCCCAAAATAAGTGATTTGTGAAAGGTCAAAAAATGTGAATGAGAGAAGGTGAAAATGAAGAAGAATCACTAATGATAGCATCAAGAGCTTCATAGCATATTTGTAATGCTTCCTTTTCACCAATGATAAAACATACCTGGACGTCGACCTCCTGGGGATCCAAAGCTATTATTTTGTTTTGGTTTGCCTCCTGCTTTGTCTAAAAACAAAGCATTTCCTTCTAATTCTGCTCCTTGCTTTTCGGAGAGCATGGTTTCAACTTCATCAGCACTTGAAAATACCACATATGCAAATCTAAAGAGAACAAATAAAAACACATTTTATCAATTTAATCACATAATCATTTGAAAAAGAAATTTTGTCAAATTAGCAAGAGTTTACCTCTACAAGAGCCATATCACACAGGATTTATGCATGGAATTAAATGCTTAAGAAAATGCCAATAATAAATTGCTTTATCCTTAAGCAAAAGTAGATCATTCTACTGAATGAGCCAGCAGCAGGAATAGTCATTTTTCTTTTAGATTTGTTTGGTGAATACGATTTTTATACAAGACATTGACTCATCTAAACTGATATATATATCCTTGCATGTTAAGAAGTCCTAGAAGAGTAAAAAGTCAGTGCAAGATTTACTCTGACTATATCTGTGCTATATTTCTTATGTATTACAAACAAAAACAAGTTCCTACCCTTTGGGAGTACCATCATGTCGCTTTGGCATGCGGACAGATGTGGAACCTGTAAAGAACTCTTGTATCACATCCTCTGTGACATTTTCTGCCAAATTCTTCACAAACAAGGTAGTTGCATCTGAATCCCCTGTTTAACAAAAATGTCATACTTAAGTGGATGAAAAAATTAATCAAATTGTATATTTACAAAGCTGGTGTAGATGTTTCAATACCAACAAATTATATTTGAACAAAATACTTGTTTGTAGTGGCAAGTAAATAAAAGCAATTAACCAATGCGAGAATTTTCATGACAAGGGCAAACAATGAAAAATGGATTTAGTCTTCACTTTAATTATGGTTAGCAGTTTTTTCAAAGTCATTAAACTCACAAAATTAAACAGTTTTATAATAGCATTGAAAGTTCTTATATAAAGTATGATTTAAGTCAGACTCGAGATAATGGATTTATTCCCTTCCCCCTCCCCATTCCTCCCAAACAAATAATATATTTAACTGCAAAGCATGGTTAATATCCCTTATACTGTGGCTGTATATAACACTATTTCAACATTCTTTGGCATATCATTATCAAGACAAGGTTAGCACCAACTAGAGATTCTGAACAAACTTACCAAAGTCTTTTTTCTGTTTGTTTGCATCTGATTTTGCCACTGCTACTTTCATGTCTTTCACACCATCTAACTTGAGAGCCTTATCCAGTTGTGATGGGTCAGCCAAATCCACATAAACATACCTGTGTACAATCAATATATTGATATAGGTTATCTGCTATTTAATCCAGAGTTAGAAATCATGTCAACATGTAATAGTTGTTAGCAGCATTTTGATATAATGTATTTCAAAAGTGTATCAGCAGATCTAATGGTTTTGAATTTGATTACAAGTTTTATAATGTGTCTCTTTTTAAGATGGTCTTCCAAACAGTAGTAATCTTTTGACAACTACAGATAAAAAAATGTTTTTTACTCAACTCAACTGAAATATCAGGTGTTCATCATTAATGTTCCTTTTAAAAAGACTTCCAACAATGCGACCAGTTGTCACTGAGAGATGAAGAGGCCATAATTCCTACTTTTGTAATGTTAGTTCACTTCAAAGAAATAAGTACATGTCAAGATATGAACTTATTGGTTTTGTTAACTTCAATTTGTAACACTACATGTTCTTTCTCTTTAAACAGAAAACTGACAAATTAGGACTGATTCAATGACATACTAATTCATAAAGGATTAACTCGATATTCATTCTTATGTGCTTACCGTCCACCCTGCCTTGGCCTCCTAATTTCTGCCACAGATATTCCTTTCTTTTCAAATATCTTTTTCACTTTATCATCTGCCATTTCAGCTACATTATTTACATGTAGAGTTGCTGTAAATCAAATTGATATAAACCATTAGTGATTTCACACAAAAATGCATGAATTTTTATATACTTGTCAATGCTTCAAGAGTTGTCTTTTACACAAAATCATTGTATATATTTTTTCACATTTGAGATATCAAAGCAAGTTCAATTAATTTCCAATGATATCCAATTCATTTAAAGCAAGCTATCAGTCTGACCTGAGCATTAAAGCTAATTGATCTGTTAATCTGACCCAAGCATTTGTGTTAAATGATCTGCTAATCTGACCCGAGCATTCGTGTTAACTGATCTGTTAATTTGATCTGAGTATTCAAGTTTTCATACATGATACTCTTGAAATGATAAAACTACTTATCTTGATTTTGAAATATTTAACAATGCCACAAATTAAATGACCACTGACAAACTCTAAAAATTGAAATGAAAACTTGCTTTTTTCTTCAGGCTCTGTTTTGGCTTTCTTTGCTGGCTTATTATTTTGCATCTTTTTCCTCTTCTTTGTGTCTTCTTCTTCCTCATCACTGTCGTCTTCGTCATCATCATCTTCATCATCATCGTCATCATCATCTTCATCATCATCGTCGTCATCATCTTCATCATCATCTAACAAAAGAAAAATATGTTCAATCCAAAATTTTACTATGCAAGTACCCAATCTGTTAATTTTAGCGCAAGAACTCACACTCTAGTGAATTTGACAAAGACTGCTATGAATCAATCTCAAACTGAAAAGTATTTGTGTGTTAACATGAAAATATATCAATTGAAACTGCGGGGTATTGACATGCAGGGAAGGCCAGAATTATAAACAGTGTTTTACCGAGTATCAAAAAACATTGAATTATACATAGGGAACTTCTTTTAACTTTTCTCATGTTTTTTATATTGATCAGTAATGAATACATACCAGCTGGAGTTACCATCTTTGCTATACCATTGGCCTTAACAGGAGTTTCTTCTGTAAAGAAATTACAAAATCACCAATGAATAACAAAATCTACAGAAAATAATCTTCTACATACATACAAATTGTACCAAAGGAAAGGTTCTAAAGACAAAAACAACTATGGCATACATTCTGACATTAATCTTGCTTGATTAAAATGGAAGCATTCAGAATAACTTGGAAATCATTGCTGTAAGAAAGAAATCTGACACTCGATTCTTTAATATAGACCTGACAGGACTTAAGGAGCAGTACTCTCAGTGAAAATATTATTTCTCACAATGAATGTATCAAATATCAGATGACAGGCCAAATGGTTTCCTCAGGCCTTTTGCTGACAATTATAAAAAAGCGAGAGGCCATCTACAGAAATCAGAAATATCAAGTGTTTTGTGAGTAGTAATTATAGAACAATATATTCTTAAATTGCAGCAAAAAAAACCCCAAAAAACACTATAAATCTACATATGTTGTATGGTAACATCCCTATACCCCTTCAGACTTTCAGTTGCATGGGAATAAAAGTTTAAAACAGAAGGAAATTTCTTGACTTTTTAAAAAAAAATTTGTCCAATTTAGAAATCTTGTAGCGATAAGAACATGTAAAGTTACTTAATTAAATTTGACAATTTGAAAGGAAAACATTGAACATACCTTCTTCTGAATCATCATCATCTGGAAAATGAGAAGAAAATCAATGTTTAAGCTATTGGTATGTGTATGAGAACTGGCATATTTTAACTTTGATTATATTCTAATTTGAAATATATATTAAATATCTTCGAAAAGTAATAAAATTAATTCATTCATAATTTTCTGTTTGTATCTTTACATTCAGCTCTAGTATTACTAATATACAAACTCTTCATCAGTTTTCAGATTGAAAAAAAAAATCTTCCATATAAATACTTACCTTCATCATCATCATCATCGTCATCATCATCATCGTCGTCATCATCATCATCATCACTTTCTTGTGCTTTTTTCATAATTTTCTTAGGAGGACTTTTCACAACTGGGACAGGTGTCTCTACAAAGATTGACATTGATATTAAGGACAGAAGAACACTCGGGGCTCTCACATCCCATTTTGGGACTGTGGCCCGGGCCCTTAGAACACTCAGGGCTCTCACATCCCATTTTGGGACTGTGGCCCGGGCCCTTAGAATTGGGAAAAATAGCGGCATTTTCCTAAGAATTGGGAAAACTTGGGGTGTAAATTGGGAAAAAAAGATACTATTTTGCATTGGGAATGGGTCCAAATATCGGCCCCAAAATCTGGCAGATCGAGAGCCCTGACATTGTTAGCATATATGTTTTTTCAATTCAAAGATTTTGACAATTACCCAACATTATGTTAGTCTCAGTCCGACTCAGGAATAAGTATAGATATTAATTGACGGGCAATGCAAGTAGTGGATTTGCATATAGTTACCATGCAAATAGTTAGCAGTAATGGCCATAAAACATTTGGTCAGTCCAAACATTATTATAGATATTTTTGAACCTGTTGAAACTTTGCCAAATTATGCATGTGATTAAAAAGTCAAGTTTGACAAATCATTATCAGTCAACAATAATTTCAGGAATTGTTAAATATATCAGCATTGCCAATAGACAAAATATGTCTCTTTCCAATTATTAAGGAAATGTTATGTTAGGTGATTTATTAATTTCAATCACAAGGAAAAAATGAGAAATTCTTAAGAATTTTTTAAAATCTTAACTTCTTACCATCATCATCATCAGAATCATCATCGTCGTCATCATCGTCGTCATCATCATCATCATCATCATCATCGGAATCACCAGCTTTTCTTTTGAGTGCTACTTTATTTTGTTTTGTTACTACAGGTACCTTGAAAAGTGATAAAACACAAATTTAAAATTGTCATTGAAACAATACAATAGGAACATAGACTGTTAACATTCAAAAATGTTATTCTAGGAATTTGGGTTTGGTTTAATTAAGTTTATGAAATCAGCATCATTTATCCACTTTATCAGCAAAATAAAAATTAATACTAAAATCTTTAAAAATGGTTACACATTATTTTTACCTCTTCTTCAGAATCATCTTCTTCTTCAGAATCATCTTCTTCACTTTCAGATTCTACTGGTGGTGGAGGAGCTACTGCCTTCCCTTTCTTTCCTTTGTTGTTTGGAGTCATTGCTCCCTTTACATCGGAAACAAAAATTGATACATGAACAAACGTATTGGCAGAGTTTACCATGGTAATTTGAATTTAACATCAAATCTATATTGTCACATAAAAGTGGGAACTTCTTTTTCATAAAGCATCAATAAAGAAAACTACATTTAAACAAAATCTTGTTCAAACTCAAATTTGATGAAACTACATGCAGAAAAAATAATGTGGAGACAGTCAGTGATGTCAAATTACCAAATGAGAATTACCATTCAATCCGTGTGCAGGATACATGTAAAACTGAATATTCTTTCCACAATTATCATTTCAATGCTGACCATGGAATGGGTAATTTATTTTACTAACTTAATATATCATATGTCGACACCACACTGAATATTAATTAAAAGTCGATAAAGCATCTAAATAGTTTGGACTAAATTATAGATCAAATAAAGATGAGTCACTTTTACTAGTCCGTTGACGATATGTATGAATATTTCATATTTTGGAATTTGCAATTCCGTTTTACAAGTCAAAAGCACAAGTATATGTTAGAGTGCCTTACTAATAAACGCTGCAGAGCAAAACTCGTTCGTATTCTGACCTAACTTTATAATCGGGATTGGCGATCACCTGGTTATATGCAAAGATTCTTTCAATTAATTTCAACATAAAGCTAAAGATACCTAACAACAGATAAAGTTTGTTTTATCTAACTTGTCTAACAAAAGTTAATAAAGATCATTTCAGTGAAACAATTGTGAAATCTTATTTTGTGCGACCACGTGGTTGCAGATTGGCGACAACATTGTGGAGCACGTGGAGAAAGCGTCAACATTCTCAATGCATCCGAAACCATTCTGTTATTTCATTACAATTCCTAACTCATACTAAATAGTTTAATAACTTAACTTACCTTTTTGCCTTTAACGTTTTTGGGTGCCATTTTTGTATATAACTGTAAGGAATGGCAGAATAAATTGGCACTAGATTTAGAGCGTGGCTGCAATATCGACCATGTGTTAATCAGAGAGAGTGGTTGATGTTTAGTTTCGTATTTTGAGATGCTATTTTCAAATTCATTTGATAAAGTTAACTTAATATAACTTATTTAAAATATCTATTACATCGATTTATAACTATTTAGCTGATATTTATCCGATAAATCACATCTTTTTAGCCAATAGCCATCTTTTCGTACTTTATTTTGTATGCTGCTATTCAAATCACACTAAAGTTCTGAGTTACATTTACACTACACGAACAACCCGGATCGATCTTCCACATGTTTTACCATACGTGTGTAAATTGAAAAGAGGAGTTGCAAGGCTGAATTGATAAAGAAAAATGAAAATCAAGAGAGAGAAGTGAGAGAGTATTACAGTAAATCCCATCACGATCAGAACAGACGATTCGATACTTCAGAATAAATGACATGCAAGAGAGAGTATTGCTGTAAATTTTATTTCAATCAGAGCTTCAGAATTGATGAATCGATACATCAGAATAAATGACACGCAAAACATTTTAATATTTTAAAAAAGAAAATGTTTAACATGCGTCATGATTTAATTTGAAGTAAACAAAAGGGGTGGAGTGCCACATAATTTATGGATAAATGCATTGCCAGTGGTGCCCTTTCCTCTGCACAATATTGGGATTTCCTATATACACATTTTTTAAAACTTCACTTTTCCCTGTCTTTCAAAGATGAAATGTGACCATCGACTGAATAACTTACACGTTTATCTAATTAAAGGGACACAACTCCAATACGCATCCGACCCGACATCTGTAAACTTTAGTATGTTCCCATAATTTCGGTTGCGTTGTTTTCGTATTACTAAATTGTATTTTCAATATCCAACCATATCAGTGTCGAGCAATGAAGTATATCGCTTAATACTTTAAAAAACTATCAGCTGTGCTTTTTAAACGACATTTTGATGTCTGACGAAGCTTTCAAATATTTTGTTTAACTATTTTGTTCGAAACTGTTTTTCTAGCTTTTAATTCAAAACCACGTGCAATATCCCTTAAAATTCTACAAACACGTGGAACAGAATGGTACCTAAAAAGAACAGTAGAGCCAAGGTAATCTGCTTACGACGACTTTTAGATGACATTTTTTTTTGTGAATCTTATATCCTAAGGTGATAATATCGTGAAATGTGATGTCGCTGTTACATCGCCAAAGATGCCTTTCAAGAAGTCCTCAGCTGAAATATTGCCATCATTATCATTTGGCAGAACATAAACTATCTGTTCATCTTTATAAATTATAGCGAAGAAAATCGAGCTAACTATCTTTGCTGCGTATTTAAACATCTCACGAAGTACATAATTCAACTTTTAAAATATGCAGTAGTAGGAAGTTGAAAATATTCAAATTGTAGCAAATATTTCTTTAATGTTTTGATATTTATAAACCAAAGTAAAATGCATTTTGAAATATTTACAACTGAAATATCTGTATTACCACCTCTATATTGTATACCACTGTCAGACCGAAATGTGAGCATCATCTTTAAATAGCTAGAAATAAAACGCTGAGTAATTTTCCGATTGACTTTTGTAAGTATATGTTACCTCACTTTGATGTAATACTTTTAGTAGTATTTTTGTTATGGAAGTGATATTCACTTCTTCACTGAGAGACAAAATGGCACTTGTCAGGCTGGTCAGTATTAAGTCCACACTAACTACCGTTGTGGTATCACACAACATGCCAAAAGGTTTGTGCAGACATCATACAATCATCTTCTGCATACCATCTGCACAATACAGTATCAATCACACAACTGTGTGATTGGATCGCACATTTTGTGTGATGAAGTAAAAATTGCTGATATTACAGATTGCAGATCAAACGAAAAAGCTGTGCAGTTATGACTAAATAATGATCATACACATATTAAATGTTGATCTGTAATGATAAAAGTTATTTTTTACCCATTCATGAAAATACAACTTGACCCTGCACTAATTCATCTATTTAGTGTATAGTTTCACAACTCCTAGAAAGACTTACGTTGTGTCTTGGACTAAAAAAATTCTTTCTGACGGTATAAGATGTCCGTATAATGTTTACATATATAATGTAATGAGTGTCTGTACATTAAGACTTGTCACATGTGGCACTTTGTAAACAAACTGTTAATTACAACTATTCAGCCTAACCTATGGATTTATGTTTCAATTAGGAAATATATTTAGATGTACTTATATATTTAGAAAGTAAATAAATCCTATCCCACACTTATTCAGTTTTCTTATGGTGCAGACGTGTGTATATCGCACATCATGTAACTTGCGATCCCACAACTGTACATATACAGCTTTGAAGATAATGGGTGCACAGATAGATAGCATCAGATAACAATAGTAATAAGGAGGGTTTTCATAGCTCAGTGAACATAGACAAAAGCTAAAGCCAGAGAAGTCTAACACTATAGACTTAGTTTCTTATCTCTATATTACATATAAATATATATACTTTATTTATTTTAAAACATTTGTGAAACAAGCTATACACTTAAATTAATCACTCTTGCTGGCATGCGAGCGGTCTTGTTTTTGGAGGAAAGTGGAGTACCCAGGGAAAACCCATGTAGTCGCATAAGTGATTCTATACCTTTAAACATCAGTGCCAGGAATTGAACCCAGGACACCTAGGTGAAAAGTGAATGTGTTACTGCTGCGCCTCTGGATCTCTCTACATTACTCGATGTATGTTCCAGAGATATAGGAAAGAAAAAATACTCTTTTCTTGTGCATTCGGTACAGTGTAGATTTTAACATTAATATATCTTATTTTAACAGTACTGGTCAGCTATTCAAGTAGTAAAGAGCAAATGTGTCCCAAGTTTGAAAGTCCTTTTTACAATTTAATGTTCATTTCAGACTCCTGTGGCACCTAAAGCTAAGAGTACCGCATTGTTACAGCCACCAAGGTCTGCTCCTGTATCACGGAAGGCAAAGTCATCAAATCAGAAAGATGATGAAGAGGTACTGTCTAAAATGTAAAAAATGAAAAGAGGGTATTTGAGATAGTGTCAAAAAATATCTATTTCTCTCCATTGTTTTCCTTAAAAGTAAATTATCAGTGAGTGAGTTCATTTGTAGATGTGCTATTTGTTTATAGTATAATTAACTTTTACAAACTTCTACCATAGCTGCAGTTGACAAATAATTTAATGTTAATTTTTTTATGTATATGTAAATGCAAAATCTTTTTCTTATAGGCAGATGCTCCTGTTGCCAAAAGACTCTTCTTGAATGGACAGGTATTGTGACCAATATATGTTGTTTTAGTTTTGATTCAACACCTCATGAAACTAAAGATAATTTGCTGAATAGATGCCACTTTAGTTCTATACTTTGGCTGTTCATGGGACAATAAACGAAAGAAACAAAACAAAACAGGTGGATTCAAAGGCATACAGGAATTGGTGTCCCTCTACCTTAGTTTGTCAACCCAAGTTTATCTGTTTTATTCTGCAACTCGTAAAAGACTTTAATTGCACACAAGGTATTACCATCAATAGTTTTTTGAACTGACAGATATTGCCCAAGTTCATGGTATGCTGTATTTGCTCTTTCTTTGAATGACTTTTCAAGCATTGAAGGATCAATGATCACTATAGAGATAGTCAGTAGCTGCCTCTCTGACTTTCAATTACAATTTAATGTGTGTAGTACATCTATAATTCTTGATTCATGGACACTGATACACTGTATCATTCAAGTATCATTTGAAGACGATAAGGAAGTCCCCCTCCATAGATTAAGTTCATTATACAGTGTTAAGTTGGTTCACTTTGAGCTACTATTTCAACCATTTCTCCAATTGAAGTTATGATGTAGGAAACATCCTATATTGACAATAATTGACCAATTGATTAAACAAAACCTTATTATAAATGAAAATCTCACACTTTTTTGTTAAGGATGCTGGAGATTCTGCAGGAGCATTGAAAGGTGAGTAGCATATAAAATAGGATTAACCCTATATATATGTGTGTAAACATATAAAATCTACAGTTATCACACAGTAAATAACTGGCATCACAGAGTAAATAAACCAGCTATCACACAGCAAATAACTGGTATCACACAATAAATAAACCAGTTATCACAGCAAATAAACCAGTTATCACACAGTAAATAAACCAGTTATCACAGTGCAAATGAACCACTTAAATTATCACACAGCAAATAAACCAGTTATCAAAGAGTAAATAAACCAGTTGTACAGCTAATAAACCACTTATCACACAACAAATAATCCAGTTATTATACAGTACTAGGTATCATACAGTACTAGGTATCACACAGCAAATAAACCATTCAAAGTGTTACAGCCCTTTTTAAACCTAACTGTTATGGACACACACAGTATTGTTGGACATTCATGTACAGATTTATTCAGTACCTATATGAATAGCAAAAACATACAAACATTGATGGTTCTGGGTTGCGTGATAACCACAGGTCGATAGAAATACTGATACCTGAACTGCCTTGCAATGATTTATCACTGAACAAAATTAGGAAGTATCTATCCAGAAATTAGTGAATGCTGGCAATTATATTGACCTACTGACCCAACTATATTGATTTTCAGTTGAAATATAAGCCAATGTTATTTCACCATTATATTGTGCTTTAATAAGCCCACCTCCTGAATTTGAGTAAGAATTGGTATATTTTGGTCCCATTTGATTATTGCGAAGAAAATATGGTATACAATTTGTTAGTATGCAATTGTTGAGTGATTTGATACCATTAGTAATAGGTTATGGTAAGCACATAGTTAATTAGTTCTTGCAGACATTAATGTCAAGTTTCAAGCCTGATATGGTGCTCCAACTAACATTTTGCATTTATTATGTAAACATTAGTTCTGGAAACATTTTTATTAATAGGTGGAAAGAAAACACCTCTGAAGAAAGCACAAACTCCAAATCCTAAGGCGAAAACACCCAAGATGGAAGCAGCCGACCTGAAGACAAAAACTCCAGTTCTTAATCAGAATGGAAAACCTACTACAAAGCAACAAACTCCACGTTCAAAAGTGAAAACTCCTGCTAAAGTAGAAACTTCATCCCTGAAGGCAAAAACTCCAAACCCAAACGTAAATACACCTACAGTGCAAACTCCAGCTCTGAAGACAAAAACACCAGCTAAAAAAACTCCTGCTAAAGTAGAAACTTCATCCCAGAAGGCAAAAACCCCAAACCCAAACGTAAATACACCTACAGTGCAAACTCCAGCTCTGAAGTCAAAAACACCAGCTAAAAAAACTCCTGCTAAAGTAGAAACTTCATCCCTGAAGGCAAAAACACCAGCTAAAAAAACTCCTGCTAAAGTGCAAACTCCAGTCCCTACCACAAATGCTCCTGCTAATGTAAAAACTCCAACATTGAAAGGCAAAACGAGTGCAAAAGTGCAAACCCCAATTTCAAAGACAAAAACACTGGCAACTAAAATGTCAACGAAAGGCAGGACCATGTCTTCAAAACAGAAAATGGAAGTGGAAGATTCTGATGAAAGTGAAGAAAGTGATGCAGATATCGATTTGGAAAATATAGGTAAGCTTTGAGGGACACATAAATACATTTTCTCTGATTTTTTTTCTTTGTGAAAGCCAAACTTTGTACAAAGAATATTTGGTAATTAGAAACAGCACTTCATTGAAATGAAATATTGTCTTTAAAAATCTACCAGAAGTAAAAAAATTGAAAAAATAAGAGACTTAACCTCCATGTTAAGACCAGTTTGATGGTGGTGTCCAGTAGATGAAGGTCTTCCTGAATTGTAGTTCCTCTTTATGAGCAATTGATAAAAAGAAAAAGATTACTGCTAGACAAAAAATATGTCCTCATTCAAAGTGAATTTAAAATATCCTTCAAATTTATGTTTTGATATGTGTACAGTATAATTCATGACAAGGACATGTAACAGTAAGTATTTCTCAAGTTTTTGTTGAAAAAAGGAACAAATTTTCAACGAATAATCTTTAAGGATTTTTAAAAGATTAAATTCAGAATTGAAAAAAAAAAACACACACACATTATGAGAGTTGTTTTTGCTGGATTTGTAGGATTTAAGTGATCTGTATGAATGAGTACTATGATACATTGACCTGAATGTAGAATGGTACTATTTACTTCCCAACAAGACGATAAGTTGATGCCAAATGAAATTGATGTTTCTGCTCTGAATCCTGACTTTGACTAGAGATACCACAATAATTTTATTTTATTACAGATTCTGAATGTGATAAGCAGAAGCATAACCTCAAAGTTTGAACTATTTAACAAAAGATTAAAAAGATAAAACATTCTAATTAGATGCATTCCTCCATTTACTTTTTTAAAGGCAAAGCAAGACTAGAAGAAGACAATAGTGAAGAAGAGGAAGATGATATAGGTATGTACCACAGATATTAAAACCCTCTTATCTGTTAGTTTATATTAGTGTCCAATTACTTACCTCAACTAAACCTGAGGACTAAGGTAATCTAAGCACTATCTGTTGGTTCACAAAGGTTTTTTACTTTTGACAACTCTTTCAATATACAATATCTACATACCTTCTGGTCTGACACTGGTATTCAACTCTCAGATGTGGGTCTAAAGGACTATTTGGCCTTATTTGGACAATGTTGAAAATTTTACCCTTGATCTCTATAGAATGAGATATACATCCAGATATTGAGTGCATGTGTCTTGAAGCTCTAATTGATTAGCTCTACTTTGATTATTGCTTTACAGTCTAATAAAACTGCAAGATATAAGAAATACTAGATATAAGTGTATCAATATTTTAATAGGAGTTTCTGAATATCTGCCTCAGCTTGAAAGTTCCACTTTGATAGTACTAAAATGAAATCGAAATGATAACCCACCTTTTATAGAGATTATATCCGTTCTGTCGGTATGAAGTAAACAGTATCGAGGTCCAATTGTTTCATTTTACAATATCGTTCTTTCAAATACAACATAATCAAGGATCAACTAATTTATAAAATTTCTCTTCAAATTAGACATGGAAGATGATGACTCCCTCGATGATGATGATGATGATGGTGATGATGATGAAGAGGAGGAAGATGATGATGACGATGATGAAGAGGAGGAGGAAGAAGAAGATGATGATGAAAAAGAGAAAGATGAAAAGGAAGAGGACAAAGAAAACACAGGTGAAATTAACAGCATCTGCTCATTAAAAAAAAAAGAGCTAGATTGCAGCATATTCCATGGAAATAGAATGGATACCCAAATCTATAGGGTATTTCCTGAACATATAATAGATATATCCTGACAACGAATTGTCTGTTTTCCCATTAATAAAGTTGCTTTGTTGTCCATCTTTTCAATAATGCAAACATTTCTGTTCTGTATTAAAGTGTAAATATATGCCCAAGACGAGAGCAGTTAGCATATATCAGCATCGTGATGTATCGTGATTAGAAAAGCAGGACAAGGATATTGCGGAAAATTTTAAGATTGGCGATATCGCCACAGACAAAAAGAAGTAAGGACGTGGCTTTTAGATGTATTAGATTTCTTAATATATTAAATATTATTTTGTCTTTCAGTGCAAGGAAATTCATCTATGAAAAAACAGGATGTGGAAGGGAATGGTAATGGTTTTTGTCAAATTGTGATATCACAAAAACAGAAGTCTAAGTGTAAGGTTGTTGATATGTTAGATTTCAAGTCAGTTTGATAGAATTTAGCTGTCACAAATGTCTTCAAGACTTAAATGTATCTTGATAGTGTGTTAAACAGAATCTTTTCTTCCCAGATTTCAACATTCTAAGACATGTTTTCTAAATCTCAGCAGAAAGTGAAACTTAAATGATATTATGATAATTATCAGCACATCGTGACACGCATATATATATATATATTTTTGTACATTAACTAAATTCACAGTTTGCATTTGATCTGGTGCAAACATTAGCTTTTGACCCCTCACTCCCAACAGTATAGATTGACAAGTCTAATTTGTAAGAAAATGTTTTAATTTGTTTTTCAGTTGGGACAAATATGTCTCTTAAGAAACAGGACATGGATTGGAAAGGTAAATTATTATAGATTGAAAATCTGCTGATACACTGTCATACGTTTTTCTACATGTAATGAATATTTCGCAAAGATATAAGTAAAAAGTAGAAAATAATCCAGCTCTGTCATAGGTTAAGAAATTGCTTTGTTACAAACTAGTTCTTGGAAATAACTTCTTTTTTTTTCATTTTCATTTCATTCGATATGTTAACTTTTCCATTACAGTATACTTTCTATGCAACTCATAATAAAATTTGGCTATTTTTAGAGGATCTTGACAATAGGTCATTGTTTGTGAGAGATTTCCCAACAAAAACAAAGGTGGAAGATCTAAAAATGTTGACAAAAGATGTTTTAGAAGTTTATCCTAAACCACATCTTGGCTGCAAAAAAGGAAGTTTAAAGTAAGTAAATTATGGTGTCACATATAAATATAACCCTATTACATCAGTGATATGATTGTGTGTGTGTGTGTGTGTGTGCGTGTGTGTTATGGTTTGCATGTAAATTGTTGTAGTCACAACCCGTCCCTTGCCATGCACTATTTTGAGCCTACAATGACCTCAAACTTGTTATTGTGGGTCAAGCAATAGTGCTACATCAATACCGACTCTGATTTTGTAGACATTTTCATGGTGTTTACAAATGAAAGTCAGGTGACAGATGAATTATCGAATGAATTTTCTGATCCATGGCTGATTCTAAATAGATCATTGACACACAACTGAAAAGTTTCAGAATAAAAGAAGACCTGGGATATTTTATCAACAACTTTAATAATGAATTAATACATGGTGATTCGATTCTGAAACATTTAGCATAAATCATAATTATAAATGTATTTGACATGAACACAATGCCATACAACACACCCTCCACACATACACAGTTGTATGGCACAGTTTTATTATAATGATATGATGAAATTACATCCTTGTACACACACATTGGATACGTATTATTTACAGAGATTGTATGGCACACAGACATATCTATATATGGATCAGTATTTACATATGTTTACCTCCAACATTTTCAGGAAACGAAAATTTTGTGTCAGCATGCCTATTGAAATTTATATAAGGTCATCAGAACATTTGTAAAAGAGAATTGCTTGAATCTGATGTCATGTGTCATGTTGTCAGTTTTGGTATAATAGAGATGCATCAGTATGTTGATGTGTGTGTGTGTTTGTGTGTGCGTGCGTGTGTGCGTGCGCGCGCGCACGTTGTAGTCACAGCCCGTCCCTTGCCATGCACTATTTTGAGCCTACAATGACCTCAAACTTGTTATTGTGGGTCAAGCAATAGTGCTACATCAATACCGACTCTGATTTTGTAGACATTTTCATAGTGTTTACAAATGAAAGTCAGGTGACATACATGTTATATGTATATTTCAATTAGGGACATTGAGTAACATATACTCTGTTTTGGTGAAAAATAAGAAAATCCATTTGTTTAACAAAAATATAGTTTCAGACTGTTATACAGATCATATGGTATAAAAGACGTGCACATTTTTATTAGGCAATTTAGATAGCTGATTATCTGAAAATGGTGCCTAGACTTATTAAATGGTTTGGATAAGCAGTTATCTGTATGATAATGTGATTGGATGAGGTGCAACTGATGAGCAGTTAGAATTTGAGTGGCTAATGCACAAAGGTGTGATGTATCTGGTCTCCTATCCTGTCAGATAGGTTTACCATAATAACTAGTCAGTGGTGTAATTGTCTTTCTATCAAGACAATATGCAAATGGTAATTTTTGATGTTTAGCTAATGTAAAGCTTTGTGCTGACATTTCCATTTAAAGTACTGTGTCTTTCCTGAAACGGATGCATCAGTATGTTAATATGATCAAAGTTGCACTATTTTGAGCCTACAGTGACCTCAAACTTGTTATTGTGGGTCAAGCAATAGTGCTACATCAATACCGACTCTGATTTTGTAGACATTTTCATAGTGTTTACAAATGAAAGTCCGGTAACAGATAGCTGGCATACTCCTTAGCGTACATACAAATTTTCAAGGAGGTACTAAATATTTTCTCTTCATCTGATGCTTCAGTACTTATTAAAATCGTTTTTCATGTTATGATGTTAATTAATCTTTGCTATTGTCACTTCATGATGTCAAGCAGATGAAAAGTAATAAAGGAAAAAATATGAATATATTTGAAACTTTTGCAAAACTGTCTGTAGAAAGATACCGCAATCTGTCTGTATTTTTGTGAATATTATTGTGGCATCATGTTGAGAACCAAAGTTAGTCATCTTACAAATATTTGGCGTTTACACTCTCTCACCACAGCTAAGTCTGTTCTGATAAAGAACAAGGTTTAGACATCTGGTCCTACAATCTTTTGCTTTAATGTATAGTTGTGTTGTAATGATGTATTGTGAAAGTTGACTGGTTTTCATTGTTAGTGATTGTACCCCACTGTTCCTCAGCTTAGGGGCAGTAAGGTGACAAATATAAGGGCAGTAAGGTGGCATATATAGGGGCAGTAAGGTGACAAATATAGGGGCAGTAAAGAGACACATATAGGGGCAGTAAGGTGACATATATAGGGACAGTATGGTGACATATGTAGGGGCAGTATGGTGACATATATAGGGGCAGTAAGGTGACACATATCGGGGCAGTAAGGTGACATATATAAGGACAGTATGGTGACACATATCGGGGCAGTAAGGTGACATATATAAAGACATTATGGTGACATATATAGGGGCAGTAAGGTGACACATATAGGGGCAGTAAGGTGATATATATAAGGACATTATGGTGACATATATAGGGGCAGTAAGGTGACATATATAGAGGCAGTATGGTGACATATTGTAGCAGTTCAAATCAGAAATGACCTTGGCCCTTATTTATAGTCACTAGACTAAATTGATTGAATAAAAATGTGGTAGAAACTGTTTCCATTTTGTTGATTATGTTTAGTCTGGAATATTGGCAAGATTATCAAACAATTTGTTTAAATGAATTTGAATTACCATAGCTCCACATTGAAAATCAGTTCAGTATAGGAGAAAGAAAATGAATGCCAAGTCAATGATACAGTCCTCTTTGGTCTCTTGTTTATGGTTAATTGTGTTGTAATGCACATGTACATGGAGGAAAATGCCTGTTTTGGTTGAATTTTCTTTTTCCAGATTCTATTAAAGTCACATTTCTTCTTTCAAACCTTAAATCAGCAGTGTGATTTCTGATCAAACTATTTCCATTTTTTTGAAATTACAGATGGGCCATTTTGCGGTTCAAGAATGAAGAAACTGCAATAAAAAACCATAAGTTGCTGAATGGAATGAAAATTGAGAATAACAAATTATATGCTGACTTTGTTGGCGCAAAGAGCAAGCATGCCACTAGAACATATAAAAATGGTAAATATTACATGTATGATTAAATTTCTTTCATATTATCAACATTGACTTGCTTCAAACTTGTAAACTATGTTTAAGTGAAAAAATGACATGAACTTGTACATAAATTTCTGCGTATGTGTATCCTTGAGGCAAAACTTTTATTTATTGTTTTATAATTTATCAACATTTAACATGATAACAGTATACCTGTAGTGTTTACTTATCATTAATTAAAAATCAAATTGTATCCTTGAGGCAAAACCTTTTTTTGATTCATCTTATACAAATTTGCTTTAGCCATGAAAACATTTCAATGAAGTGTAGATAATTTATGGAAATTTATTAGAGATATTCTACTTTGATATTAAGTATTCATAGTTATACATAGTTGTTGTGTGTTCTTCTATTCCAGATCCTGTGGATCCTTTATCGTTGTTTATAACTGGATTACCACTTACATGGAAAGAACTTGATCTCAGTAGATTATTTCCAAAAGCGAAATCTGTGCGTTTTCCTGCAACTAAAAAGCATAAGAAAGGAAAGCGAGATATAACAAATGCTGTAGGGTAAGTGGACATGTTAGTCCTGGAATTTCTATAAACACCATACAATTCATGTTTGTAAACTTTAAAAACTACTCTTTAATAAATGTGTTAACTCTCTATGCCATGTGATACATTACTATATAGAATACCTTAGGTATATCGTGCATGTCGAAAGTTCTTGTTCTGATGAGCACATTATAAGTAATTAGATGGTGGGCAGTTCACATTACCCAGCATTAGAAGGCACTGTGTCTATTCTGAAAAAAGTTATCACTATTTTTGAGAGATACTTAATGGAACTTTCCTAAATTTCTTGTGAAAGTTCCCGTTGGCCCCTTCTTGTATCCTTTTCATTTTGAGTGTGATCATAAAAACAAAATGGATGACAGGTGGCCATCTTGGATGTTGACTATGGAGATTGTTATTGCTGTATCTTGAGAAGCACAGAATGGATCATTCTCAAATTTTGATTTGTAGCCTCCTCTTGATCTCTAGTTTTACTCTCTTGATTTTGAGACCATCTGAAAACCAAAATGGCCAAGAGATTGCCTTCTTACATTTTTCACGATATTGATATCTTGAAGTATTGGAAGTATTTTTCTTTAATTTTTATTTTGTGGGTTTCACTTGGTCCCTAACGGAGGCGTATAAGGTCAATTTGGAAATTTGATCAGGAAAACAAAAAAAGGTCCTAGAGGCCACTATCTTGGCTTCGAGTGTTTAAGATTATTATTGCTATTTCTTCAGAGATATTCTTGAATTTCATATAAGGAGCGAAAAGTAGACAAGAACAGAAAAGAAATAACGAGTTTCAATTAATAAAGAAAAAATGGTGGATGCTGAGATCCCTCTGGGATCACTGTTTGTAAGACAAATCCATGATTACTGACTTAATGTTGGGATCACTGTTTGTAAGACAAATCCATGATTACTGACTAATTGTTGGGATCACTGTTTGTAAGACAAATCCATGATTACTGACTAATTGTTGGGGTCACTGTTTGTAAGACAAATCCATGATTACTGACTTAATGTTAGGATCACTGTTTGTAAGACAAATCCATGATTACTGACTTAATGTTGGGATCACTGTTTGTAAGACAAATCCATGATTACTGACTAATTGTTGGGGTCACTGTTTGTAAGACAAATCCATGATTACTGACTTAATGTTTGGATCACTGTTTGTAAGACAAATCCATGATTACTGACTTAATGTTAGGATCACTGTTTGTAAGACAAATCCATGATTACTGACTAATTGTTGGGGTCACTGTTTGTAAGACAAATCCATGATTACTGACTTTTTGTAAGACAAATAATTGTTGGGATCACTGTTTGTAAGACAAATCCATGATTACTGACTTAATGTTAGGATCACTGTTTGTAAGACAAATCCATGATTACTGACTAATTGTTGGGATCACTGTTTGTAAGACAAATCCATGATTACTGACTTAATGTTAGGATCACTGTTTGTAAGACAAATCCATGATTACTGACTTAATGTTAGGATCACTGTTTGTAAGACAAATCCATGATTACTGACTAATTGTTGGGATCACTGTTTGTAAGACAAATCCATGATTACTGACTTAATGTTGGGATCACTGTTTGTAAGACAAATCCATGATTACTGACTAATTGTTGGGGTCACTGTTTGTAAGACAAATCCATGATTACTGACTTAATGTTGGTGTGATTGTGTTCCAGGTATGGATTTGCTGACTTTGCAAGTGAAGCTGAAGCTAAAGCTGCACACGATAAAATGCAAGGAAAATCAGTAGAGGGTAAAACACTAGTGATTATGTATGCCTTCAAGAGAGATCCCAAGACTACCAATAAAAGGAACAAAGAGGTGGACAGCAGCTTGGATGGTGAGAACAATAATCGCATAATAGTCTAGGGCCACATAGCACACTGACTTACGTTTAGTCAAGGACACTTTCTATAAATAGAATATTGATATTGTTACTTTCGATAGAAGGTGACATGTAATGGAGTTACTGGGACCTCTATCAGGCCTTTTACTTTTGACGTCAAGTGCCGACTTCGAATGAAACACTGATTTCTGAACAGCATATTTATCATAAGATTTGTTTTCAGTCCTTAGACATGAGTATAATTGGTATAAGTAACTGTATTATGACTGGAGTAGAGGGAGCATTTAGGGGTTAAATCTATGATTATCATATAAACAAGTTTTAATCGCAATATTAGGTGTAATGGTAATACAATAATTTTACGAGATGTGATGCCTACTTACTACTTAGCCTTCAACTACTGAGTTGGAGTATAACTTTTAAATCACACCTGAGTGCTGTAGCTTAGATATTTGAATGTAAATGAAGGAAACTGATGAGATCAAACTTAGGTCGAATTTTTTAAGTTCAACTGGGTACTGCATTGATACAGGGTTAAATTATGTCTTCATATGTGGGATAGCAAGTGTGTTAAATGTTTATATGAGAGACTCATACTGTTTGAAGTAGGTCAAACTTTCTGTATATTGAGGATATGTAAGTTGAAAAGCTTATTGGAGGGAACAAGAGTAATGAACTTGTCTATATCATATGAAATAACCTACTAATTACGCTGCAAAGTATGAATTTACTGACTTATGATCTTGATCCTCTGAATAGAAATAGGAATAGGGGTAGGGAATAGGGAAAGGTCTCCAAATATACAAACATTGTTTAACATCCAAAAAAAAAAATCAAAATCCTGCTGATGGATTCAAAAATATGAATATCATAGTAATTCTGTAATACAGTCTGTAGCCTGCTTGCAAGTAAGTCAAATATCTCTTGTAATAAGCAACTTACAAAATCGTCAAGATTGAACTAAACACAATAAAATTGATGGTTTTTTGCATAACAGACTTGAGTATATTGGAACCAAACATCAGTAATGTGAATGCCATTTAGATTGGAGTGCAGTGACCAAATACAAGATATAAATTTACTGTCACATACCTGAATGTATTGTAAGTAAGTTATATGAATTTTTCACCAGTTGAGGACTTATTTTTAACAGAAGTACTTTCTTTATTCCTCATTGAAATTTCTCCTGAATAAATATTTTATGATTGATCCCAATTTATGAGTGTATGAATCTAGGTTATCATTCAAAGACGAGTTATTCTTGTTCTATACAGCTCCAGCTGCAAAGAAGGCTAAGTTATCAAAACAGGTAGAAAATGAAGATGATGATGACGACGACGACGATGATGATGATGATGATGATGGTCCAGCAGCCAAGAAAGCTAAGTTATCAACAAAGCAGGGAGAAAGCGATGAGGATGACGACGACGATGATGATGACGATGACGATGATGATGATGATGATGATGATGAAATGGAGGAGGATGACGACGATGATGATGACGATGATGATGATGATGATGATGATGATGATGATGATGATGATGATGATGATGATGATGATGATGACTGAATATGTTGTGAAAGAATTGAAAAAAACTGTGATATGGATAGAATGTTTCTATAGGAAGTCATAGATTGTTGACAGAGTACAGGAAGGATATATATATGTATGGTAGATCTGTTGACAGAGTACAGGAAGGATATATATATGTATGGTAGATCTGTTGTCAGAGTACAGGAAGGATATATGTATGTCTATTGGTAGATCTGTTGACAGAGTACAGGAAGGATATATATATGTCTATTGGTAGATCTGTTGACAGAGTACAGGAAGGATATATATATGTCTATTGGTAGATCTGTTGACAGAGTACAGGAAGGATATATATATGTCTATTGGTAGATCTGTTGACAGAGTACAGGAAGGATATATATATGTCTATTGGTAGATCTGTTGACAGAGTACAGGAAGGATATATATATGTCTATTGGTAGATTGGTAGATATATATATATTGGTAGACAGAGTACAGGAAGGATATATATATATATGTCAGGAAGGATATATATATTGGTAGATCTGTTGACAGAGTACAGGAAGGATATATATATGTCTATTGGTAGATCTGTTGACAGAGTACAGGAAGGATATATATATGTCAGGAAGGATATATATATTGGTAGATCTGTTGACAGAGTACAGGAAGGATATATGTATGTCTATTGGTAGATCTGTTGACAGAGTACAGGAAGGATATATATATGTCTATTGGTAGATCTGTTGACAGAGTACAGGAAGACAGAGTACAGGAAGGATATATATATGTCTATTGGTAGATCTGTTGTCAGAGTACAGGAAGGATATATATATGTCTATTGGTAGATCTGTTGACAGAGTACAGGAAGGATATATATATGTCTATTGGTAGATCTGTTGACAGAGTACAGGAAGGATATATATATGTATGGTAGATCTGTTGACAGAGTACAGGAAGGATATATATATGTCTATTGGTAGATCTGTTGTCAGAGTACAGGAAGGATATATATATGTATGGTAGATCTGTTGACAGAGTACAGGAAGGATATATATATGTCTATTGGTAGATCTGTTGACAGAGTACAGGAAGGATATATATATGTCTATTGGTAGATCTGTTGACAGAGTACAGGAAGGATATATATATGTCTATTGGTAGATCTGTTGACAGAGTACAGGAAGGATATATATATGTCTATTGGTAGATCTGTTGTCAGAGTACAGGAAGGATATATATATGTCTATTGGTAGATCTGTTGACAGAGTACAGGAAGGATATATATATGTCTATTGGTAGATCTGTTGACAGAGTACAGGAAGGATATATATATGTATGGTAGATCTGTTGTCAGGGTACAGGAAGGATATATATATGTATGGTAGATCTGTTGACAGAGTACAGGAAGGATATATATATGTATGGTAGATCTGTTGTCAGAGTACAGGAAGGATATATATATGTATGGTAGATCTGTTGTCAGAGTACAGGAAGGATATATATATGTATGGTAGATCTGTTGACAGAGTACAGGAAGGATATATATATGTATGGTAGATCTGTTGACAGAGTACAGGAAGGATATATATATGTATGGTAGATCTGTTGTCAGAGTACAGGAAGGATATATGTATGTCTATTGGTAGATCTGTTGACAGAGTACAGGAAGGATATATATATGTATGGTAGATCTGTTGACAGAGTACAGGAAGGATATATATATGTATGGTAGATCTGTTGTCAGAGTACAGGAAGGATATATGTATGTCTATTGGTAGATCTGTTGACAGAGTACAGGAAGGATATATATATGTCTATTGGTAGATCTGTTGTCAGAGTACAGGAAGGATATATATATGTCTATTGGTAGATCTGTTGACAGAGTACAGGAAGGATATATATATGTATGGTAGATCTGTTGACAGAGTACAGGAAGGATATATGTATGTCTATTGGTAGATCTGTTGACAGAGTACAGGAAGGATATATATATGTATGGTAGATCTGTTGTCAGAGTACAGGAAGGATATATGTATGTCTATTGGTAGATCTGTTGACAGAGTACAGGAAGGATATATATATGTATGGTAGATCTGTTGTCAGAGTACAGGAAGGATATATGTATGTCTATTGGTAGATCTGTTGACAGAGTACAGGAAGGATATATGTATGTCTATTGGTAGATCTGTTGTCAGAGTACAGGAAGGATATATATATGTCTATTGGTAGATCTGTTGACAGAGTACAGGAAGGATATATATATGTATGGTAGATCTGTTGTCAGAGTACAGGAAGGATATATATATGTCTATTGGTAGATCTGTTGACAGAGTACAGGAAGGATATATATATGTCTATTGGTAGATCTGTTGTCAGAGTACAGGAAGGATATATGTATGTCTATTGGTAGATCTGTTGACAGAGTACAGGAAGGATATATGTATGTCTATTGGTAGATCTGTTGACAGAGTACAGGAAGGATATATATATGTCTATTGGTAGATCTGTTGTCAGAGTACAGGAAGGATATATGTATATATGACAGAGTACAGGAAGGATATATATATGTATGGTAGATCTGTTGTCAGAGTACAGGAAGGATATATATATGTCTATTGGTAGATCTGTTGACAGAGTACAGGAAGGATATATATATGTCTATTGGTAGATCTGTTGTCAGAGTACAGGAAGGATATATATATGTCTATTGGTAGATCTGTTGACAGAGTACAGGAAGAATATATATATATGTCTATTGGTAGATCTGTTTCAGCTCACGATTTTATACTAATAACGATGCATTGTGTCATTATTCAGTTATTATGTAATAAAGTGAAGTGATATCTATGGTCTGATTTGAAGAGTGTCAGGTTGATACCTTTTGAAGAATTGAATGAAGTTTGAACAAAAATTACATACAAGATATTTACCACCATTATGTCCCATCTGAAGTGAATTGCCATCCTGCAGCTATCATTCTACATAAGCTATCATTTCTTATTGTTAACATTTGTATCATTCTAGTACATTTTCAGTTCTGATAATTTATAGATAAGAAAGAAAACTAATGAAATACTGATAATTGTCAGGAGATGAAGTACAGGTAATACATCACACACCATTAGACAGCAGCTAAGTGTTGTAATACTGAATAAGTGTCATTGTTTAGATTATGTGTTAATAATTGTCTTCATTTATTGATCAGGTGTCAGTTATTTAAAGCTCATTAACAATGGGTTATGCATATTAGAAAATAATGATGTAAAAGGGATGTGTGTAGAGCCCCGTCATACTCCCTGAATGAAATGAGTTTTGTCAGTCATACAACTTTTGCCCATTACTGTTTCTGGATATTAAGTGGGGAAACAAATTTGTATATCAGTCACCACTTTGTCATTTTTTTTGTAAACTGGTACATTATACACAAAATACTAAATGTGCCTCTGCTTTGTATAATATTTCATAAATTTCCTCTCTCTACTTGTTGTCTTTTTAGGTCAGAAAAAGGTTTTTTTTTATATAATTAAACTAAGAAGAGGAAACTCTTTGTTTGTTTATTATCAACAATTATATTTCATCGAGTGGGGTGGAAATACGCAAGTTTCCGTCCTACAATATGAAATATATACATTATTCATAGAGATACCAGGAATATTGTTTGTTTATTATCAACAATTATATTTCATCGAGTGGGGTGGAAATACGCAAGTTTCCGTCCTACAATATGAAATATATACATTATTCATAGAGATACCAGGAATATTGTTTGTTTATTATCAACAATTGTATTTCATCGAGTGGGGTGGAAATACGCAAGTTTCCGTCCTACAATATGAAATATATACATTATTCATAGAGATACCAGGAATATTGTTTGTTTATTATCAACAATTATATTTCATCATGTGGGGTGGAAATACGCAAGTTTCCGTCCTACAATATGAAATATATACATTATTCATAGAGATACCAGGAATATTGTTTGTTTATTATCAACAATTGTATTTCATCGAGTGGGGTGGAAATATGCAAGTTTCCGTCCTACAATATGAAATATATACATTATTTATAGAGATACCAAGAATATTCTATTTATTATACTTTCCTCACACATTTATGCTATTTTTGAATTCCTTAATTCCAACCAGTTGTTTCTAGTTGTAAAATTGGGAAAAAAATATACATTTTTACTGCAAATACTGTTAACTGATGTCAAAAATTAGTGAAAATATTAAAACTAATTTTTATTCAGTGAAAATATCAGTTGAAATATCATATTTTTACTGTGAAACTTTTAACACTGTTTCACAGCAAAACATTAAAATATATTTTTAAAATGTTTGTGATTAGCAAATACATGAAATCACAGACTTAAATATATCAAATTGTGTGATGAAATTGTTCTTTTACACAGCAAGTTTATGTTAATATGATAGTTAATACAGGTCTCGTTTTATGATGCTGTTCTTGATGGTTAAAGCAGTATCATTGCAGTTTTATTGGTTACTTGTTATCAGATGTTGTACATACAAATGTAATTGAAAATAAAGAGAATAAAACATCAACATGTAGTTTAATTAATTATAGGTATGCAGTGAACTATATATAGGTGTAATATCAAGAGCCCAGAGGTTTATTTTGGGGGAGAATTTTGATGTGTAAGATGATAATACTGTATTTCATTACTATTTTATCATGTTGCTTTTACACAAACTAGAAAAATTGTCAACTTTCAACGGCCATTTCAGCAACATAAGTTTTTCACTTGCGTTGATGGTAAGATACTTATTGACGTGATGTAGGACTCATTACATTTAAAAGTGTCTTAGAAACAGACATTTGGTTGTGTGTTTGGTTTGACTGAATGTCAGAAGTCACTTTACACCAGTAATTGCATATAGGTGCAATTTAGTTATAATATCTAAACCTAATGACAAGTGTCTTGACACGTGTGGCCTTGGGATCTCTCATGATCTTTGCTAAGTCTTCTTTGGGAAGGACCACAGCGACCTGTAATGACAATTTACATGCAACAATTATTTAATCCACATTAAGCCTTGATTGCTTACCTGACTCGACCATGTGAACGGCATGAGATTTCAAATGTCTCCCACGCCTGTATCCATTTGCATAGGCTTTAGTGTAAAGACCATGAGATCGAGAACTGGAAATACTCTCAGGTAAGATATAGCAGTATTTATAAGGAATGGTGATTGCGAACTTGCCAAAACGTTTGTAAAGTTTTGCTGTAAAGTGTTGTTACAAGGAGGTAATTTCTTTGTTTATTTTGTGTTCTGCATGAAATCAAACGGAACTCATATTCCAAGTCATGAATGATTGTTGAGAAGAAATCCTCGGTTGTGTGGTAAAAAAATATAAATACCAGTGATTATACACATACATACCTGGGCTGTTTTCACATACTTTCATCCTTAGAGCTCGCTGTGAATTTGCGCGGGTATGTAAAAATGAAAATAGTTCATAATCCTAAAACCATACACGACACCCACCCACAATCACAATCGCACACATATATTCAACAGCAAGTTATTTATAAATCTGTTCGACTTGCTTTCATTTACCTCCTGCAGTTTTATCCACTTTCAATGTAACTTTCTCTTTGTTGAACAAGATGACAAGCTAATTGTTTCACAGATTCTGAGATATTAACACGTTAATTTACTACCTTAGAAACACTGTGAATTCGAGATTTTGTTCAAGAGTCGATAGTCAAAAAGCTTGGTTTTAAGTTGCATATGGTAAACAATAGAACATCAACACTAGTGCTATTATTGCGACAACCCGACATAAGTATAAAACATTGCATTCTATACACAATAACGTTCACTCCGTATGTAATGAAAAAATATCACAGACACCCAAGAGTTATCTAAGATTAACACGATTAATAATGGGCATTTGTATGTCACAAAAGAAAAAGTTAAAATCACTATCAAAGTGTAATAAACATATATGCTAATATAGCAAATTATGAACATTGACAAAATGCACACTAATAAAGTGTGCATCAAAATTAGACCACGATGTAAGGAGAAATTAAAAAACAGAAAACAATCGGATGATTCATGATGAATATTATCAGTTGTGAAAATACTATAGGTGTAGACTTCCGAAGGGCAATAACTCGCACAGCATGGTGTGAGCAAATTACTCGAGAACAGACCTGGATATCCCAGGTACGGAGCAGTCGCCGGACAGACTCATCATTCTGAGCTAACATAATCTCGTTCGACAGACTGTTCCATACCTGGGATACCTAAAACGAAAAGATTTCTTCCCATAATTGGAGGTATTCACCTTAGGGACTCTAACAAGACTGTTTTGTCTAAAATTATAAAAAAAAAACCAACTTCTTTCCTATCAATAAGGCCTTGTAAAATAAACGGCGAAATACCATTTAAGATCTTGAAAAACCTCAGTGTCCATGTACTGAATATGGTTTACATGTAGAAAATCAAGTTTAAATCCACCTAAAATGTCGGTAACTGGGGAAACATGGTCATGTCCGATAAAACGAAGTGTCCGCTCTTGCACTTTTTCCATATTCCTAGTGTTTGTAAAGGTACAAAAAATGCCAGGCTAATTGACAATAATCAAAATTTGACAAAATAAAAGACATAAGAATTATTTTCTTCCCTTTCTTGGCAAGATTTTTCACCAGTCGTTTTAAAACAGCAAGTTGTTCCGAGGCATTTCTACAAAGGCGAGAAATGTGAAAATCAAATTTATGCAAAACGTCAATATCGACACCTAATAATTTCACTACACTTAATCTCTAAGCCTTCTATACTGAGATACTAGGAGATTTTTTACGAAAACAAATTGCCTGTTGTACCATATTTTATGTTTGTCGCTTGTATATTCTATTCTCCGAGTTCCAGAGGTTACGGTCACGACGACTCCAGAGAGATAGATCGTTAGTGATCGTAATATGGAATAGTCTTCCTTTTGTTTTTGTGTCTCATTGGTTGCCTGTCTTTCTTGTTATGTGGGTTTATGGCGTTTTATCTCATATATTGTCCGTATGTCCGTCTTTTCACAATTCTTGTTATCGTTATTTTTAGATAAGTACCAGATGGGCCATCTTGGTCCTTAGCTGTGCATTGGTAATTTTTATAGACAGATAAGAATATCAGTATGGCCGACAAGCGGCCATCTTGGATTTTGACAATTATACAAATATGGTTTGTTACTGTTATTTCTTGACAAGTAAATTTCATGCATATGTTCTTTTTGTCCTTTATTGTTTATTCAGTATTTTTGAAGCTGGCAGCAAATTAAATTGACCAACAGGCGGCCATCTTGGATTTAAACAGTTATAGATTGGTAATGCTATTTCGTGAAACATACCAGGTTGCCCTTGAACCTTTGTGCGTTCTCCGCTTTGAGAATGATCAGAAATTTGCCGACAGGCGTCCATCTTGAATAAAAGCATTTCTTAAGACGTACTGCAGCCGTTCATAATTTATCTGGTGGCCGCCCTTGGTTCACAGTTGTGCATTGTCCGTTTGGAAATTTATCGGAAAATATAATGGCCAACAGGAGGCTTTTGTGATCATTCTCAAAGTCTGATATCTAGGTTGACCTTCGTCCCTACTTGTGCATTGTCCAATTCATAGATAATAATACCAAAAACAAAAACAACAAAAAAATGGTTACGATTTTGACACATATTTTGTTATCGCTATTTCTGAGCAATACTAAATGAATAATACTCAAGTTTCATCATTAGACTGACCTTGTTTTGCATGTTCCTTCTGGTACTTATCATGAAAACAAAACTTATGTATATACATCCAGTTGTGATATCTGATTGTTTGTAAACCTGAGCAATGAAAGGCGTATTTTCTTTAGTTAACGCAAAAAAACCGACAAAAATATTGTGTTTTTGCTTGTTTAAGTCTACTTGAATTAGAACAGGGACAATCTTAATGTGGTACATTGTGGTTATATATATATATATATAACTACCTCCGCTAGGCGTTGCTATAGTAAATGTGAATTTGCAACAGCATATGCCTAATCACAACATACCGTCAAAAATTTCAAACAGCTACAAAATGTAGGGTACATTATCCCGTATATGATAATAGTAATAACTTAAGAAGTCTTTTAAACGCTCGTTTGATTTTATTTACACCTGGCAAAGCATTGAATTTGCCGACAAAACCATATATATATATATATATATATATATATATATATGCAACAGTATGGACAAGCGAATTTTCAAAGTTTTATATATATAATAAAGAGAGAGATGTTTAGTTATGTATAAAATATATCTTTGGTCATATAATTTTTTGCATACTTCTTGAAAAAATTTAACTTGTGGTTGCCTTCCCAAAACAATACAGGTATTTTTTCTCCGCAATTTAGACTTTAAAAACACTAATGTCGAATTCAGCTGCTTTATGTAGCAGGAAATGCATGCATGTGCTTTTATTCGAACGCACCGGAAATGACGTCCTTAGTTCCCGAAATTGTTTCAAAATGGCGGATGGCGTACAGTCTCGAGTGGCAGGAGGTGGCTTTTGGAGCCAGCCACAAGTTCAATACAGCAAACAAACTCACGATTTGCTGAAAGGTTAGTTCGGGCCATTTTGATGTTAACTCTCTCTGTAAAATTGTATTCGTATATTTAGTATTTGCGAGGTAATTACGACTTCAAAATTACGCTTCTAGCAGGCTGTGTACTGACACCATTTTAGGCAATTTCATGTGAAGGGCCGACCACAGGAATGCCTGAACCCTTTAAATACACTTGCTTTGAATTAAATTAGTGCTAATAGAAATATCACATTCGACTAATGATAAAATAACAGATTGGTGCGAGCAGGGACGTATATAGGTCCCTGGTGCGAGTTAAAATTAAGTAGGCAATATAACATATCGCTGTTTATTTTTTCAGGTATGATGAAAGAATCAAAACTTACAAATTTTCAACAAAGGCATCTAGAGAAAACATTGAGAGGTATGCATAAACTAATCATTTATATATATATATTTCTTTTAGTCTTCCAACAGACAATGACTTCCTATACAACATATATACATTACATCTTGTGTATAATATACATAGACTGTTTGAGACATCCTTTGCTTTTAAACTAAATGTTTTGTCACCACTCAGTTACACTGAAGTGATTATGATATAACATAAACTGTATCTGAAATATTTTTGACATTAAGTACATTTACTAATACAGCAGTTTTATCCTAACATTAGTGTCATCTGTCTTGTAACTTCAGACATACAGGAAAGATTTCAGCAATATACTACATTGCATGTTTATATTGTACAAAAATATATGTTCTTGTACATGTGTAATAAATCATGATATGTGCAGATATTATTTTACAAGATTGGCATTCCTAGTCTGGGATCTGGTATAAATTCACGATTGTCTTTCGGTTTTGAGAAGCCAATAAATTTTTATGTGTTTTTAGTGTTGACATGTTTATGATTCCTCATAGTGCTTTATCAACTCTGGAATGAATCATATCCTACATAATTCACTACCCCTAAGATTCATCTGAAATGTTTGTTGTGGTGATTGGATTATAGTATTCATGCACTTACTCAAATTTCATGCCGATTATTTACAGGTGGTGGGTCGCTTCCAGCTAATTGTCCTCCCACACACAGTGCCCAGAGGAAAAAAGCACCAGTTTCTGCTCCTGCTCCCAGTAAAGTGCTCAATCCAAGGTTAATAAAATATTGGCTTCTAGTTTTTGTTGACAGTGTTAAGTTTGCTTAGACCTATGAAGCAATTTGAAAATCAAGATGTATGTTTTAGACTGCATCATTTATGGTTTTTGATAGTTGTTGACATGAAGTTTTCAAAATTTTCTGAAATGTAGTTTGATTCCAGGTTTTTTTTATTTGGCAGTGTGTGATTAACCAGATCAATAACCTGGAGTGAAATTAAATTCAAAGATACATTTGCTGTCTTGCTGTTTACTTTTGTGCTAAGGATAACAAGCATATTTTAAATGAAACTTGTATTATTAGTAGAAGCTGAATCAAGATATACATACATTGTATATAAAATTTGAAAAACACATGTACCCCTAAATTTCATCTTTTTTTATTATTGGTTTATGATGCTTCCAAAGTGATATTTCTAGATTTTCTTATGCCCATGAAAAGATGGTTCTTATTACGTTATCATATGGTCTTTGTAAGATTGACGGAACAATAGCCTGATTATTTTTCACAGATCACCATTACACACCTTGCAATGTCTGTAGAGACCTTAATGTGTTGATTAGGCACTTAACATCACTTTCCTTCCCTTTGCTGCTGCAAAATGCTCATTTGGCCTATGATAAGCATATCATGTACCTCCTCACAGAACTCTTGTTGAAGATGTATTTATAATCTTCTATGTATTTATCAGATATATTGAGAATGATTTACATGGTAGTTCAAAAAGTTTAGGTAGGCAAGCACATGAGTAGGCCTGGTGTAGCCACTCATTACCTTCTGCTCTTGGATTCAGAGTGACCTTCTTTTGATACATGACAAAACCTCCTCACCTAGGTGAGCAGATGAACTAAGTATGAAATTAAAGAGAGGGTAGGAGATAGCTTGAAGCACACACAATCTTTTACTTTGATCTTAGTCATAGGTCAAAACATTTGATACATAACACACCACCTTACTATGGGAAACTTATACATAACACACCACCTTACTATGGGAAACTTATATGTGAAGTTTTTAGTTCCAGTGACATAGTGTAGGTTGAATATTTTATTTGATCTAGATCAAAGGTAAAAAAGAAGGTCAAAGTGACCTACTTTTGATGCATGACACACCATCTCACTGAGGTGAATTACCGATACCTAAAGTGTGAAGTTCCATTGACAAGAAGTGTAGGAGATAAAGCCCAGACAAGATACTGAAACTTATTACAGACAGAAGGAAGGAGGGTGGATGGACACAATACAACACTGCATTCCCCTCTCCCCTCCCCAACCCCCACCCCCTCTTTTTTATAACAATTTTCAATTTTTTAATGATGATATATCAGAAACAGATTTGTGTCAGTTGAAATGATATTTTCGCGTCATCTTAAGTAATGACTTTAAGATTTCAGGATTCAATCATAGGTGATACCTATCTATTCCTATCATGGTATATAAGTTAGAAACAATTCTTTTCAATGCCATTGTAATATTATTTGTATATGCAACGTGTATATTAGGTTCAAGGGAGTCATTTATGCAAATGACTATTTGAACACCCTATCTGGATCGCTGAAAATCAAACTAGTCTTTACTCTTATTGATATAGTTTACACAATTCTTTTACTGCAGAAATTACAAAACTACTATAAGAACAAAAGAACAAATGGAAAATATGGGAGCTTTTGAAAAACCAGACTACAGACCAGCATACAATAGTAAGTTTAATGACAATTGCAACAAGTTTAAATGGATCATAATGTGTTTTTGGAAATTTATCTTTTAATGAATCTAAAATAAATATTTCAAGAATGTATACATGGACTTTGAAATGGTTTTGTGGAATGCTGTGTATACCAATGGAAAATTGTAATATATTTTCTTGACCTGTAATTTTCTTTGAGCATTAAATTAATGGCAACATTCTATTTAATGTTGATGAGGAGCAGCTACAACAATTTTAATCAATGCAATGTGATTCTATCTTTAACAGAATATGTATCTAAAGCAAAGGAGAAGATCAGACTAGCCAATATTATGGAATTTGGTACAGATATCCCACCTGTTAATAAAAAGAAACAGGTTATAGTCAGAGAACCAGAACCAGAGGTGGACAGATTTGAGGAATGTGAGTTTCCATTTACATGTATAGTCAGTCTGAGTAATTTTCAGTCAGTCTTTACAACCTGTGGTCAGTTTGTACAGTCTATGATCAGTCAGTACAATTTATGGTCAGTTTGTACCGTCTATGATCAGTCAGTACAATTTGTGGTCAGTCTTTCCGTACAATCTGTGGTTATTCTGTATAATGTGTAATACAAGACTACTGGAATGCTTTCATTCGGGACTGATCCTGTATTAAACTGGCCCTGTACTGTAGATTAATCTTCATACATTAACCATAATCATAACATCTAATTAATGAATACTTGTCATAATTGATAATGTCATGAATACTACTTGCTTTTGGCATGCTATTTGAAACACTTCATGTAGCAAAATTCAGATTACGACTCATTCATATATTTTCTGATCCCAGGGCACTACAATAAAAGAATTGTTCTTTTTTTTACTTAAGTGGGCATGTAAAATTTTTATTCGCCTTGCATACATGTATTGCTGGATTACTATCCTGGTTATAATACACTTTTATTTTATTTTCTATTTTAGTAGCCCAAGTGGTATTTCAGTTTTATATAGGTACCAAGAATTCCCAATTTTTTGTTGTTTCAAGTTGTAAATGTGACTTGTTATTTTACAGTACAAAGTGAGATTGAAGAGAGAAGGTCTTTCCTCAGAGAAATGGAAGGTTTGGGCAAAGGTGCTCAGTTCAGGCCAATCATAGCAACTGAAATATCACAGGTAATTCTCTACTGATGTTTTCTAGATGTTACATCCAAATAAATAGCATTTTACCGAAATATTACAAAGATAATGATAAATATGTCTTACAATGGTATGTTTAGAGGTAATAATAATGCTATTTTGATGTTAAACCCTATATCGTCCTGTGAGCAAGATTTCTGGTTAGATATAAACATTTTGTTCTGGTTGAATTAAGTGTCAGTATATATTGTTTCTGTCAGTTTTCCTGAACCGTCCATTTTGTAATGTTGTAGCTTATTCGAGAAATGGAGGTGATAGACAATAAGAAATCAGCAGAACTGGAGAGACTGATAGAGGCAGAGAACAGACGAGCATCAAAGGAGACATCCTGATTAAGTGATGACCCTGAGATAAATATCTACTCTCATCTACTGCACAAGGACAATAGTCACATTTGGGAAGGTTATAAACATTCTACATTTGTGACTCAGAGATTCTGCAGAGCTTCAGATCATATATTGCAGCACAAAAAATATTTTTGTCATAAAGTAAAGTGTGGTGTAGACAGCTAGAAACTTTTTATGGCTGACTTGCATCCATGGTTTTTGAACAATGTATTTGATTTGGAAATGTTGTCTATTCTGAAGAGATTGATTGACTTGAATTTGGGGAAACAGATATCCATCAGTTTGTTTCTATCATAACTGAATTTTGACCAAATTTAGACAAAATCTTTATTTTCTATTTTGAAGTATAATTGGAATGTCTTATCAGGTAATATTTATATTTAAACATTAAAGCCATGATATAAATTAACTGGAAAGATTTGTAATATTGAGAACTTTAAGACATATAAAGAAACATCAGAAAGATTACACTGTATGTAATGAATAATCATTACAGTCAAAGTAAAATAAAGATCTACATATGACAGCAGAAAGAATAGATAAATAATTAAAGTCTGCTTGTGTTAGTGTAAGACATAACGCTACAGAAATGTGATAAATGTAATGAGATTGATAATTTTTTTCCTTTCATTTGGTTTGCTTGCACATACTAGTGTGGTAAAATTGGCCCGGTCAGTAAATATTTAGCCTGATACATTTATTTGTTCACTGAACCATTGTCACCAAGGTACCCTAAAGACAGTGTGGTCTCCTTACAGTGATATTTTGGTTATATGTAGGTCACATACAGTTCATACTTGAGTAGTTCTGTAAACAAGTTTCATAAAATAAGGAAATGTAACCTGGGCAAATTTTCAAAAATTAATCGCATTTGACTATGTTCACATTAAATCTCATTCCATGAAAAATGCTCAACATTCCTTTGCAAGTATAACATTCCATGTTTTAGATAGTTGATAATTTCATAAGAAGTTAAGCTGATAATTTTATGTTCAATAGCTGTATTCTTCTTGGAACATACATTCAAGGTATGACAACACATAAAATACTCCACATTAGATATATACAAAGGTGGTACTTATACTAGTCATTGGTTCTTGCATGTGTTATGAAATCAATGGATTCACCTTTCCTTGTTAGGAAGTGGTAGAATATATTACCTCTTCTCAATCTGCTGAAGAGTTACAGGAAGAATGAGCAAGTTAGTTGTAGAAATATCTTGTTTGATACAAGTTGATTTTTTTACACCATATTTATTATGTATCTTTCTCCGTCCATGTCATGAGTTAATCATTATTTGTTGTTAAAATCAATTTCACTGTATATTATATTTCTGTTATTTGAAGAGGGACTTTCAATCTTATGATGTTACAACCAAGTAACTGACAAGGAAGGACGTTATGATAATTATCATCTTTGTTCTAAAATATTGATCAATAGAATCATCATTTGCTTACATTTAACAGTATTTCAACCAGTGGATTTTTAATACTTAGAACTTAATTCCAGGTCTAGTGAATGATTTAGCATTGATGAACATAACATAATCAAAGTGTAAGAAAAAAGGTTAAAATCAGTTCTTTTTTCTTTATCACTTTAACATATTTCTAAAATGAGTTATCTAGATTAATCACCTCATACTTTAAATGCTGAAGGAACTGTTGACACTTTATTTCTCTTAGAGGTAGCAGTGTGTGTGACAGCAATTTTATCACTTATATGTCCTATATGGTTTAAAAATTTGATGTTTGCAAGTATGTATGTATTTTGATGTAAAATGTTTCTTGAATATGTCTATGTATTGGTATGTTTAATTTCTAGAATGCAAATTGCCTACATCTTGTTAAGTCCATACACAGATCAGACTTGGTATGGTGTATTGTCAATTATGTACATCAAGTGCATTGAGTTTAGGCATGAAGCTGTTGTTGTTAAATGTGACAGCCTGGATCAGTGGATCCAATAGTATTACATTGTTGACAAACGTGTTCACTACACAATTGCAGTTAATATTCTCTGCATATGTATCAGTATATGTGTGCTTGTAAATCATGTTTTGAAATTTCTTAAGGTAAATAAAATATTCATTTTTAGATTTCTTTTACTGATAGATAGACATGTGTTTATGTGTTTATTTTCTCTGAAAATAGACTCAGAGTAATTTAGTATTACCACAGACACTTTATATTCTATAGAAGTTATTCCATCAGACTTTTCTATCCTGGTACTGGAATTATCATCATTTTTGTTATAATATGTCTCTATTGTTTGAACGTAAATATTCATGAGTTCACCTTCCTAATGTTCATGAACGAAATAAAGCTTTATTTACAAGGTACACTTCCGGTATAGAATATTGTTTCTGTCCATACTCAAAAGTGATAATTCAGTAATTATGTCTACTCTGTGCAGTTAAGTAGACTCACAGTTTTGTATTTGAGTAGGAAGATTATGACAGGTTGGTTCTCTCTGAAATGGAAAGTTTGAAACAGACATCTAACCCATAATCTTCAGGTAATATTCTGTGGGAGTTGTTTTGTAAGATGTTAAAACACTAGTGAAAATGAATATCAACATTCTAAATGACTTTAAAGATCAGCAGAATATATAAAAATAAAATATTGTCGAAGTCTATACTGTGCATTTTGAACCTTTTCTCCCTTGAAAACACCATTTTACAACAAATTCGCATCATCACTTAATATGAATAATAACTATACTTATATGACCACATCATTCATTTTTGTAACAAATATTAAGTACAATATACCATTCTTTATAATGTAGTACACTGTGTTCACTGTCATAACATTGAGTCCTTTTTTTAGATAATAAATAAGGATCGAAAGTGATCACCCCCGAAAACCTTGTAATTAACTGATGTGGATGGTTGTGATTTCTCCGTCATTATATCTCCTATATATAACGGGAGTGGAGATTTGTATAAATTGTATTTTTATCCATAAGCACATAAGGAGCATCTTTATTTGCTTAAATGCAAACTTACATATATGTTGATAGTGTTGTGTCTTTTGGACAGCTCTTTAAAAATGAAGCTGGTTTTGTTTTACTTGCCATTGTAACATTGTAAAACATTAAGAAAATGTGATACTTTGCACAATAAATATATCAACATTAACGATGTGTTTTTTTATATCGCCCACAACAATCTTGGTAAGGGGTGGGAATGGGGTATACTAGAATCATTTAGGTGTATGTATTTTGTATACAAAGGTCAAAGGTACTCAGTGATAGAGTTCTGAGTGTCATTACAGTCAAAGGTCAAATGTCACAGAAATAGTACCAGGACAATGATTGACATTCTGAAGTCAGCTGGTCTGTTGGAAATGTAAACCGTCGCTGGTGTAATAAACAGGCTACAGTGTTCCTTCTTTTTATACTACTTGACAAATAAAATTAAAAGTGTAGGGTAGAAAGAGTAGAAGTTTTTGTTTATGTAAATTGATTTTCAAAATTCATATCCCATCAGATTTGTTTCTTAAATAGAATTGTAGAACACAGTTAAAATAGAGTTTATAACTTTTCAAAGATCAAGCTTGTTCCGATAGCAGTATTACATTGAAAATTATGTATATATATGTACATATATGAATTGCGAAAAGTCGGTTGGCACACGTTTGACATCAAGATACATTAGTACAATAATATCGAATAAACTTGCGATAACACGGGTTATTACGAGTATGATGTAAGTTTGAATGCAGAGTCCATTTTCGTGTGTCGAGAACCAGATTTACGTGTAATATAATGTGTCAGGGTGGCAACTCGTAACCGTGGGATATTTCGGAAACAGGACCGATCACGTTGGGAGTAATGTCAATGGACGCTGAATGTTGAATCAGGGAACTCCTTTCGTTTACACTGAGAATAAGCTTCTTGCTTCTGAATTGCGAGAGTCCTGGGTTTAGCAGATTACCCTAAAAAGGAAAAAAATGGTTGACTTATAATATAATACATTTGTTTTCTTCTTTGTATCTAAATAAAAACCTTAAATATCCGTGGTGGCATTTTGATACCTTCATAAAACCCGGTCGATTGATTGTAATACTTTTAAATCATTAGCACGAGAGATAATTCTATTTTCCTTGATGTACATATGTACGTAGATGGGGGAGGGGGAAGGGTAACAGAACCAGCAGTTTGAGGGAAATTACAAATTATATCTACCATAATAAAATCACAAAATTAAAGTCATTCCCCACTGCTCCTGGATTGTCAGCGGTAATGACTCAGTGGTTACCTGTTTCATATCGAGTATATTGACGACAATGCTGCATACTGCCGACATGATACAGAGACTTAACAGGACCCAGAACATGATACTGTAGTTGGCTAGTCGCTCTTCCTTGTCTAGACTGAATATATAGATGGTAGGAGAAAGTCAGCAAAAAGAAAAACTTGAGAAAGTAAGAAGTGATTGAACATTTTTGATGTAATATATGACGACCTTCCTTTTAATGTACATCCTACTGATATAAAGCTTTAAGAACGATGTACTGTGGACAATTATCGAATAAGTCTTTACAGTACAATAGAAGTAATACCGTTTCAGTACTTATAATAATCGCTACTTTCTATTTATGACAAACAAATTTATCACGATATAAAACCTTAAGAATGAACGAGTATAGCAATCAGTAGGTAGAACATTGGTTTACGCAACGTCAGAGGAACGATGTCATACGACGGTCCTCCCGTATGTTGTTGAGTAAAGTTACCACAAACTTCTAAAAGAAGACACCGCCTTGAAATAACATTGACTACTTACAGGGTGATTAAACCTAGAAAAACCGTCATGGTATGACAGGTATAATTGCCATTTAACATTAACGATGACAAGAATTGCGACTCTGGCAGTTTTGTATTGTTACTGGCAAATTTATTAATGAGAGAGTTGGCTAGGGAATTAAGTCGTCTTTATTATCAATGATTACCTTTCAGTAGTCCCAAGAATCTTTCCTATTCCCAGGTTTGTCAATCCCACTCCCAATCCCTGTGTAAAAATGGTAATTCCTTGAGCAGTTCCAAATATGTCCGCCGGCACGAGCACAGACACAGACGGCCACAGACAAATCTTTAAAAAGACGGAATAGTACACGATGTGTTGATCTATTAATTATAATATGGGTAGCGTTCATATTTTTTACTCATAATCTCGACTGGGTGATCAAGTGAAAAATAAGATTTGATAAGTTTATTAAGGCACTTTGAAGACAGATAATATACTTACTGCAAAAACAGTGTATGTGATTCCCAGAAACACTGTTAATATAAGTGGGTGTATCTGTGGACAGAAAGATAGTAGTGGAAACACTGGAATAGTCAGCGCCGCACAACACGACATCACGATCCCCGTCACGTTCATCTTTCTCTATAAATAACATTAATACATCAATATGTTTTCTTTTCCATGCATCTTTTAATGTTTATAAAATCAAGCATTGTCTGAATGTTAGAATGATAATGAAGGGTTTGTGAATGTACCTTACGTAGAAAGCAACATTCTATATATATGACCTCCAATTAAGTTTCCTTCACAACCTCTCCATGGGATTGTCAAAGTGCAGTAGATATTTAATGAACCGAAACGTATGATGAAGTTCCATCATCTTTAAGAAAGTGAAAGTATTTTGTGATTTTATTTTTTAAATTCCAAGCACAGACTCTTGAAGGCTCAACATGAATACTGGAAATATATCTTTCTATTAATGAAAATGTTCAGCTTGTGGATATTGTAACAATCTTTGAATACTGGTATATTGATTTTCTAGGTGCAACTTGTATCAGGCGGCAGAATGCATTCCTTTCTGTTCTTGAAATAAATTCGAGTTAACATATTCATCAATTATTTTTGTTTTGACCGTCTTAAGCTTTAGTTAAATCTGATGTCTTGAAACAAAACTGTTTGCTTCTCTACTTGAATTACATTAATTATACATTGTTTGTTTTATTAATATCAAAACAACAGAAAGACCCAATAATCCTAAGTTACCTTTGGCTGTCTGAAAAGCGGCTGTCCAATGAGAGAGCCTCTAATAAGACATCTACAGGCAACATATAGGTTAAATCACTGAAAGAACAGTGAATGACATCACAAGACTATTTTAATACTGGTAATATAGAAATCACTTACCAAGATGATCCCAGCCAATGGCGATATCAGAACGGATACATCATACACAGCCCCGTTATAGTAGGATGCCGTTGTTTTTGAGTAACCATACCGGTCTTGTATATATTTACTAGAAACGACAAAACGAGTACACAACAGGTATAACTCATTTTACACAGCCTTCATGAATTGTTTAACAGATACGTTTCATTTCACGATGATTTCCCGTCATGGAGTTAAGCTATACAACATTCGTGTTATGGCACTCAATTTATTATCAAGCTCTTTAAGTCAAATAATTTAACTGACTATGCAGCATAGTTTTAAATAAAAAGTCCAACAATGTCAAAATAGTACGCACCTACCGTTTCCAATTAAAGGTAGATAACACGCGTAGAATGACATGATGGCAAGGCAGTGAAGCCAGAATGATTTAGGGAGTAATCGGATTTCTCTGAACGTCTGAATCAATGAAAATAAGTCGTTTTTATCAGTTGTATAAATATGTTTGGTTTAAATTCGATACTGATACATGATGCGTTTGACTTTTTTTCATTTTAACGTATTGCTTAGATGAAGCAGCCAGTACAAGAAATCCATATACCTAAAATATCAGAATAAGCACAACTGCGCAAGCTCAATATTAACTTTTGATTTTGAAAAGTTTTGTTTTATTGTTTATATGAATTCATATTTAAGTTATTTTCAATTTTAGAAATAAAGAGACTCCACAGTAGCTTGCATAATGCGATCCGTACTGATATAACAAGGAATTTGGATTGCTGCTGAAAACTTGAAAACTTGTTAAATAATCTTTTAAACACTTACGAATGTGCACATTTCTAAAACAAAAATATAAGCAACATATACGCCAGATGAAGTATTTCTAGAGTCAGTGTAGAAGAAAATTTCAAAATCTTCATTCTAATACTATTCTTGAATAAAATTCAGATGTCGAATAGAAATGAACACGCATCCGAAGAATTTTAATGGTTTAACACGTGAGATATACTTACAACATATTTGGACCTCTGGGCCACTTTCACTTCAACTTTCACCCGAGTTTGTCCATAGTAATCCAACAATGATACGAATATCGCACAAACAATGCTTAAGCAGCATATACCTGCAACTAGATGGAAAATACCGACATTTCAATAAAATCATGCTCGATATCAAACAAGTACAATATGTTCACATAGTAAAGGTGAGTACGACATGGGGCGCCGGAATGGTAAGCGTCTTCTGCTTCCCTGACGACACCAATTCTGAGTATATTACCGAGTATAATCAATGAGTAGCTTGTGTGATCTACAAGAAAATAAATTATTTTTGTCTATGTTTTGTCTCCTATATACCGATTAAGCGAATTTTTTGGTAAATATACAACATTCATCAAATTTTCGCTACATTTATTCAATATTGAATACCATCATGAAAATAGTGAATACTACTCCAGATACAGTAAATGTGTATTTCAGGGACAAAAAGATAAATATACCTATCCATAGAGTTGTTGATAAGCCGATCCAGTTGGCAAGGTTGGCAGTAAGGAAAAAATTGGAAACATTACCAAGGCGCAGAACAACTACCATTAGGCTAAAGACTACCAATATGTTGTCTGGGAACCAGGAAGCAAGAATTCTGTTCTGAACAACTGAAAATTTAAACGATTGAAGTTCATTAATTTAATTGATAGAATAATCTCTTTTTTCAATCTACCGAAAGAAGATATATTTTAGAATTTCTATCTGCTATTCAGATCAGCAAAGGATTTTACCTTATGAAGAACATCTCATCACTAACTACCTTCTGTACGTACTGAGAGCAGGACTTGTTCCTGCCCCAAGGAGTAAACGCCCACAGAACATAATCGGAAACATAGCTGATGTGAACCTGATCGAATCAATGGTAGACACTGCGAACAAAAGTGTTCCTAAAGACGCTACTGTCGTTGTCAGGATGGCTGAACCTAAAAGAAAAAGCTCGTTTTTATTAAAGACATAAATTATGTTGATCATGGATTTTTTTTGATATGTTATTAGTAAAAAGTTTTCTTACCCCTGTTTCCAATTTTGTCGATGAAATATCCCCCAGGCAAAGCGTTTACTGCATTCCTACAAAAAATCCACATGGCATTTACGTTGTAAGGTATACAGTCATAAGAAAATACTTCACATAATACCTGTGTACCAGTATCTTAAGATTCAATCGAATTAAAAACAAATATTTTGTTTGGAGATATCGCTGGATTACTTACATCCACGAGTAGGCAGCGTAAAGCTGATTATAGCGATCTGGTCCTAGTCCTAGACAGTCAGGACAGCACGTCATGTTGGCCGTCAGGTTCCTACAATTTTCAGTCTGTCGGGGAAAAAACCGGATTTCATTGTGTGACGATTATATATTAATATGGTGGTATGTTTTGGTTTAACAAATCCACATCTTTCGTGATCATGGACGATTATTGTTATTTAATTAATATCTTTATTTGTAAATAATTATAAATGTTGATGTATCTGGGGAAACAATTATAATGTTTAGAACTTTTAACGGGTCTAAGGATTGGGTCTAAGGATTGGATAATATCAACTTTTATAAACTTTTACATATCATCTCACTTACGTGAACCCCTTGTAGGTCTTTCTGCAATGCACCTAGGACATCAATATTGAAGTAGCAGCCAAAGGGAAGAAAACAGGCGAAGACAAGCAGCAAATATCGTGTTTTCCCTACGGTAGGTCAAATCAAAAGTTATTGACTTTACTAACATATAAGATTTTATATTATATATTATTCATATTTCATGCCAAAAAACATATCATCTGATATCATTCACGAATTTCCTTCGTGTCAATGATATCAAACTTGTTTTCAAATATTCTAACTGGTTTGATAATTGAATGTTTAAAATGATAATAAAGGTGGAAATTAAAGACATTGTGTTAACACCAGGAACAAAACATGTGTTATTCTTTGGCATGGAGTCAAAAAGCATCAATTGGAGCACCGTACCTTTAGAAGAAATTTCCAAAAAATTAAACTGGACAAGTTGGACTTATTATTCGCACACGGAAGTTTTCACATAGAAAAAAAGTTAATTATAAGTTCATAGGTTTTTTCTTTAGAGGTAGGGTATGAAACACAAGAACTATTCAGATACTTACATTCTGTGACATCCATAGTTTAAAACTGGTCTGAAAGAAAACATGCAGGAAAAATGCAACGATTGGTTTTATCTTTATCGATTAACTTTTTCCGTGGTTGATGCAACAGCTAATGGAAACAATTTCCAACACTGGATGAGGTTCAAAAAAAAAAAAAAAAACAAAAAACAAAAACAAAAACAAAAAAAAGAAATTAAAAAAAAAATAATGATAAATATAAAAAAAACCAACACATGAATAGAAACATAATCCAACCTCAAATTCAATAAAACTAAGGCAAAATATTAACAAAAGAAAGATTTATGAGGGGACTCCTGAAAAAAGTACAAGAAGAACAAGACCAGGTGTTCCTGAAAATAAGCATCTTCCACTTTATCCACGACATCCGCCATGTTAAATTCTTGGTCAATCCAAGTAAGTTAAGTCAAGTTCTCAAACGAAAACAAAGTATACCACTTCAGGCAAACAAATGAGCAACAGACATATCACTTATAAATCTCTCCGTAATTTCCATCAATCTGCATCTCGGGAAACTATGTGTTGTGAACTCATCTATCAGTTGTCAAAATTTTGCAAGAAAATCGTGATATTAGGAACAGGCCCTCGAAGATCGAATCAATTGCGACGTGTAAACACCATAGATCAGGGATATAAAATTAATTGTTATTTTCGTTCTGATGAAAAAAATTAAAATGACAATAATAAATATATGGTAACTGTGCATGTGTATGGTTGACACTACACCGTCGTTGGTGTCGGTAATGTTTTAAATATTCGACAAACAATGGCGACAGTCCATTGAATTGTAGATTACACATGGACGTTAGATACTATACCTGATAGTGTTTTTTGAGTTCCCGATGGCCGGTATTATGACCTAATTGTGGATGTCATAACAATCGCTATCATAGCATGAAGAGACATATTTGTATTGTTGATCAGGAAGGAAATTCTTATAAAACATACCTTGTATGATATGGATGTCCTGGGATGTATGTGGTGTTTCATGTTGTGCATGACCTTGTTATATCTTTATACAGGTCATTTAAAAGTATGAGCATACCTATGTCGTTAAAAGAAACTATAAGCGGTTGTAATGTAAATAAGGTACTGATCTACTATGAATCAAAGGAAACAAAATTAACATTATATATTAAATAAGTATTAAATCTATAACTTTGTGATATTGCAATAACATTGATGCAACGAAAATAGTATTGCATAAAATACTGTCTTTCTATTCATGTGAGTGTTTTAAGGTGTATGCGTGTAGGTGTTTTCGAACCCGTTTATCAGATATTAAATCAGATGCGTTCTACTATCGTGTAAGTAGTGAAACCCGTGCATGATTTGCTTTTTGTAGAAGTCAACATGTTTGAATATAACAGGCACTTTCTAAATAAAGTAACAATGTTATCAGTCGCACAAGGTAACTGTAAAGCAACACCAGTGTAATCACATGTTTGCTCTGATATCTTTATATATCGAGCCATGGTGGTATTAATGACTCTTTAACCTCTTTTATCTGTTTCTGACCCACTTATTCCCTTGAGGTGTCATCTCAATTAACTTAATATTGTCATCCTTAATGGGATCAGTCACAATTTATTATTTATAATTTACCAATTTATTCAATACATTTAGATCTTGAAATTAGAAATCTTAGAAATTGTATAGTATATCTTTACGATATATCAGACATATGATATTTTCATGGTTGGTAAGATATATAAAGCTTATGGAATTGTTTAGTTACCTTCTAAAAGTCCTTTTTGTGAGCATCTTCTCTAATATGAAATTGCAGTGTTCATTAACATGATCATGACTATTTTACTTATTGTGCATAAGTAATCCTATATAAATGTGAGATTATGAAGAAAACACATATCCGACGTCAATAAGATAGCAACACTCAAGTACTTGTTGGCACATTTAAGAGAAGAAATTGCTTATCAGTTTTAACAGAGATAAGCCTAGATTCATGTCATTGTCTAAGCACCAATGATTCTTTTGAATATCGAAATATTAGTTTTGATAATTACATTGTGACATGCTTATCAAAGAATCCGGCTGCAATAGATTATCACTTTTTATTTGAGGGACGTCTTGAGAAGCTTTGATTGCACTCCTTGCAGGTGAGAATAGCAATTAAAAACAATCTAAATGCATTCATCTACATATAAGTAAACCAATTATTATTTTTTTATCAAACTGTACTTAATGTTTTAGCACTTTTCAAAAATATCGTGACGTTGCAACTTTACATTGAAGCTTACGAACTGTCCTTTATGCATTTTATTCAACACAGTCATATTTCTTTAATGCTATTTAAATCAAATTATATTTCAAGTCTAGTACTTGAACGCATGTGTTGACCATGTAGCTCGTTGTGATGTTCTCTGTAAGTATTCAAACAATATTTGTTGTCTTTGTTTATTTTTATGCCGACATTCTTACCTTGCGTTTAGGTCTGATACAGATGCACACAAATACAAAAAACACGTGATAACAATTAATAGATTATACTTCCTATAGCAAGGTGTAATACACAGATAAATTACATAACTACATAGAGTACAAGGTCACCTCTTGATCCTATCAGCTGGACAAGAATCACATGACAATGATAACACATACTGTTACTCAGAACCTTCCACTGATTCATATCTTAAATCACTTTATCTGAAATAGCTATTTCGCATTTGGATCTCATACACTTTCATAGAAACAACATCAAAACTTACATTTCAGATATAGCTCGTCGAATGGCCCCTTGTGCGTAAAAAAATCAACACATAAAATATTTATCTGTCTACCTATGATGACACACATATGAACTGTTATAATAAATTACTGTGCATACAACTATTTGTAAAAACAATAAACACATACAGTAATGTGCGTACACAGTCTGTTTTGATATACTTCACCAATTGTTCAGTTATATCAAATACGTTTGAAACCTTAAAAGTGAGTGACAATACCGACATCACCATGGACGTATCATACGCTCCTAACATCACTACGTTTACAATCTACCGGAACGTATTTTTAAAAGAATTTTATCTGAAATATATAAAAGTTTGATAGCTTGTTGCAGTTTTATGTACTGGCAGTTATATTATCTAAATATGGCTGATGTAAGGAATATATAATGTGGTATACTACGTATTTTGTTATTGTGAGAATTTCCGTGCATTGTCATTACGTTGGTGATATTGAAATATTGTATTAAACTATTAGAAGTGAGAAATAGTGGTATGTTGAAACTTGCATGAACTTAGCAATTCCACATAGGTACAGTCACCCGCACACTTCAAGAAACTCATTTCATACTTAGCATGACCGTACTATATAGAGTAAAATATATTGTACAAAGTTCATATTTGTTATATAAATTCAATTCAAATAGTTTGCTATGATTAAAACAATATAACATGCATTATCGCACAGGTTAAACTGAAATAGAATATCATTGAAATATAAACAAAAAATAGGATGTCCCACATATGAAAAATTCAAAACGCTTTTGAGTGCTAATCCAAGAGTGTGTCATTGGTATTTTGCAATTGTAAACATCTATATTCAGATCTTTACTGGACATCCGCTGCTGTGTGGAATATCCATCATGTTTTACAATCACACAACATATTATATATTTCAATCGTCGTTCAACATCGGTTTTTCTGTACATCTGGATTATAGAAGCGTGCTATGAAGTAAAATGGTTGATGTGTCATAATAGATTTACAACTGTATGTACCTGGAATCAGTACATCATCCGATACCCAATATCACACAAGGTAATCACAGTACTTTTGTAGTTAGTCGAAGTATGTGTGTATATGCAAGTGTCAAACATTACAATGTTAATATCACTTGTTTTCCTGGTTTGATTTCATTACTCTCGCGTAAAACATTAGCTCCAATATCACTCTATTCCTGAAGTGAGCTCCGTTTCAGTTTGGCTCGGTGCCAAACACTGGGTTAAAGTCATAGTTCCAGAGTTGGTTCCATTTTAATTGAGCTTGGTGCCCGTGTCAAATATTCAAGCCATATCATTGTATTCCTGGAGCGAGGTCCACATTACTAGCGTCTATGGATACATAACTCTGTATACTAGGAGCATCTGTCATAAGAGGAGATTTTTCATCAGCGAAGTTTTTCATTTCTTTGACACTCTTCTTTGCTAGTCGTCTGTTTAATTTTCTTTCCTGAAAGATATAATACAATAAAATAATTCATTCCATAGGCTCATTTTACAGTCACAACGTTCACATGTCAGAGCTAAAACTTTGGGATTATTCTTTTGACAGTTGCATTCTGACATTTCTTCCATAGTAGCTATAATAGTTCTATTCTTCAAAAGTTTCGATTCTCAATGATACGTGTATCAAGTTTGGAAACTCTTCATTATTTTTGTTTATGATATATATGTAAGACAACTGTACCTTTGTGAGGTCGAGAATGTTGAGGACTACAGAACAGAGTGTACAGAAAAGACACATGCTCAGTAACAACCAAAACATCTTTTGGTATTTGTGTATTAGGGACTCCTTATTGGGGCTGTAAAGATAAGAAAAAGTAATCCTGAAGTGATCTCATCGATTAATTCATATATTACATGCATTACATGTTCCTTAATATATAATCAATATTAATATACATCACTTTCATTTCAAGTGATATGATTGGATTGAATGATACATGACAATATATAATAATAAATAAGATATTTCACGGTAATTGGACTCCTCTGGGGGAAATAACCCCGGGGGAAATCATTCTCCCGAACCCCATAATTACCTAGTTTGAACGCAACCTGAAGTTAGAGTGTCATCTGCTGCAACAATAACATGACAAGATTTGACGGATCAACAGACAACGATGTTTCTAAAATTCTGATGACAACGATGCTGTCAATAAGAAAAAAGCAACTATATGTGCCATGCAATCGTTGATGACTTATATAATCTAATCGGAGAGAGATGTTGATGTCGGTAACTGTAGTGACCTACAGTGCAAAAGTCTTATTGGTGGTGGAGTTGTCAATGTCAAGGTGAATTTCTACGAAACGTTGGCAAAAGAAGACACGAGTGTTAACAAGCTTGATTATGATGTTCGTGTGCCTCAGAGAGTTTAGGGATTTACACAATTTATCACTGGATGTGTAGTAATAGTAAACTTCATGTGTTATTGTGCTTTGCACTGGGAAAATAACCCTCCCAAGACAGACGATTTCCCGAGGAAAAACAACCCTTCCCAGGAAGACAATTATGGATGTATCAATCCATGGAGAGCCATAATGATATATTATTTACATTTGAAGAACATTTAACTTTTACGCCCACAATTATTGAACAATAGTAGAGACATGTAGATGTAGAAGCACTGTTAAACGTTCACCACGATACAGATATTTACACTTACTCTTCCGTGAAGCCGAGGAGTTTGCCCGTTACCAGGTTTGTCAAGCCAATACCCATTCCCTGGATAAAGGTTGCAATTCCTATAGCAGTACCAATGGCCTTCTTAGGAACGACAATTATTATACATGGCCACAGGCACACCTGCAAGACGGTACATATAGCAAAACGCAAGAGTAAAAGTAGTGCTGGTAGACAAAAAGGACACCCGTGGGGATGGGATCCACAATTGTGCACTAGATGTTACGTAAAGTTAATCAGTATTCAACCTTGTAGCAATCTTGGACATCAAAATATATTCACAGGCAAATATTTACTAATATATACACATTTCTAAGGGTTAAACAATCATTTTTTAAAACAATCTGTTTTGTACAGTCCGACTTTTAAAGTATGCATATTTTGTTGCATTGAGTCCCCTCTAAAAACGGATTACTATATATGTTTGGTTTACAATTATTCGTTCTAAATTTAAAAACAATCTCTGTAATTCTTACCCCGGCGAATGTGTAGGAGATGCCAATCCAGATAGTGAGTACTAGTGGGTGTATTTCTGGACAGTAGGAAAGTAATGGGAAGATCGGAAGAGTGAATGCAAAGATTGAAGTAAGAACGATTCCGTGGCAGTCTATTGCGCCCTACAACAGAACATTATTACAACAAATGTAAAACTGAGATGAGATATGACAGATGCTCGAACGCCGATACTTCCCCCCGTTAATCCCTCAGTTTATCTGCCTCTAATATTTCTGTCTTTACCGCTGATTGACTTTCAGTGTTTTATTGCTATTGCACATCTTTCTTCTCTTCGGATATATAAGACGCAGGGAGGTAGGACACTGGATAAATAAATTGCATACCGAGGCAATATAACTGCGCTTGAACGCAAATTTATCAAACGCAATATTTTCGTATGTAAACATAGTGGTTCATTACCTCGAGCAGAGCAAACTCAGTGAATAGAACTTTTTTCTTTAATCAACTTTTAAAATGGAAATGTTTAGAGTGAAATAAGACAGTAGTACTAGCTATTTTTTTTTTTTAATTTTTGTTGCAAAATATTCTAATCACTTTATGGACAAATGTTGACGATGACGTCAATATTCAGTTCCTTCGCAATATTTTTTTTGTTCAAAAACAGAATGATATTGCGTTAAACGCTATATGAGGGCTCACGAAATGATATTCAACTGTGTTACCTCGCGTGACATTTTATAAATCAATTATCACTTGTCGGCCATTTATGAATTTAGATTTTAAAAAAAAACTAAAATCGGTTCAACAGTATATGACTGTTTTCACTATAACCAGTTTTTGTGTCATTGTTTCGTTTTCGTTAACTTTTCGGGACCAAAGGACGCTTGAACGGTAAAACTGCAGACTGCATCATCAACTATGTTGAATTAAGAAAAGTTGGAATACTTGCTGCAAGAGTAACACGCGCATCATGTGCAGATTATTTTCTGTCTACAAGGAATTATTTTAGCTGGCGATCAAAACGGAAATTGAAACGAAATACGAAGTACTAATTTGCATTGAGAAACCATACCATGAATCTTCGGATAACAAAATTGTCAACATTGACAGCAATAGGTTATGCACTTCCAAAATCACGTTATTACTATTTGATGTATATGTTTAAATAACAGAAAAAACACTCTGGCGTTCGTTTCTAAATATAGGTACAATAAGATCAACAAAAAAGTGTTCACTATTATCAATGTTATAAACTTACCAGTATGCTACCAACCAGTGGTGATATGACAACTGATGTGTCGTATATAGCTCCATTATAGTAAGAGGAAGTTGTTTTAGAGTATCCGTATCTATCCTGAATATACTTCCTGTAATAATGTGTTATAGTTATACTTCAATACAAGGTAAATGTTATACTTCCTGTAACATTGTGTTATAGTTATACTTCAATACAACATAAATGTTATACTTCCTGTAACATTGTGTTATAGTTATACTTCAATACAACATAAATGTCATACTTCCTGTAACATTGTGTTATAGTTATACTTCAATACAACATAAATGTTATACTTCCTGTAACATTGTGTTATAGTTATACTTCAATACAACATAAATGTTATACTTCCTGTAAATATTATACTTCCTGTAACATTGTGTTATAGTTATAAACTTCAATACTTCCTGTAACATTGTGTTATAGTTATACTTCAATACAACATAAATGTTATACTTCCTGTAACATTGTGTTATAGTTATACTTCAATACAACATAAATATTATACATCCTGTAACATTGTGTTATAGTTATACTTCAATACAAGGTAAATATTATACATCCTGTAACATTGTGTTATAGTTATACTTCAATACAACATAAATGTCATACTTCCTGTAACATTGTGTTAGAGTTATACTTCAATACAGCATAAATATTATACATCCTGTAACATTGTGTTATAGTTATACTTCAATACAAGGTAAATGTTATACTTCCTGTAACATTGTGTTATAGTTATACTTCAATACAACATAAATGTCATACTTCCTGTAACATTGTGTTATAGTTATACTTCAATACAACATAAATGTTATACGTCCTGTAACATTGTGTTATAGTTATACTTCAATACAACATAAATGTTATACTTTCTGTAACATTGTGTTATAGTTATACTTCAATACAACATAAATATTATACTTCCTGTAACATTGTGTTATAGTTATACTTCAATACAAGGTAAATATTATACTTTCTGTAACATTGTGTTATAGTTATACTTCAATACAACATAAATGTTATACTTTCTGTAACATTGTGTTATAGTTATACTTCAATACAACATAAATATTATACTTCCTGTAACATTGCGTTATAGTTATACTTCAATACAACATAAATGTTATACTTTCTGTAACATTGTGTTATAGTTATACTTCAATACAACATAAATGTTATACTTTCTGTAACATTGTGTTATAGTTATACTTCAATACAACATAAATGTTATACTTTCTGTAACATTGTGTTATAGTTATACTTCAATACAACATAAATGTTATACTTTCTGTAACATTGTGTTATAGTTATACTTCAATACAACATAAATGTTATACGTCCTGTAACATTGTGTTATAGTTATACTTCAATACAAGGTAAATGTTATACTTCCTGTAACATTGTGTTAGAGTTATACTTCAATACAACATAAATGTTATACGTTCTGTAACATTGTGTTATAGTTATACTTCAATACAGCATAATTGTTATACTTCCTGTAACTTTTTAATATCTCATAAAATATATGTTCTGCACTTAGCAAATTGATAATATATTTAATCGGTTATTTTTTAATACTTACGTTCCGTTTGAAACGAAAGGTAAATAACTGGCATAGTAGGACATGATCATCAGACAAATCATCCAGTAAATAGCAGGAAATTCTCTGATATCCTTACGGGACTATATGGGGAAGACAAAACAGTAAATGTATACACTAAAAATCACTGGTTAACCGATTAACACACGTATTAAATGTTCATTCAACGTTTTGAAAATCATCATTTTTCACATCATCTATGCAACGATTAGAATCGGTGGTTTGCGATTGAAATGTATTAATATTAGAAATGAAAACTGCAACTTACCACTGGCAGGGCTTTCATATTTATTTTACAGTCATCATCCAGCTGCAGAGTACCGTAATAGTCTACTATAGCGAGGCTGATAGCGGATAAAACTCCTATCACACAGGCTACAGTTCCTTTTAAAATTCAAATATTTAAAGCTTAGCGGCTGAAAAATCTGTTTTAAACATTTTTTCCTACACATTTCCCCTATTTTATTATATCTATAAGTCAAACAGCTATTGACAACGTCCTTTGACTACCGCTTTTGATTAATTAATTCAATTCAAGTATTACAAAGATATAATATGGCACTCTTTATTCATTTCAGGGGGTGGGGGTGGAAATGAGGCTTGGTAGTGACGAGGGTTATACATATAAAGACAAAACGTAGATGGTTGACTTGAATAACTCACCCATCCAAAATGCCCATTGGATTCCATAATGTTTTGCGATGTTAGCAGTAAGAAGAAAATTTGAAACGTTTCCCACACGTAATGCGAATATCACAAATCCATAAACAAAAGAGATTCTGTCCTTGAACCAAAACGCGACGACGCGATCTTGAACAACTACAAAAAAATAAGAAAAGAAAACTTAACGTTTGATCAAGTACATGCTACTCTGTGGTGTTAAATAGTGATGTCGTCTTGTTTGATTGAATTACATAAGTGATGAGCATAACGATCAATAGAAAAGGTGTCGATAAAACATGAAGGCAAACATACTGAGTGACGACCCAGTTCCCGCTCCTATTAGTACACGCCCACATATCATCAAAGGAAACATGGCGGTCGTCCCCTGTATCCCATCCATAGTGGCAACAGCAAACAGGATGGTACCGAAAGTAGCCATCGTTGTTACCATGATCGCAGATACTGAACAGACAATATTTGGGGCGAAAGTAAGTATACATTGTAGTTAAGAATGGCATATTTACAAAATAATAATGAAACCCAAACATATTTTGGAACAATAGGACAATTCATCATGCTGTTTGGTTCACATTCATAAGAATATTCAAATAAGTGGCAGAAATCATTGGTGATAATTTATCCCGAAGACACACCGAAAATGTTCCAAAGAAATGCCATGTCATAATATATATACATCCGTATCAGCTTTCCTTTGGAGATGAATATTCCCTCGAACTACTGAGGGCGCCAAATAATAAACATACGTCCTTTATAGAAAAAAAGTCGATAAAATGTTATATTTGCCTGTGTGTTCATTGTACCTACACTAGAAGTGAATGTTCCATGCAACTTTAATTAACAAAAATAGTTTTACCTCGATTTCCGATTCTGTCGATGAGATATCCTCCTGGTAAGGCAAAGAGTGCGTTCCTGTTTTAAATACAATTCAACATCATTCAATATAACATAAACTGTTACGTATATAGTATAAATAATCAGATATAACATAAACTGTTACCGTATATAGTATAAATAATCAGATATAACATAAACTGTTACCGTATATAGTATAAATAATCAGATATAACATAAACTGTTACCGTATATAGTATAAATTATCAGATATAACATAAACTGTTACGTATATAGTATAAATAATCAGATATAACATAAACTGTTACCGTATATAGTATAAATATCAAATTCTCTCTAATGACATGATCCCAAAGAAAAATAGCATTTTTGTATTTATTTGTTTATATTGATACAGTTTAATTCATTAATTGACTTTATCTATCTTACAATCCTTTTAAACATTTTGTTAGCATTAAGATGTTGTTGGGTGTGAGCACCAATATTTGTTCTATGACTCAGATATACTTACATCCAGGAGAAAGCGGTGTACAACTGGTTGTACCTATCGGGGCCCAGTCCAAGACACCCATCACAACACGTGGCATTCGTTATATTTGCGCAGGTTCCAGTCTGAAGATGACATATTTAATCACATCTTGTTATATTTTAAACTGTATGCCAACATGAAACAAAAATGTTAATGTTGGAATAAAAACAATCCTGGAATCATATAATAACGAAGAGTTTATCTAGAATACAGCTACAACTATTTCACTTAAGTTGGTGCTGCATATTCAATCGTGTACTTTGTACATGTGTATTTTGTGGATTTATCTTAAAAAGCCTAGATACCAATAAAAGTATTTAAAATAATACACAAAATAAACCACTAAATAAAACAAAACATCTCCCAAAAATAGATAAATACAAAGAAGAACAAAACAAAACAAAACAAACAAATAAATTAACTCAAAAATACAATATATATTATTTTTCTGTTTGTTTATTTCTGCGTAAACGTGCAGAATAGACATTCATATTACTATGTCTCTCGACTTTTCATGTTCCTTGTCACACATGGTTTTATTTGGGAGATTTGCATTGTAAATATCTAATTGTTATATATAGATAATTTTCATTGCTGTATTCTTTATTGAAGACATACAAGTACATATGTGTCATTGTATTCTACACATCCAGTTAAACTGTTATTTTACATTTTATTTTACAATATTTACTATATTTGTAGCAGGAGAGGCACTTTTATAGGAGGAAACTACAAAGAAGAAGTGTGGTAAGTGACTGACCTACTGTAAAAGGCGATCATTTAAGAGGTTTGAACGAATATGATTGTTTACATGCTTATAATAATTCTAAAAGAGATGAATGCTCTTTGGTGTACGGTTTGATCTGTGTCCAAGATGACTACAATAGAATGATTGTGTTACTCACGTCTTGACCCTGTATATCTGCCTGAACGGCGCTGATGATGTCGATGTTGAAGTAACACCCGAACGTCATAGAGCAGTCGAACACGAGGATCAGATATCGCCATTTCCCTATAGAATTACACAAAGGCCAATATGATATACTTACGTTAAACAACTCGGTTGTTCTGTGATATTACGTATGCATAACCAATTGAGCATAATTGAAAAAACCACAAGAAATAATAAAACAACATTTTGGGAAGGCTGCTTTTACAAAAATGGGTATTATTAATATTTTTAATGTAATTAAATACCGCACAAGCATATTCCTTGTGTGTATATATAGTATTGAAAAATCTGTAGCAAGTAATGATTAGTTGCCGCATAAGCTGAACGGAAAAAACTAGAAACAACCCATAAAAAGGTCACATCTCTACAAAGTCTAGGCAGACCAATAAAAGATACAGACAACGATTTGATACATTTAAAAACACCTAGAGCAAACAGTAATATTATAGTATTCACAGCGTTAGATATATCCAAATCATCTATAAACAATAACGCATGTTACGTAGTTTATATATGAAAGACTAAGATCAACCTCACAACATCGTTACAAAATCATTTTAGTTAACTCGCCGCGAAGTCAACTGACATCCCCATATAAAAAACAAAAACAAGATATTACCAATACTTACAATCTTCGACTTTCATTGCGGTCTACAAGAACACTACCAGGCACTGAAGACATTATCCTTGAAAAAAAAATATATATGTTTCTTTACAAAACGGAAAACGGGAACCAATATCCTTTACATTCTTTGTCACACACTTTATATGTCATAGGAATTTTCATTTTATATGCAAATCGTACTAAAATGCCGGTGGTGATTTTTGTTTCTCAGGAAGCAGAGAAATTGACCGGACTGTGCAGACATATTCGTTGACACGACACTTTACCCTAATTTTTCTGTGGATGGCATGCGACTGGCCTCACGATTATTGTTCAGTGAGATAGCCAGCAGCTGCTACAAGGAGATCCGCCTCAAAATGGCACCGGTTGTTCACAGGGCATTGAACTAACGAAGAAACAAGTTAGAGATATCAAAGATAGTACAAAGGATACACGTTGAATAATAACTTTAAATAATAACTTTTTATTTTTATGGCGTTGAAAGATACAGGATGATGGACACTGGTCTTCATAATAATCCCATTGGGAATTTCCTTGTGTGATAATGTCTCCTGATTCCGTTCTTATTTACCTTGCTCTCATTTGGGAACATGGTATTAGTTACAAGTTCAAGATTGACATGACGGGTGTCGGTGATGAGACAGAATATATTTATTTCTAGAACACCAACTTCTTTCCCTTGTATTTTTTCAGGAGTTTCCTTATACATGTTTCATTTGTTATACTCAGGAAGGGCGTGGTCTGTGTTGAAATTGAGGTATCCTTGGGCAAAGACATTTTACCCTTATTGCTAAAGATGGCATGTAACGGGTTTCCTGTATGTTTTTCAGCGAGGTAGCCACTAGCTACTACAAAGATCGTAGCTGTTCATTGGGCGATAAACCCAACAATAAAACTACTTGTACTTTCCCTAGTTTCATCAAATTTTAATTTGGGCTTTAATTTAGATTCTGTAACATGTCAGTTTTTTTCTATATAACTTTACACAAGATATAAGCGCATATATAGATTGTTTCTCCAAAACTCTCCAGGCTAGTTTTAATCTTTCTCCTTCTCAGTAATAAAGCGCAATATCAACTACAACAGTTATGCATGTATATTGTATGATAAATTAGAGTAAATAATCTGATAATATTCGATGCTTATGTATTTATATGCTAAAAATGGAGACAGCAACTGAACTTGAAGCGATACCAAAAGGGGGGAAATTTCAGGAACATGTGAGACATTTAAACAAAATAAAAGGGGGAAAACGAGAAAAAAAATAAAAATACAAACAAAACGTATATGATGATAATTAGGAGGAGGAGGAGGAGGAGGAGGAGGAGGAGGAATGTAGTGAAATTCGAAAATAGTGGCATAGATTGTTGCTAGTAGGTTTTTCAAACAGTTTTTCACTGCTCAATGTATTGATAAAGCTCGCTTCGAAATCTTCCTTGCAGAATCTCGATTTGAAATTTCACAAGAGTGAAAGTTTAAATTTAAACTCATGTATATTATGTACATTACTGAAGTAGGGTCACATTTAATAAATTTTGCGTTCAAGGTAAATGTTTTTCACGAGAGTTTATTGAAAATATCTTAGAATTATTTGCTTAAAACAAGAAATAAAAAATTGAAATAGAATAGAAATTTAAAAAATGGTTTGAATATAAGTGGTAATTTAAAGGTAGTTGGTGTCGTCAGAATAAGACACATTGTCTTAATCATTAGAATATAAACAAACATAGCACTATGAACAAATGTCTCACTTGTCAGTAATATAAACAGATCAGACCAAGTAAAATATTTTTGATGTCAAACATTTCTCTCGGCACTTTCATAGGAAGATGGCGGTCGCCAGGCCATCAAAAGTGAATGAAACGTTAGTTCAGTTGTGTCTGATTGTCTGATTCTACTTCTCCATAAATTAGGAAAGATATTTTCAACAATCAAGAAAGTCACATTTATATTGGCTGCCACTATAACAAATCTCTCTGGAGTTGTCCGTTTAAACCTGCCAAAAAATAGACTCTCGCGAAATTCGGGGAAACAGTAGGTTTACAATGACAAATCTAGAGAGAATCGATCTAGTGGCGTCGATTGCAATTATGCTTGAATGTAAAGATGTTGGTGAAATTAAGTTATGTGAAAAAATATCTTAGCTTTCCATCGACGTATCGTTCTTAACTATGGTTCTGTTGTAAACTATATAAAACATTACCTGACTGTCAATCTATACACTTCGTGTTTTATATATTCTGTCAATCGTGGATCGATATTCATAATCTGGAGGCCTAATCACGTTCTGTTTAAATTATTAAAACGGATTATCATCTCTAAATAAAGATACAATTAAGCCAGATTATACTTCATCATACAGCTATTTCGCCCTTTTAGAACTTGTCAGCGATGCTACATCATACAGCTATTTCGCCCTTCTAGACCTCGTCAGTGTTGCTACATCAGATAGCTATTTCGTCTCTCTAAAACTCGTCAGTGATTCTACATCATGCAGCTACTTCGTCCTTCTAGAACTCGACAGTGTTGCTACATTATACGGTTATTTCATCTCTCTAGAACTCGTCTGTGATGCTAAATCATGCAGCTATTTCTTCCTTCTAGAATTCGTCAGTGTTGCTACATCAAGCAGCTGTTTTTTTCCTCTAGAACTCGTCTGTGATATCATATCATGCAGCTATTTCGTCCTTCTAGTACTCGTTAGTGTTGTTTCATCACGTAGCTGTTTCTTTGCTCTAGAACATTTGTACATTTGTGCATCATGCAGCTCTTATGTCCCTCTAGAACTCGTCAATGTTTCTATTGTCATAACTTGATAAAACTTAGGAGGCGACCGAATTTGATCAAATAAATTGATCGAAATACATGTTAAAAAGCAGATGGGAAGGTAACTTTCAATACTGAATGATTTCAAAACAACGTCAAATAGACGTGTGAACCCACTCTACTTACCATTACTGTGAAGACAACTCCGTTAGAGATTTCAAGCATCTTCACTGAAAGTATACACATTATTTGTTTGCATTTCGTAGATGATTAACATGTATACTATCAGGCAGACAATAGCAGGATGTAGATCACATGCTTGATAAATAGCTATCTGCTGAACGACGTCTATCATGTAGATATGTCCACTCATCATATCGAGCCCAGACATGGCCGGACCACGGTTATCTACTCATATACACAAAGGCCTTACTAGACACAACATTTGCAATAACAACAAGAAAATACGAAGAAAACAAATTTTACACGGACACCCTGAAAGTTATTATGAGAGTATGACCACGTGCTCGGGAAGAGTAAGCGTCTTCTGCTTCACCGGTGACACCAGCAATGAAAGTCTTGGTAAATCCAAGTAACCAACGATAAGTTGTCAAATGAGAAACATATTTTTGATAAAGTCAACAAACAGTTAAGGAACGTCAAATAAATATAATTCATAAAGTACAAGGATATACTTCCTATTGATATCGTCAAGGCAACCATTAAACTAACTCCATTCTTCACTAATTTGCATCACTCGAAAACCTGGGAATTAAGTTTATCTAACAACTGTCGACATCTTTCCCGAAAATCGTTATATTTGGGACATTACCTTGAATATTTATCAACTACGACATGTAAACATCGCATATTTTCCCCGGAGACAACCTCATTTATCTGCATGGTCCTCATATCGAATTCGTGATCGCTTTCTCAAAGTGGCAGAAACAAAAGTTAAAAAAACGATAATTGAATCTAATTAACAGTTGTTTAATTCAATTTTACTGTTAAGATAATTCATATCTTAATACATATCTCGATTCGGAAACAAACCATATCTGCCTTTCAATCAATATGCTTATACATAGATTAGATAGAGTTAACTCGGTGACGTGGACTTCAGCCATGTACTCATTGATGAATGCATTGCAGACATGTAAAAGGTCACAGCTTTATCGCCTCGTAGGTAATATTATACTAGAGTCAGCTTCACAATGATACAAAGCTTACTTAGTGTTGTGGTTACTATACATCTGAATTAGACTACATTGCGTATGTATTTATAGTGTAGAGAAAAATCACAGTACATTTGTACCCTTTTTCAAGTTGTTGATGACTAGGTAGCTCCTTCCAGTGTCAGGTTGTACAGCTTATGCAAAAATATGGGCATTTGAATCAAACTTGGAAAACTTTCAAACTTATGTTGATGTGTATCAAATTATGGCACATGCTGATAGAATTTATATTTCAGTAAAAGTTTACATCACACACTATCGTTTGGTTCTATGAAAATTGAATCGACACAAAGGTAAAATGTGGAAAACAATAATTTACAATCTAGAAAAACCAAATTGTTATAGGATGCAGTTTAAGTCATTATTTTTCTCTACTGTGTCTAGTTTTAACTTTTTATCGAAATGAACTATTTACATCTGCCTTTTGTACAATGTTGTTGTAGTAACACAGCTAACATGAATTGAAGCAGGCAAAAACAGTGGGGTGTTGATGCAGACGATTCCATAATAAAGAGGATCAATGAGAGGGGTTGGGTTGTTGAGGCACATGATTCCATGATGATGAGGTTCAATGAGAGGGGTTGGGTTGTTGAGGCACATGATTCCATGATGATGAGGTTCAATGAGAGGGGTTGGGTTGTTGAGGCACATGATTCCATGATGATGAGGTTCAATGAGAGGGGTTGGGTTGTTGAGGCACATGATTTCATGATGAAGAGGTTCAATGAGAGGGGTTGGGTTGTTGAGGCACAGTTTCATGATGAAGAGGTTCAATGAGAGGGGTTGAGGTTTGATGAGTGGATTAGGGATGTTGAGGCAGATGATTTCATAATGAAGAGGATCAATGAGAGGGGTTTGGGTTGTTGAGGCAGAATAATTCATGTTGAAGAGGTTCGCTGAGAGGGGTTGGTGTGTTAAGGCAGATGATTTCATGATGCAGAGGTTCGATGAGAGGGGTTGGGGTGTTGAGGCAGATGAATTCATGTTGAAGAGGTTCAATAAGAGGGGTTGGGATGTTGAGTTACATGATGATGAGGATGTTGAAGGGTTGTTGAGGCAGTTGATTCCATGATGATGAGGTTTGATGAGGATGTTGAAGGTGGGTTGAGGTAGACGACTCCATGATGAAGATGTTTGATGAGGATGTTGAAGGGGTGTTAATGCAGACGATTTCATGATGATGAGGTTTGATGAGGATGTTGAAGGTGGGTTGAGGTAGACGACTCCATGATGAAGATGTTTGATGAGGATGTTGAAGGGGTGTTGAGGCACACGATTTTATGATGATGAGGTTTGACTTGGTCATGTTATTTCATTAATACTTTCAAGGTGCAATGCAAAATTTGAAGCTTGCATTGGTTTTAAGTACAATTACTACATTGCTGAAACTTTCATTTTGATGAATTCCTTAAAAATCATTTACTTACGATAATAATTCAATTCTAATTCTTTGTTTTCTGTTCAGCTCGAACAAATCATGTTAAAAATGCATGGTGTTATAACCTCGTGTTGCTGTACCACATATACAGTTCACGATAAAAATATCAGATTACTCCTGATAATGGCCAGAGGTTTTTCGAATGCCCCTTGCTTCGTTCAACCTCTGCTGTGACGAACTTCCACCTACATCTGTTATTACTTTGAGAAGCAATGTCGCGCCTTCATTCCTTAAAGTTTATGTCTGTAATCGTAGCTTCCTAGTATACATTATAAGTTATGTATATTGCCTAGTGACAAAATAATATATTACAACATCATCGATCTCAGGACTTCTATAAAAGATATTGTGTGCGATATAATTTTATTCAATACAGAATAGGACATTTTCTCTGGGAGTAAAAAGTGTTTTTTGTCAGAATTGTACAATCTTTTGTAATTGCATGTCTCCCATAGGTTTGCTTTCACGTGAATATTGGCACAGAATACACATATGTACTTGAAATTATTTCAATACCAACTAATATTTATAAAATATATGGAAATCATGATGAAATCATTGCACTATTCATTTCTCTAGCTCGCCTTTTAATTTCAACTTTTAAGTCCCAAAAATTTATTGACGAGTCCTAGCAGAAGTATATGTGCTGTATCTCTTGGCAAATTTGAATTTTAATATCCTATTTACTCGATTCCTAATGTTCAATATTTTCGAGTACGATCCGCATACTGGGAGTCATTACGTCCATCAGTAACCAGCTTGTTTTCTTTACCCCAAATATTAATTTGATAGCGATAACTGATGAAAGTTTATACCAAGATATCAATATGTATCAACACAATTATATCAGACTAAGACTATGACAGAGGTAAACATTAAAAAAAAAAAGACCCAAGAGGTCTCAGCATCGCAATCGTGTGATCTAAAAATCAGCCTCCTTATGGAGAATATCTCTTACCTTTATCTTTATATCCCTTACTCCAACCTTCTGCGTCAATTCAATGGTGTTTTTGACCAAATTTGGTCAAGAAAGCTCCTCTGCCCCCTCTCTCCCATTTTAACATCCATAACATATCCAAGTGATACAAATCCTCCCCCCTTTCACCCCATCCAATTCAACAATGAGTGATGTACAAAAGAGATGGGAGAAAATGGACAAGTATGTGAAGTTTGATCAAAGTCCCTGATGGAATGGCGCTGTCAGAGTGTTGATAAGTCATTTCTTGAATTAGTAATGATGATCTTTGCCTTGATCCTAGAAAGCCTAAATTTGAGATATAATAAGTCCTTTCAACAATATGAGAAGCTGCTCAGTGCTGACAAGGACGTGGACATTTGGCTACATCACGTGCCGCAACATCCCTATATCCGCTACTGACATTCATCGTGAGGGATAATATGGGCGGAAGGAATGAAACAATTACAACCCTCAGACTTCCTGCAGTATAGCAGTGTTATTGGGACAAAAATGTGTCTTGACAGCTGACTTCACACTTTCAATGAATCACTTAATAGTTATTTATCATCAAGACTCCATCAAGTGCTTGATAAAGATTTTATTCCCTGCTCTTTACATAATGACCTGCTCTCTTATCTGCTACAAACAAAACTATCAACAAATGTTAACTTTATTACAAATTACTTTATTCATGACTTGTCATTCCAAAATATTGTATGCAAACCAAATGATAATAATATAATACCTAAATTGCCAAATATTGTTTTATTTTCTCTTTAAATCCTGATAAGAAAATTTAATGAGGATACCAGGAAGGACTTCACCGATCATCAATATCACTGAAACCAAAACATTGCTCACAAAAGGGCTTTAACAATGATATGATGGAAACGACTGTTACGATGGGGACAAAAATCACTTAAATCTGTTCAACATAATATTTAGTAGTTGGTAAAATTTAACTGTTGGATGATGATCCATCTGAATACTGATATGAGTTCTTACTTCATACAAAATCATTTGGTATCTATGTGGTTTTAATTCTGATGCAGATCCGATATACATTATCTACTTAAAGGATTATATCATAGCTTTGTAATTGACATATAATTGATTTTCGATGGTGCTAGCAAATATTATACAGACAAAATTATTTTGATGAATTATTCTAAACAAGAGGCCCAAGGGGCTGACATAGCTCATCTGGTTTTCAATGGGGTTTTTTTCACAAATATATCTTTATGTCACATTAATGACATTCATCAAAGGAATCTACCATCCAAATATACTAATTCTAGTCTCTTTGTTAATCAGATGTGGTGTGAAGATTTTCAGAAATTTGACCTCTAGTACCTGGAATACTGATCAAGGTAATTCCACAAAATTTGTAGGGCTATATCCACAAAACCTACCAGCCATATTTCATAATTCTATGTCTTTAGCTTATTACGCAGAACTTGTCCGAAGGTTTTAACAAATATGACCCCTGTGACTATGAATATGGGTCAAGTTGTCTTTCTGAACGGAAAAGATGATGCCCAATAGAAGATTGGCAGGCAATAGGTGCTGCACCACAATATAATATAGCCCTTTGAGTCTGGTGAGCTAAAATGTATTGCTGGTTGGATTATTTTAAAAGAAGATAACTTCAAGATTATAAATACCAGATTTAGAAATGAAGTTACAGTATGTTATAAGTAAAACTATGAAAACAAGTATGACCAAATTTATCACAAAACTTGTGTACTAGTCTAGAATGATGAACATGTTTAAAAGGGAGATAACTAGGGTATACGAACCTAGTATCTACTGTAGATAAAAACAGATGGCTATCCTGACAGGAGATTTCAAGGGGAGTTCCTCATTTTATTCTTAGTAACCTGTATCTGAGAGGAATCCCTTTAATCTTATTCTTAGAGTATGTATCACAACATCAATTCTGCATCTGTAACATTGGAGAAAGAAAGCTCAACAAGTCTGCAAATCTCTTCTCATATCAATATATTTTCAAGTCTTTTAGAAGTTTATTTTTTCAAAGACTCTGCATCAATCAATACAGAGGATTCTGATGACGACAGACATGCATTCCTTCATTCAATATTACAGTAAACCATAGAAATGATATACTTAAAAGCTGGTTATGCTATCAAAACACTGATCTTATTAGATATACATAATATTGTTATAACAAAAGTTCATTGATATTGATGAGAAAATTCAGCTGAAAATGTTTAGAAGCAACACGATCACCTTCTGAGCAAAACAACTTTCAAGGCAAATAAAAATTGCTAGCCCTTTAGACATTAACAACTTAATAAAAATTATTCTTGAAGATAATCTAATATGTTATGATAACTTTTATGTACAAAAGTTCTTTCCTGATAAAGCATCCATCTGGTATTTTCATCACAAGGCAAAATGGCACTAGAGATAAACTGTTAAACACTCCTGATATTAAACCACAACCTAATATCAAGTTCTACAGGAAATGTTGAACCACCATATACATTCACCATTTTTTCCAACAGCCTCTTTTAAACATTTGTTTGATGTAAAGTTCTGCATTCTAAAATCTTGCTCTTCATCTACATACTTATTTTAATCAAATATAGTAAAAGGCAGTTAAGTACATTTCATGACTACCCATAATAATCAGAATATGTCTGGTCATATATGACATGGAAACTGTTTTTCAAACAAAAAAAGACACTCCAAATCTTTGTTATCTGAAAAAAAATGCAACTGCCATAGGAAAGAAACATTTTAGAAATAGCCATAGAGAAGAAATGAAAATTTGTCACCCTTCACATTAGTACAACATTCATACACACTCCACACCAAACCTCTACGTATTCCATACACATGTAATGCCATACAAGTGGTAGAAAACAATTCAGGTCCTTTTATCATCCGGGTTGGTTTCTACTCATACTTAACCATCCAAAACAATATAACTAAAAACATGTATCCTAAAGTGTGTCTGTCTTAATTGATATACTGCGCCAACCACCTGAATCCTTCACCGTACCCCTGTCGCTTCAGTACTGAACACATGAACAGCTCCATTGGACGGCCAGGAAGCTCTTTTCTTGCAACTGTCCCCTGAAAAATATAAAATCACTGATTTTCCAAAACATGTTCTGGCAATTAAAAAGATTATGGAGTATTTATTTTCCCTATACTATATCAATTTACATTGTAATATATACATATTTAATGAATTTATGACAAATATATGAAACTTTTTATGTCAAAGAGGCTTTATAAGGGTTGAATTGATTTACCTTATTACCAAGGACAAATCCCTCTTATATACAGTACTTGTTAAATATACATTTCCAAATGTTAATGGTAACTATTAAGTAGATGTAAAAATGTGGTTTTATTTTAACATAATCTTAAGGCATGAGTTTGTAATACTTTATCAAATCAAAATGATCATTGTAAGAATAACAGTAAAAAGCTGTCTGAATTTTGATTTTTAGTACACAAAACTTTTATCGACAAAAACTTACTGAGTATTTTCCTGACTGATATTAGTAGAGAATTCGATCAAAATCTTAATATCAGGAAAGTTTGTTGCTGCAGTGATGTCAATGAAATGGTTGTTAAATTACTAATATACTGACTCATCTGAAATGGGTCTTATGTGTCTCACCAGAATAGTGAGATAAGATTTACGATGAAGACAGATAAAATTTGATATTAGCCTTTCAGTAAATGACCATAATAATGTTGGACTGACAAAAATACATTAACATACATCAAGATCTTCACTCTGCAAAATATCAGTGATCCTGGCATTTTTGGTTCTGGAGGAAATCTCCAGAAGTACAACAAAATGATTATGCACAGATGACTGTACAGATATCAAATACTGAAGTCTTACCTCAGTCAGAAATAGCAGTTTATATTTCAAAAACATACATATTTATATGTGATATATGATAAAAATAAGTGTAATAGTACTTACCTTGCCTGTTGTCTGACCATGAAGACCAAACCAGTGTCTGATTTCATCCTCACTGGCTGCCCCTGCTTTGTCAATCTTGTTTCCCAGAACCAGGACAGGGGCATGAGCTACCTGTTCATCTGTTAATAAACTCTGCAAACACATAAACACAATATCCGATAACTATAGTCAAGAGACATAGTTATGATATCTCTTTTTTGACAATCACCACCCCCACTCCTTGTTTCAGGAAGATGTTTACACAGTTGTCAATTACCAAGTACATAAAAGACAATTCATTTGATGATTAATTAGTTTTCTATGTCAGCATGATTCTAGGCCTAATGGTTCTCTAGAAGTTGCTTAAATCAATAAGTCAATAAGAAAACATGCACTTTTGAAAAAGAAGTTTGAAAGTGTAATGCACAGATAAAGATATTTTCCAACAAGGATTTTCACTTCACAATCTTCCTGATCCCTATACTTACATCTAATTCCGCTTTTGCTTCTGCAAATCTTTCTTTGTCACAAACATCGACGAGAAATACAATGCCATCTACTGCTGGGAAATAGTCTTTCCATACCCGTCGAGCTTAAACAAACACATAATTTCATTGGCACAAACATTCAATTAACTTTTTACAAGATACCAATAACAACTTAATGGGGACCTGATCACTTAACTTTTGAATTTGTATAACCTTATAGTGCGCCTTTTGCTTCTTTCATTTTCAGTTTGGTTGGTTAAAAATATTGTCATAGTAACATAATAATAGTATAGTTACTTCATAGTAACAAGCGATAAGTAACAAGTGTGTATTGAATACAATCAAATTTGTCATCCAAACATGAAACATGAGAAAACACCTCTTGTTGACAAGAGTTGTAAAGAGGGCCCCTAAGGCGATAATTATGCTAGTAAAATAAAAAATGTTTTAAGTATGTACGCTGAATACACTTAGATAACATAATGAAATGGTCAAACCATTTGACAGACATTTGTTATAAGGGACAGGAGACAAACTCATTTTCTTTACCTATACAATTCTATAATACCAGTCCAAAGACATACATACATGCCCTGCCATATTAGTTCATGAGGCTGAACTTACCATTAAAGAATGCATGTAATTTCTTTTATTTATTACCTTGCTGATGACCTCCAAGGTCAAAGGTTGTGAACCTCATGCCTCCCATTGACAACTCTTCTGAAGCTGAAATGATAAAATTTTAGCAAAAAGAATTAGACAAACAAAAGTTAATGCATTTTAAAAGTACATGCATGAACTTTTAGATTTTAATCACTGTTATCAATAAGAAGAAAAACAATCATTCATTATTCAAAAGAGACTTTTACAAATTAGTATCTATTCAAGGTCCTATCGGTATTAAGAAAAATCCATTCAAAATAAATATGTGCAGTATTTATGTTTTTTGTTTAGTCTTTGTAATCTAATTGTCAAAAACATTTTTTGAGCTCAAGCACTGGCTAAGTACATTTGATCTTAAACCACAAGAAAGCCATAAAGAGTTAATCTTTTGATCATTTAGAAAAACCTCAAGTTTTAACAATATCTTAAGCAATTATTCTGTTTGAAACACATCGGTACATATTTTATATCAAACTCTTAAAAATTAAAATACAATTTCTGGTACTTTGTACAAATAAGGCCAGATTTTTTTTCAGTTTTTTGGGAATGAGATATTTTTTATCTCATTGCAGAGGATAAAAAGATCAATTGAGAATGAATTTTTTAGGACTAAACTATATATTTGAAGAATTTGACTTTATCATGAAAAAAATCCAATTTGGAATGAGGTAAATATTTCGCCCCACAGAATCCTGGAAATGGGCTGGAGGCATATTGTACTATTTGGTGGTGTTTTTTAAACAAAGATAGTTATTTGTAATTAGTGAAACAATTGAATTTAGTATGGATGATATTGAAGAAATATCATCTTTATGAAAAAAAAACTTTCATTTTGCAACAATTATAGACAATTGCCAGCTTGGTTTCTGAAATGAGGTACTGGAACTAGGATGGGATATCCCAATTCTTTGTTAATACTCCTTGTGCTTCAAAAATGCTTCATTTATACAATTACTCAAGCACATTGCACTCAGCTTTGCTGCTTGCACATATAAATAACAGAAATCATAAGTCCTGTCAATTTTTTTTTTTAAGACCTGGCACTCTTAACATCCAGTTACATGTACCTGGCAGGTAATGTACACACATCTATACACACATGCAAGCCTAATATACAATTCATTCAATGTAGAGTTGTTAATTCTAACACTAAAAATGCATTCTTGCTTGTTATTGTATTATGAATATGGATCAATGGCAATTTAGTCATGATACTTGTACAGTAGAAAACACACCTTTACATGCCATATACCTGTGCAACAGCTGTTCCTCTGTTGATATATTCAATCTAAATTTTCCAGCATAGTCATACGTTTATCTTCACGCACTTACCATGAAATAAGCATCCTAATTTTTATTATGCTTAACTTTGCAATTTAAATCACTTACCATACTTATCCTGCAATAAATGATGTGGGCTGGCATACTCGGAGTTTGGGGTGTGCTTATTGTAAGATATTATTGTTTGTTATTCTACTAAACAGAAATAGATATGGGCAAGTTTATCATGGGTTTACTGCTGGATAATTAAGATAAATCCTGAAGTTTACATGTAAATTCAATTTTGACCATTCCAATTTTCATTTATCATGAAGCTTTTCTACCCTTTATCAATACACTATATGTGTTCGACTTACAGAGCCTAGTTGCTGCCTTTACATTAACTGTTGTATAGACAGAAATTATTCCATCATGTTGTAGGTTGCTATAATGCTAACAGTATATAAACAAATAAATATAAACTAATTCCTATTTTTTCGACTCATTTCAGGCTGTTTACTTTTTACTTGAATCATTCTTACTATATAAATTATTCAACCACAAAATAAACAGCCTCACATGAGATTTACCTCTCTTACCAAATATTGTGTACTATGATGTCCTATTCTTTGTGATGTCATCCATGTATTGTAAGTGCTCATGCTTACAGCTTGTGTTTCTAATTTCTTTAAAATCTTTAATCCAGATGATGAGAACAATTCTAATTTTTGTATTACATACACACCTATCTGAAATCAGAACTATATACTTACACAAACTTTTGACATGGTCCTCATTTAAAGTTTTTTTTTATGTCATACACTCTTTCATAAAATCTGTAGTTTTCCTTATGATCTACACTGTATATACATACTGATAAATTGACACATCATGTTTTCCTTACATTTTTAGAACAGCAATAGGATAAATTTTTGTTTGCACAAACCAACTAAAGATGTTTACAAACAACTCTTTGAACTCTTCATTTGACCTATACGAGCATGCACAAGCCTGCCCTGTGGTTGCAAACAAAATAGTTTGAAAACCAAAGCAGTAAAGTGAAATGTGGTTGACAACAGATCATTAAATGATAAAAATTATGAAAAAAGAGAATGTTATATACCTCTTTTTGAATACTGAAGTTACCATTGTAGACCAGTTTACAACTTTCTATTAATAATGATAATTCACGCTAAAAAATCGAACTCTGAAGTTGTGATAGTTGGCCAAGGATTGAGGGGAAAATAATGGTACAGGGTTTTCCCTTGGCCAGTCAAACTGATGATGTTTAAAAGTCCAATGACTCAAAACATATATCAACAAAGAATCAGTGTACTTTTAAAAAGATTGGAAGTTCTATATCTCCAATTGCAAAATACTAACTAGTACGGAGAGCAGAAACTGACTGAATAACATAATAACCTGTACCAAGTTTGGGAGTATAGGTTAAGGCATTAAAATGCTAAATTTTGAGAGTCAGGGGACACCCTGATGACCGGTATTTACAGCTGGATTCATAAAGGCTCTGCCATGCTTACTTGGGTGCAATGTGGGAACGTGCTGAGCCATTCTGTCATCTTTGAGCATGTGTAGTAATGTTGTCTTTCCAGCATTATCAAGTCCCAGGAACACAAGCTTACCCGACTTTTTATATAAACCTACAACGACAAAAGACCATGCACTTTCTCATTATATAATATATAACAGTAGCAAATGCAACAGGGCAGTGAACCACAGCAATCGCATGCTGTTCTGGAGAACAACACATGTACTGTACAATGTCACGAACTATCACATCAACTTGATTAATTCATCACAGACAGGAACCAATCTTTTGGTAAATAGATAAAATCTAAGATAAAATAAAAATAAATCAGTATATTTCACACTTTTCAGTTTTTCATAAATTTACTAATTTATTTGTACAAGTACTGAGCAGTGGAGTAGAGCTATTACCTCTACACTTAATTTCATTACATACATGTAATGTGTTCTGTGATAGTGTGATCAGAATGTCAGTTTCAAAAATCAATGAAAAGAGGATTTCAGCATCCTTTATTTTTTTCATCAAATGACATTGTACAGTAAGTGTTAACCAAAATCTCCATGCACTGACACTGGACTTGTCAGACAATTGCTGAATACTTACTAGGGTGGAGAGTAGGAACTGGCTGAATTAAATGACCTTCTTTCAGCACGCTCAAAAGCGTGGTTTTCCCAGCATTATCCAGGCCAAGAAACAGCAATTTTCCTGACTTTCTTGTCAATCCTAGTTTTATATATATGTAACAGTATGTAATATGGAAAGTCCTATTTACTCCATTGTAATGGTTTATCTTCAGACAAATATAAGTTTAGCAAAACACAAGGTCCAATGGCCCTGCATCATTCGCCTGTTATTCAATGGGTTTTTTGTCACACATATATATTTAAATCATGTATCATGACATTCAAATTGTCTTTATCAAATCTTTTTAAACAAACTTTGAAGCTAGCATGCTTACACGGACAGGTAAATATTTGTCCTCAACTGGTGACCTCTATTGTGGATAACCTTAATTAATAAAATTCATGGACTGGTGAAGTCATTTAAATGGTGTTACAACAAATTTGATCTTAGATATGGATCCTAAAGTAATTCTCTTGAACATATTATTTGCCAGACATTATCCCAGGAAACTACATGTATAAAGCAAGTATTGTATCAGATTCTAGGTCTTCTGGTTTGTTAAAAGAAAATGTTGTATAAATATTTCAGCAAATGAGACTCCTGTGACTTTGAATATAGGTAGTGGTCATATCTTTTCCAGAACATCGTTGAGCTTCGTCCTTGAAATATATACCAAACCAAATATCATGGTTTTTGGCTTTTTGGTGAGTCAGAAGAAGTTGTTTGAGCGATTCAACAAGTCTGACCCTTGTGACATTCAATTATAAGTCATCCATGAATTCTATAGTACACCACATATCATGACTTTAGGCCTTTTGGTTAATCAGAAGCCATTTAAAGGAAAAAAACATATGCTAAACCAATGATTGATGCTGCACTACAGCATGGGACACGACGAGCTTGAACAATCTGTCAAAACCAATTAAAACTAAAAATATCAACCAGAGGATAACTAATACCCTTGCAGATGTAAAAACCTCTACATATCAAGTTTGGTCAAAAGCAATATCAAATTTTCATAAATGCCACTGCATGGTTGTCATGGCAATGAAACACAAACAGTAATATCTGGCACCCTCTTTTACCCCTTTGACATCCTCTTATACCCCTATATACCAAATTTGATCAAAATTGGATGATGTCTGAATTTTGACCAATTAGAGGTCAGGATATTGTTGCCATTGTTACTGTTCCTGAAACACCTAGTGTATCCTACTATTATCGTGGCAACCAAAATTTTTAAAATATATACATAAAAGTTGAATGCATATCTACATGCCTGTTTAGTTCCAGGTTGAGAAGGAGTTCTTAAGATAATATTTGCAGATGACTGAGAGACAGGCTGATAAGAGTATACATCCCCCACCCCAAACTTCATGGCGGGTATATAATAGTCAAGTAACTATTTTCTGCATACGGGTACACCCTATATATCCAGCACTTTCTGAAAAGACTGAAGGCTGAAAAAGGGAGATAATCAATTCATATCTCAATTGATTGAACTGATTACCAAAATGAAGCTGCATGTTCTAATTCATGAACTTGCATCAGTCATAACCAAACTCATGGTAAACAAAGATTTTTTTCAAAAACAAATCCTTCTTATTATCATTTTTCTAAATTTGGCCATTCAATAATTGAAGCTTTAACGACCAGACGGCACCTATACTGTTTCTTTTCAGTTAATTTTCAAACTTCCATTTTTTTTGTTATTCTCAATATTAAAACATTGTATTATCAGATAACCAAAATCCTTCATAAAAACATTATTTTGTCAATCTTGATTAGCTTTCTGCATTTCTCAGATTCTCAATTTCTGTTATCATTATTACCTGAAAATGTCCATTCATTAACGGATAGAATCACTATAATCAAGGAAATATATATCTATAACCACACAGCAAAGCTTTTGTAGCTACACTCCTTAACATTCTAAACATTTATATCATTGTTGTGTAACAGTCATTTCACTGGTGAAATAAACAGCATATGCATTCACTAGAAATGCAATTTTATAATTCAGAAGAATATTCACCTAAATAATTTAATATTCCAGCAAACCAGTCCCACAGAAACATTGTTTGAATTACCTGAAAAAGAAAAAAAAACAAATAAGTCACTCTGTTTTACCTTAAAGACTTCCTAATGCAAGGAATAGATCATTTGATGCAGACTGCTAAAAGTTTCATATTTAAGCATATGCTGAATGCCAGAAAATATTTATGTGCCAGGGCTAATGTCACCAATCACTGACAATCTGGAGAGATAGGTAAGTGTACTACACATTTGTTGTTTAAAGTCATTAAAGTTGGATATATGGATTGGTGTTGCAAAATTATTTTTATGTGCATTGTTACTTTACAGGATTTTCATATAATGCTAGTTTTCCCCCAAAAAAGTTAAATCTCATCATATGAATTGATGATCTGTAGAACTACAATTTGATGCAAAAATAAGTTAACATGTACGTTCATAAAGTGATATATTACATCATCAAGCATTTAAAAGTACTGATTCTTCACCAACGTTTCCTGTTTACAGAAGTATTATGCGAATATTGATATCATTTTACATACATTCAGCAATCACTGACATTTTTCTCACTTTCACAACTGAAAGATACATTGAAATACTAAACTTATTCTAAGAACAATCGTTCAAGCTGAAATGCAGTATTTCGCCAGTTACAAGGATTCTAGCAAGTTCAATGAATGTGTCATTTGTTTCCAATCTCGGAGTCACCGAATTCAATAAATTCGGAGACGTTTGTCAGAATACTTACAATCGTTGGTAATAGTTTATACTGAAGGACGGTAAAATCGCTAATGTTATTCCTACTGCTACTTATTCGTACAACTGTAACGACGAAACTGCACTTTGTACACGAAAGCAAGATGGAAGTAAAATTGTTTTGTAAGAACGATATCTATTGGATAAATGAAAAACTTTAGCCAATGAAAATGCTCCTAACAAAAAGGTTATTTATGTGTACTTCCGGTGAAATTTCGACGGCGACGATCCAGCGAAAAGGATGGCATCGTTGTTGGGACGACTGGTATGTATATTATTCATAACATGAATTTGTCATTTTATGTCGGGTACCATTTTTTTAAAAGTTAGACGCGAAAGTACAAGGCTAAGATCGTTTAAATGAACGCAACTTCTGACGGGCGCATTTAAAACAACAACCACACAAATCTAAGCCAGGTAAATACCCTCGATATATACTGAATGTCCTTATGTTTTCACCCTCACCAAATAAGTCGGTTCTCACCTTCGTCACTTGAATTAAAGTTTGTAATCTAACTGTGACAGATTGCCACATGTTCAACAGATAAGAAAGACAATCTTATAATATCTATATTTATTACAATTTACAAGAATGATTATGCAAAATATACAAATTGATATACATACATCATACATGTGATTGTCTCTCACACGACAGACTCATGCCCTGAATAATAATGTACCACACTGGCAATATCTTCAATATATCACAACAACTAAATCCTACTGTATTCTGAAGCATTTACAATATATCACTGTCACAAAGTCATTTGAGTCTACTGTTCTGTGGTGACGAACGTAGAAAACCAGTTCCACCTGACAGATATGTAAGTGCTGCATGGCACAGTTTTCATATATCAGAACAATGAGAGGCATCAAGTGTATCAGACTCACCAAAGTTACCTTGTGGATATGGTTGTTACTCAAGGTGTCAATAACTGAACATGACCATATATATGTATATTATAGCAACAGTCTGCAAAGACACACTCTAGACAATCATGTGTCCTTCCAGGTAAACAAACACCTGTTTATGAATATTTAAGGGATTCCATATTTGCTACTGTCGGTTCAGCTCTTAGCAATATTTATATATGGACATGGTAGGAACATGGAGTTACAATGTATAAATAATAATTCCTGTAAGAGTATGTCCTGAGCAACATATTTATTTATTCAATACAAATATTTTATACACCATAGTAATACACACCACTGCACTCAAGAGTATCTATGCATACCTGTTAGCTCAACACTGTTAACAACCTGCTATGTACAAGCTTACAGGCCTGTACATCCTCAATAGTTCATAAACACAACCTGATATAAATACATTCTAAATTAATGTTGCTGTATTTCATGGTCCTGAACTCCTTCTTGATAATGTAAACACACTAACCCATCAAGATGTCTGCCTGTTTACCTTTCTCCTTGCAATTGTACCATGTGCCAGTACCTTTTAAAAGTTTTGGGTGGGAAATGATGCATAATTTAAATAAGATAAAATAACAGAAAACATAATTACACACCTATATATTCACTTCCATGTAACAAAGTTTAATGGGTGATGTGTATTTTATTTAACAACCTTAGCCTTGTATTTGATCAGGATTTTAATTGATTTAAATAACGTAGACCTGGAACATACATGGATATGATCAGTGGAAATAGTTTCCTGAGTATTCATCTGAGGAAAATTTTCCTGCCTGCTTCGTAAAGAAAAAAAAATGTCCATTGTCCATGTAAATATGTCTTTGATGACATCCTGGATGGAATTTGATTTGTTTTGAATAACTTCCTTAAATGAAGTTAGAATTAGATATGTTAAGACTCAAAATACATGAATGTTTAGAGTTTTTCTGTCTCTGAGTTATCAAATCTATTGTCTCTGCTACTCAAATTAATTTAATAATAATCTTGGCAAGTTCATTTTACAAACAAGTTCATTATAAAAACAAATGATTAGTTAGATTATGATTACCATGAAATACTTATTCATTTCTATTTTTATCTTGATTATAATTTTATCCTAAAAGTGAGTGAAGATTGACTGAAATCCATATTAATGACATTAGATAAAACACTTCACTTTTTCAAATACTTTATATTTACAAATATCCTTTGACCAATACCTATGCTTATTATGGCTTAGTTTATATTGTTCATTCCATTTCACTTAGTATTTAAATTATGTCATAGATGCAAGTTTTAATTTAAATTTGAAATTGTTTCCTTTTCCTAATTTTCATATGTAAGGTTACCATGGTTCCAAGTCATGCAATTTAGATTTCAAGGCTGAGAAATAAAATGGATGACAGACGACCATCTTTTATTATATATTGTATGTTTTGCGAGTGTTATTTTACATTGATCAGATTACAACACTTTTTCAGGTATGTATGGTAAACCTCCAGTCAGTCTGAATAGGCGGGTTGTTTGAACACATGATTTTTTCTGCTTAGTGAAAGTTCAAAACCTTTCTAGTTTGTTTTACCAACATTGTTCGAGCATACTACGAGATCGCACACATTGCTATAGATAAAGGCGTTGGCATCGCAATAACCACTCCACGTGGTCATTGGTCACATTGATGTTAAACGCTGTTGGTAGATGGCTGTAAATGACCATTGTAAGTAATTGATAGCACCAAGTTATACACAAACATGTCACTTTGAACTGACTGAAGGTTTACTGTATACTTCCACCAGTGGATATACCATATGATATATACATGTTTAAATCAGCAGCTGAACTATGATGTTCTCCAACAGCTCAAGATCTTTTTTTTCATTTCAGTACCAGGCCCGGCCTGTACAACAATTCAGGCTTGTACAACACTGTTCTAACAGATTTGTTCATCAGAAAAATTTGAGATCTGGTGTTCCAAAAACAACTATAAAAAGAATGGTAAAGTTGTCTTATGAGACTGCACAGTTTCCCCACCAAATTGGAGTTACAAAATCATGGAATTCCTGGCATACAAGTAATGTATTTTTCATTGTATTGTGCATGCTTCTATCCCTCTTTTTAATTTAGTTTTTAGGTCATCTATATCACGTGACCCAAAGGTCAATATTAAACATTGGCCTGTAGCCATTGTGCTGTGTAAATTGTCTGCTTTTCATAAACTTTACAGTTTGCACTACCTGGGTATATTTTATTTGACCAGGTAACTTTAGCCATTGTGATTCTCTGATGATAAATAATTGATTTTTAACTTCTCAAAACCCTAATACTCTATTCAATTTTAATACGAATTGCTGCAGAAACATTTTGCTTTAAAACCATACTTTCTTTACTTTTCCTTAATGCCAAAGTAAATTTGACCAAATTTGATCCAAAACATTTTTGGGGATGGGCAATCATTTACAAAATTCAGAAAGTTGATTGAAAGCCTGGGGACTGGGTGATCGGGCCCCAGTGTAGAATTTGGCTAAAATTTTGCTTTAAAATCCTATTCTACCTTAACTGTTTTCACCTAATTTGGTGTGAAACATAATCATGGATGGGCTATCATTTCTTATTCAGGTGATTCAAAGACTTGGGACTGTGAGGCAGAGCCCAGAATGGGAACTAAAGCTGTAATTTTGCTTTGAAAGTCTACTTAAGTCTTCTTTACTACCGATGAAGGGAAGGTGTGAACGTTTCAAGTACTGTAGTACTGAACAAAGTATTGATAGTATTGTACCGAAGTACTTCACCAATCGAATTCCTTAAATTTATGCAACAAGCTCTCTGATTGGCAGAGCCAAGTCTAGATCGATTGTGGGTGGAGCCAGGTGAAAAAATACTGTGCAGACATCGGCATTTTACAAACACTCGACTGTCGCGAGAGGTTAATTGGAAGAGTCCAAGTCACAGGTGGCTTCAGATCAGACCTAATTGGGTTGTCCCATTTGTTTCGTTCTACACCCAATGATACCTTGCTTTTCCATCGATGGTACAACGAGAAAACGAAAGTTACTCAGTACTAAACTAATTTACGTACAAAATATATATCAACAGGTTAGATCACTGGGACCGGAGAATTCATAACATCTTAACAGTGAATATAGTCATATAGTCTTTCTGTACTAGTTTTATTTATTTATTTATTTTTTTGAAAGGGGGGGGTGGGAGGGTTGGCTCAAAATATTTTGGTTTAAGCCCAAGCTCTATTATATGTAACAAAGAATTATGAATTACCTGGGACCTCCTGATATATGCCGATAACTCATACTGCATTAAAAAATAAAGGAATTCTGTGGTCCCATATATTTTTTATTTTATTTTTTATCTTTCCATCGAAAATTAAACATATCCGCAACATGTGAAAAAACTTTGAAGTTGGTTGGGCGGAATATCTAGAGCATTTACTACTGCAAGTTCCAGAAATTCTGACACAAGTCGGGTATTTGCCTGAAGCCTCTGTCTCATGACATTGAATACATATTCAGTTACGTTGTATTCCGGGAATAAGGCGGCTGAAAAACCAGGGACACGCCATATTCTTTCAGCATATTTCTTAAAATGCGCTCTCCCTGTCTATGGTGATGGAATCCACAATTATCCATCACAACCACATCGCCTTGTACAAAAACAGGATTCCCCATATCGTTCGTATCGGACATAATTTCGTCAAAGAAAATTTTGCATACTGTTGCCGTCGACGGACATTTTTCCAGCGATTACTTAGTAATTGTTATGTAACTGATAGTGTACTCCGCCTACCGGAACAAATTGGGTGTCAGATCAACTATTCAGGTTGTCTAAACTCCGCCCCCGACCAATCACAGAGGTCGTTGTATACTTGACTCGATTATTTGAATACTTCAATACAATAGTAGCAATACTTTGTTCAATACTATAGTAAGTGTGTCGTTCACACCTTCCCTTCATCGGTAGTAATGCTTCAACATATTTCAACTAAATTTGGTCTAAATCGTCACTAAGGGACTTCTATCATTTCATAAATTCAGAAAGTTGAATAGACCCCAGGTTACAGAGGGATGGGGGAGCGGGATCTAAAATGGGGAATTTAGCTAAAATTCTTGCTTTCTAATTCTAGTATTCCTAAATTCTCTTGAGCATTTCAACCAAATTGTCTAAAATTGTAACTTTGTGACATATATTACTAGTGTAGTATACACTGCAGCGTTTTTTTCATTGGCTTTGCCAGTTAGATATCAGTCGTGATTTAATAACATGGACAATAATGTTATGCCATGGATTGAAAATGGAAAAACAAAAGACCTCCATTTGGTTTTGTCCTCAATACTTTGACATTGAAATAAAAACTCCAGTAAGATCCTATATATAACACACCCCTCCCTGTATGCTTCATGATTGTAAGTTAACACACTTTTCCATGTATGTTTATACGTGACTGTAACACGCTCCTCCCTGTAGGTTTATACGTGACTGTAACATACTCTTCCCTGTAGGTTTATACGTGACTGTAACATACTCTTCCCTGTAAGTTTCCTTTTTCTTTTTTTAATTGTAATTATTTATTTTCAGAAGATTTTGCATGGTATACACAATGACATAAAATCACATTGACACCCTCTCACACTCACTGATTTTATATTAAACACCCTCCATGTATAATTATAATATTGCAATACAACCGTCCCAGTATGATTGTATCTCACTGTTACACACCCCTCCCGGTATGATTATATCTGACTGTTACACACCCCTCCCGGTATGATTATATCTGACTGTTACACACCCCTCCCTGTATGATTATATCTGACTGTTACACACCCCTCCCAGTATGATTATATCTGACTGTAACACAACCCTCCCTGTATGATTATATCTAACAGTAACACACCCCTCCCTGTATGATTATATCTGACTGTAACACACCCCTCCCTGTATGATTATATCTAACAGTAACACACCCCTCCCTGTATGATTATATCTGACTGTTACACACCCTCCCTGTATGATTATATCTGACTGTAACACACCCCTCCTTGTATGATTATATCTAACAGTAACACACCCCTCCCTGTATGATTATATCTGACTGTTACACACCCCTCCCTGTATGATTATATCTGACTGTAACACACCCCTCCCTGTATGATTATATATGACAGTAACACACCCCTCCCTGTATGATTGTAGCACACCCCTCCTGGTATGATTATATCTGACTGTTACACACCCCTCCCTGTATGATTATATCAGATTGTAGCACATCCCTCCCTGTATGATTATATTTGACTGTTACACACCCCTCCCTGTATGATTATATCTGACAGTAACACACCCCTCCCTGTATGATTATATCTGACAGTAACACACCCCTCCCTGTATGATTATATCTGACTGTAACACACCCCTCCCTGTATGATTATATATGACAGTAACACACCCCTCCCTGTATGATTATATCTGACTGTAACACACCCCTCCCTGTATGATTGTAACACACCCCTCCTGGTATGATCATATCTGACTGTTACACACCCCTCCCTGTATGATTATATCTGATTGTAGCACATCCCTCCCTGTATGATTATATTTGACTGTTACACACCCCTCCCTGTATGATTATATCTGACAGTAACACACCCCTCCCTGTATAATTATATATGACAGTAACACACCCCTCCCTGTATGATTATATCTGACTGTTACACACCCCTCCCTGTATGATTATATCTGACTGTTACACACCCCTCCCAGTATGATTATATCTGACTGTAACACACCCCTCCCTGTATGATTATATCTAACAGTAACACACCCCTCCCTGTATGATTATATCTGACTGTAACACACCCCTCCCTGTATGATTATATCTAACAGTAACACACCCCTCCCTGTATGATTATATCTGACTGTTACACACCCTCCCTGTATGATTATATCTGACTGTAACACACCCCTCCTTGTATGATTATATCTAACAGTAACACACCCCTCCCTGTATGATTATATCTGACTGTTACACACCCCTCCCTGTATGATTATATCTGACTGTAACACACCCCTCCCTGTATGATTATATATGACAGTAACACACCCCTCCCTGTATGATTGTAACACACCCCTCCTGGTATGATTATATCTGACTGTTACACACCCCTCCCTGTATGATTATATCAGATTGTAGCACATCCCTCCGTGTATGATTATATTTGACTGTTACACACCCCTCCCTGTATGATTATATCTGACAGTAACACACCCCTCCCTGTATGATTATATCTGACAGTAACACACCCCTCCCTGTATGATTATATCTGACTGTAACACACCCCTCCCTGTATGATTATAAATGACAGTAACACACCCCTCCCTGTATGATTATATCTGACTGTAACACACCCCTCCCTGTATGATTGTAACACACCCCTCCTGGTATGATCATATCTGACTGTTACACACCCCTCCCTGTATGATTATATCTGATTGTAGCACATCCCTCCCTGTATGATTATATTTGACTGTTACACACCCCTCCCTGTATGATTATATCTGACAGTAACACACCCCTCCCTGTATAATTATATATGACAGTAACACACCCCTCCCTGTATGATTATATCTGACTGTAACACACCCCTCCCTGTATGATTATATCTGACTGTAACACACCCTCCCTGTATGATTGTAACACAACCCTCCCTAACCATAAAATAAAACTTTAATATTAATGTGATGTAACATAATTGTGAAATACTGTGATAAACTATCTTGAGTGTATTAGTAATTATAACCACACATATTACCAGCTGTGAAAGAAGAAAATTAACAAGTATCCTGCTAACAAGTAGAAACTTTCTGTAGAACTGCAAATGATAGAGTTTGTTTTGTATTTTATAGGACTAAAGTAATGTTCATATTAAAATTTCTGAAACTCCAGTTACAACAATAACTAGATGTATTTCAACATTCATCTAAGTTAGTAAGAATTCATCCCTGATGTCATTGAATAACAGCTAAATACAGATACCTGACACTCTTGTCTTTCTTTAGCTTTTGGGTATTAAACTTATTTTTTACTTGACAGGTAATTTACACGAAGAAGAAGGAGCATCAGCTGCAGCATTAGAGGACGAGATGATCAGGAGATTTCTCCAAGGGATCTGGGGCAACAAACTTTTATCTGAGTGTATTATCAAACGTCAGTTTAATGCAATAACATTAGTATTTACAGTACGGGAAATTGGAAAATTAAAAGAAGTAAATTTCCTTACTGGTTTTACAGAGGAACTTTTTAGTCATATATTTAAACGTCCAGTTAATATTGAAGTGCAAGTCTGCAGCTCAACCTTCCAAGAAGTTTTCAAGTGGATTTAACATCTCGCAGCATATTGATATTGAAATAAATTTTAATTCTGTATCATGTGGCTTAGAATTTTGTGTCTTATAAAACAAAAGACTTCTACAAATATTCATCAAAATAAGTGTTCTTAAAAGAATTTGATTCTGGTTATGGAGATATTTTCTTGAGATATACTGCAAAGATCTTTCTCAAATTTTATGTATAGGATCCTCTTGCTCCCTAGTTGTGCCTGTGTGAGTTTGGGGCTGATCAGAAAAGAACAAAAATGGCCAACAGGCAGCCATCTTGGATTTTGCATAGTAAAGATTGTTATCCCTATTTCTTAAGATTTACTGAATGGATCTTTGAAATTTCATAGATATGTTCCCTTTGGTCTCTACTCGTGCCCGTTTGATTTTGGGACTGATCAGGAGAAACAAAATGGCTTCCAGGCGACCATTTTGGATTTGGCAGGTAAAAAAGATGATCATCGCTATGTCTGCAAAGGAGTATTAAAATTTCTTATCATTAACAGCAAAAACACGGAAAAGAAGGGAAAATGTTTAACTTTCAAAGGGAAAATATAGATCAAACAACGGTTGGTGCCAAAATCCCACTGGGATCTCTTGTGGCGAGTGTTGTTGAACTTAATTATTCATATTCATAGCATTGCAGCAACTACTTGCAAAAACTTGATTGCAGCCGATGAGTTAAATGATGGTGTTAGTGACATGATAGTGTTAGTGACTTGATAGTGTTATTGACTTGTGTAAGTGACATGATAGTGTTAGTGACATGATAGTGTTAGTGACATGTGTAAGTGACATGATAGTGTTAGTGACATGATAGTGTTAGTGACATGTGTAAGTGACTTGATAGTGTTAGTGACATGTGTAAGTGACATGATAGTGTTAGTGACATGTGTAAGTGACTTGATAGTGTTAGTGACATGTGTAAGTGACATGATAGTGTTAGTGACTTGATAGTGTTAGTGACATGTGTAAGTGACATGATTGTGTTAGTGACATGATAGTGTTAGTGACATGTGTAAGTGACTTGATAGTGTTAGTGACATGTGTAAGTGACATGATAGTGTTAGTGACTTGATAGTGTTAGTGACATGTGTAAGTGACATGATTGTGTTAGTGACATGATAGTGTTAGTGACATGTGTAAGTGACATGATTGTGTTAGTGACATGTGTTAGTGACATGACTGTGTTAGTGACATGATAGTGTTAGTGACATGATAGTGTTAGTGACATGTGTAAGTGACATGATTGTGTTAGTGACATGATAGTGTTAGTGACATGTGTAAGTGACTTGATAGTGTTAGTGACATGATAGTGTTAGTGACATGTGTAAGTGACATGATTGTGTTAGTGACATGATAGTGTTAGTGACATGTGTAAGTGACTTGATAGTGTTAGTGACATGATAGTGTTAGTGACATGGGTAAGTGACATGATAGTGTTAGTGACTTGATAGTGTTAGTGACATGATAGTGTTAGTGATAGTGTTTGAGACAAGTTAGATTTTCATTTCAATGTAAATGCGTCAATTAAAAAGGTCACATATTTAGGAGTAATCTAGCCATTGACTCGATTCTTTGTGCCTTTTTTTTATATACAATTTTCAGCTTTAATTGAAATATTGCCAGCGACATACACGATGAACACATCACTTTCCGACAAGGTGACTCCGATCGACTAAGGCGATGAGCGGAAATAGGCGCCCTATTACGTTAAAGCACCACACCTCTTTGTGATACTGCTGTTTTTATTTCCCCCATTCGGTCTATATTTGTATACCGCCACGTTATGTGGTTAATATTAGCTAGGATTAGTGTCGCTTAGTTTGCACGGCCAAAATCCCGCTTATTTGCATTTCCTTATATGTAATATTTATTTATATGACAAAAAGTGTATCATACCGAATCTGGTATGTAGGATATTGGGATTTTTTTTGCAACAGAAACTTGGATAAATATTGATTCTAAAGTGATGGTAACTCTATCACTTGTGTTTGTCATACTGTTGTTCAAGATGATTTTAAGAGGGTCTACGGCCGAAAACGTCATGGGGCGGATGTGGAGTGCTGTTTTCTATCTCAGAATATCGTGTCTTCTCAATACCTACTAAACCAAAAAATGTCGGTAAATATGCCACGAATGGATACGGCATACATTTAGTCATCGGAACGATATTCATTAGTATCTGGAATTATAAATTCCTAATATATTAAAGTTTCTGTAAATATCGTTGGTTCTTGAATCGCCGTTTTGCGACCGCATATCTATCAATACTGCTTTGACCCTGTATTGGCTGGCATCAGATGCGAAATTCAGAACAATCGGTACTGTATTCGGTATTTCGAAGTCAACCATCTATATCTGGTCAATGATTTTGTGTTGGAAACTTTGGAGTTATTTTCCAGTCGATGAGAAACTTTAAAAAAAAAAACACCAAATGAAAGCTGGGTATTTCCTAATTGCAAAGGAGCATTGTATGACACTCGCAGTCACATACCTATGATTGCTCCGGAAGATTCTCATGGAGATTTGTCGAACAGGAAAGAGCATTATTTCCGTATTTGGAAGAAATGTCGGTCATATTTTTGCAAATATGTCTTCAGAAACACCAGTAATGGCTGACAAGAACGGGTAAAGATGCGCGTTTGCAAATTCATAGACTTTTAAAGGTTGAAAATAAAGAACTTCCCACAAAGTAGACCAGACAGCTAATCGTCAATGCCAAATGTCTTGCATGGTGACTCTGAATGTCCGTTGAAATCATGACTGATGAAGCCAAACTATGCAGATCTTCCTGTCGGTTTATGTAACGAAAGGAGGAGTGCCAATTTGGGCCTTCTGGCGGCCATGACCGATATTTTTTATTTCTTGTGTAGGAATTCCTTGGGGTTAGGCGGTCATGATATGACATAAAATTAAGGTCAGATCTGAGCCATTCATTAGTTATGGGGGGGTAAAGTGGGGGGTAAAATTCATAAACAGCTCCATTATGACAAACCTACATTATATTTTTGGATTTTTTCTTCTTAATTTTCATGTAATAATCCATTAACATTCATTAGTAAAATTGATTGAAAAAAATATTCCATTGTTGAAAAGTAGGTAATGGTAATTAAGCTCATTAATTGCTAATTATATTAAAGATGAACTTAATTTTCTGCCTTAATTCACATAAAACAATACCTTTATCATGTGTCATGCTTTAGTAAGATTTATTTTTGAATACTTTATAGAAAATGGAGAATTAATTAATGGGAGGGGGCGGGTTCACACTTTTGACAACTTTTGGTTGATATCAGAGTTGTCTTATGTAATTATATTAGATAATAAATATCTAATAAATAAATGTTAAATTGTACTGCATTAAGAACTGTTTAAAATAAATTGCTTGATAAATGTAGAGATATTTAAACCAGTTTGGTACGGCTGGTTGAGCTTTAAGCTAAAATGGCGGGATATAATGCCATCCCCTGACATATACCTTGTTACGGATCTTTGTGTCTACCGGTGAGTATACATGTGCACCTTGTCTCAGACAGTTCATATACCCTTATATATACAATTAATACGTGGCAACTACACTTCACAACCTCAGCGATTTTAGTATACTTTCTTGGTTTGACTGTCACTGATATTGTACATATAATTTAGACATATAATTGTAATTCAACTGTTGTTCATAATTTTGTTCATCCAAATTAAGGTTTTAATAAGGAGTGTTTTCTAAGTTTATGCCCTGTTTTCTTTTCTTTTATCAATATGCCAGTGCACAGGCAGTGCGCTTGTTGTAAAGCACAATATAAAGTAAGGCTCTGTTGTCTGAATAAAACAGACATTCTGTCTTACTTGAAAGCAAATATTAATGATGCCTTAAGGTTTGGTGACCCCGTATGTAAAAAATGCACTTAGGATGCACTGTAGCTCACTAAACGCACACTTATATTCTCGTAATCTTGTTAACAACTCTCTATGTTCATGTAACCAGTCCGACGAAACTACTGAACACTTCCTCCTCCAGTGCCCTAACTACCATCATATCAGAATGCAATGCTTCAGTAACATACCCCCCCCGACATTAATGTTAATACCTTATTATATGGTAACCCTGATATGCCAGATCAGTACAATGAAAATATTTTTGACTGTGTCCAAAACTTTATTAACCGTTCTAAACGTTTTAATTAAGCTCTAGCGTAACTAGTGAGTTTGTGTATACTACGAAGTAATCGCAATTACAGTACTGACCTGGTCGTGGTATATTGTACTTTGTTGAGTGAACCACAATCAAATATAGATCTATAGCAGTCCTAAACTCTTGCTTCTTCATCCTACAACGGTTTCCTCCTTTGAACCCATGCACCCTTTCTTTTCCCCTTCCCTGTACTTATGCACCTACTTAATTACATTATGTTGTCAGTGCTGTCCATTGCTCATGTAATTAGACACGGAGACAGATTAATATAAGTACATTGTACTTGTTTCTGAATCCAAAATGCATATTTGCTTTTGTACTGTACTCATTTCACAAAATAAAATACAGTTTAAACTAAATGCAGGGGAAGATACTACAATCACCGTTCATCTACTGAACATCCTAGTAGCGATGTAGAGCACCAGCTTGAGTCACCTGAAAACAAAAAAATCAAACTTGACATTCCACGGGCTACATTAGGTGAATCTCGATGTTTCATTTGTAAAATGTTAAGAGAGGAATGTAAAAGTAAAATGGTAATGCTCTCAACAGAAATGCGAGTAAAGATTTTTATTAAGACAGGTATCCTTGTCCCAAACACCTGCAGATGTTGTTCTTCCCACATAGTGAATGGTGATTTCCCATCTGATAGTCTATCTTCACTCGCATATTCCAGCAAAGACACTGAACTGGATTCTTCTGAAATATCAGAGATCCTTTTGACACTTAGGGCAGCTGCTTCAAAGAAATGTTGTTTAGACTTTGATTCCTCAGATGGATTAACTGATCAAGATTACTACCGTCTCACAGGTCTGTATAAAAATCAATTTTCTGACCTTTTACGATCAGTTAATCCCTCTCTTTACTCTACACTGAACAGAAGCGCAGGGACTGCATTAGCCATCCTGCTTGTAAAGTTGAGGACTGGCATGTCTTTATCAATATTAGCTTCTCTGTTCAACATGACAAAGAGAATATGTGGAAAATGTATTCATTCAGCTCGCCAAGCATTGATGACCCACTTCGTTCCTTCACACCTTGGCCTGCAACACATCACTAGAGAACAAGTAATTCAAAACCATACAACGGTATTTGCAAGGAAGATGTTTGCCTCTGGTGAAGATGTCGCTATAGCTGTTGCTGATGGCACATATATTTATGTTGAAAAGTCCAGCAACTATACTTTCCAACGACGCTCTTTTTCGATGCACAAAGGACGCCCTCTCCTGAAACCAATGCTTCTTGTGGCCTCAGATGGCTATATACTGTCTGTCCTAGGCCCATATTTAGCAGACGGTCGAAATAATGACGCCAACATTACAAAACACATGTTGAAAACTAACACTGAGAACATCAAGGATTGATTTCAAGATGATGATGTTCTTGTCGTTGACAGAGGCTTCAGAGATGTGACAGAACTGTTGAATGATGCTGGCATCAAAACAGAAATGCCATTTTTCTTGCCAAAGGGGCAGAAACAACACACACATACTGAGGCAAACGAATCTCGTCTTGTAACAAAGGTAAGGTGGGTTGTGGAGTCGGCAAATGGGCGGATTAAGCAGTGGAAGACCTTGGGACATGTTTTGCCCAACACTCTCATTCCAGTTGTAGGTGATTTTGTGAGAATTGTGTGTGCAATTTGTAATGCTTTTCGCCCCCCACTTGCCTCTGATTCTCCCAATGACCTCATCATTGCTGAGCGAATGTTGGCTCTGTCAAAATGTCCCAATAAATTGCAAATTCAAGTTGAAAAAGAAGGTTTGGCTAGGAAAAGAGCCATATGGGTCAAGCTTGATGAGGCCAGTTTGCCTGACTTTCCTCAGCTGACAGAACCGGAGTTGAGAGATCTTACCATGGGAGTATATCAGTTGAAGCAGGCAAAGTCATATACCATGGAGCACTTGTCTGAAGATGGCCAGTATGAATTAATGGCATGCAGGGAAAAGCCTGGCTTAATTAAAGTTCAGATTCGTTCCAGACATGTTGCTTCGAAACTGTACAACCTATGGATTGAGTATTCCCCTGGTTTGACTCCTATATCTGGTTGGTATTGCCAGTGTAAGGTTGGTGCCAGGGTAGTGGGCTGCTGTGCCCATATTGCATCTGTTCTCTGGTACCTTTCTTATGAGCGACACCAGCCTAGGATAGCACACCCAACTGCCTCATCAAGCTACCTCAGCTGTGCTGATGACGCAATGATGATTGAGGACTGGTCTGAGTCTGACAGTGACAATGAGTAACTAACTATGTGTACGACCATTGTATGTATAGTGGAGTGAAATGCAACACTAGAGGTTAAGATTGATATCTTTCATTAGCCATTTCTGTGTTAATACTTCGGTAAAACCACTAGATACAGACAAAGTTGTCGAACTAAAATTCAAAGCACTGCCTCTTCTTTGTTTTCTTTAAAGTATGCAAAAATATTTCTTATTAAAACATGGTACATGATAAAGGTATTGTTTTTATGTACATTAAGGCAGAAAATTAAGTTCATCTTTAATATAATTCGCAATTAATGAGCTTAATTACCATGACCTACTTTTCAACAATGGAATATTTTTTTCAATCAATTTTACTAATGAATGTTTTGATATGGATTATTACATGAAAATTAAGAAGAAAAAATCCAAAAATATAATGTAGGTTTGTCATAATGGAGCTGTTTATGAATTTTACCCCCCACTTTACCCCCCCATAACTAATGAATGGCTCAGATCTGACCTTAATTTTATGTCATATCATGACCGCCTAACCCCAAGGAATTCCTACACAAGAAATAAAAAATATCGGTCATGGCCGCCAGAAGGCCCAAATTGGCACTCCTCCTTTGCACAAAAACAATCTCCAAATACATTTGCATCTAGTCCGGACATGTACAAATTTGCTCGTGTATGCAAATGTATTTACATGACGAGATATGCGGACATGATGAAATATGCATGTAAATTTGCAAAAGATTTGCACAATTGGAAATGTAAACGGGACTTCAGAATCTCTTGGATATAAAATATAGAAAATCATAAAACAACAAGACTTCGTTTCAAAAGATATTTAATGGTTGTTTAACCAACAACTATGTGTGGTGAAAGGTAGGATGGACAAGCAGTCTCTGCAATAACTTCCACGGTTTGGTCGACACCTAATAAAAACAGAATGATAACGGTTTTTGTTTGGTTTTTTTTCCTTCTTCCTAACATAATATTTGAATCGCACTACGCAAATACTGCTTCTGTTTTTGACATCATGATTATGACTTACGTTACCGATATTCGTGATATTAATCTGAAGTCAGAAGTATTTATCATTGTCATATTTATACTAAAAATCTGGAGATACTAAGTATTTAGAGTCAAAATCAAAAAGTTTGACTTCGAGGCATTTCATAGAGTTTTGGCAACAGGCAGTTTCTTATTTCTATTTATTTTTAAAGATGGTTGCAGTGATGATGCCAATTTTGCTATACTGACCGAGTTTGTGGCTATGGGCCATGCTATGACAGTAGTAACACAAATTGAGGTGAGTTCGCAGGTCGGTGCCACAGATGGGGTTGTGCGTGTGGTCACAGTTCAACAGCAGGTTTTGTTGTTGATCACCTTCCACTGCGATCTGAGCGTTTGCATGGTAGGGGCTACAGTCCAGCTATTAAACAGAGAACAATACTGTCTTGTCAACACAACATGTTCATATTTATAGAGATATCAATTTATATTCGTTTGGTAGGACAGTGTTCGAATAGGAATAGGCCTACTCGTTTTCGACGTTTTCAAATATTAGCATTTGGTCGAGCGCTGTAAAAGTACTTGTACTCTGATAATTGTAATGATTTTGGAGGGATTTTTTTCTCTGAATAGAATGTTTCAGCTAAAACGTCAAGTTTGTGTGCAATAGTGCACATCTGGACCTTATGTCTGAGAACTAATTAATTATCGCCAGAGGGTATGAGGTCATCGCTGTCCAGGTTAAGTGCAGTCACACGTGTACATCATGCGCGCACAAAATCCAACTCGCGTTTCATATAATGTATTATGGATACTAAAATACATATAAATAGACCAAGGGTTGGAGTTGGTGCATAGTGTCTGTGAGATAGAACACACAGCTGCAGTTGCCATAATCTTGTTATTAAGCACTACAGCAATTACAACAACAAAAACATTCGTGTGTTAAAGAACATATGATAACAATGCAAGTTTTAAAATATATATGAAGATTACTTGTTATCATATCGTATACTCTCACGTAACATATCTTCATTTGAGATTACCATATATGCATAGAATTTGACATTTTTTCATTAAACTTATTTCCTACATTTTCAAAGGAACTAGTTAGGTGCTACTTACAATTTTGACATAAACAGAGGATATTAAATGAGTTTTCATTTCATACGAGATTTTATGAAGCAGGTCTAAAGTTTAATTATTTTCGAGTCTTGGCAAGCAAAAATTATAATTTAGAGTTTTATAAGATATGACGCTCCAAGGCGTATTCTAACGTGACGATACCCAAAATAGAACACATCTCAAATATTTGATGCAGAATTTTTATTTTACAATTCAGGAGATTTTCAATTATTCTAGACAAAAAATAACCAATGTATTTATCAATTAATAAGTCATTTTTAACAGGCCTATGTCTCCTATGTTCCTTATCATCTCTTTTTGAAATTAAAAACTGAAACTATGAAAAATAAAACCACAAATATTGTACCATGTTTTAAAACAATGGAAAGTATTGCTGCAATAAACACTTTTGATTAAAAAAATGACTGGGATTAATGGAATAATGAGTAAACTATTATGAAATGAAGAAAACAATTAAAGATTATGTCAGTTATTTCTATAAACGCACAGAATATGGGAGGCGTTCCATTTTGGGTAAAAAGCTTTGCTGAACCTGGCATGCCATACTGCGTTCAATTCATTGACACATGCGCTGCTGACTACATGACCAAAGCATGGAATGAAAGTTGAAAGAATCTATTTGTAAAATATTACGTCTTTACAACATTCCTAAAAAAAGTTTGGGAAAAATATGACACGGGCAAATAACAAAAATCGAATGTTCGAATAGTAATTGATACGAGTCTGAAGACGCAAGTAGAGTATTAATGAATGGAGGCGTTACTGAAAGGTTGGAATCATGGAGAATACATGGTACAGGAAAAATGGCAGTTACTTGAAAGTTGTGATCATTTTGTTAAGATTTCACTATGAATTTCTGTTGACGTTTGGAAGGGAATATGTAATTCCGAAGATAGTAATCTAAAAAAAAAAGCACCAGCTCAAGATTTTTAGGAGTAATAGCAGAGCAGTACACTCTGGAAAAAGCTATCCCAGATCTTTCAGTTTACACCCACAGAAAAGAGTGAAGTCGTGTTGCAAAAATCTGCTAAACTATCCAACGACAAGTAGCTTTCTCTTGTCGATTTCCGTGGATATTTGGAGCAAACCAAGCATGGTGTCGGCAATATCTGGCCGAGCACGGCGAGCAACGCCAAGTATTAGTTAAGCTGAAGAATGCTGGACACGACCTAATTTTGATGGAGCTTGGATCCATTCTATGATTCTAGGCGTATCCATCCACGATAAAACCATTTTCTTGTGGTCACTGGTTTTAACATTTTAATTGGGCTTATTGAACTTGAGGAGGGGATGGATTCCAATAAATCATTATACCATTTCAATTGTTAATAACTTTTACTCGAAATTAAACACGAAAACATTGATAGCATTGTTATGATTAGATTTATTATATTGTGAGTTTTACATGACAAATTTGCAGACATTTTCACGAACAAAAATCTAGCAAGCAACATTGTTGATGAAAATATGTTCCAAATAATGTATTTATTGTGTGTGTCTCGATAGAAATTTCACGATTAATGTCCAACTCTCGAGTTCAGCCACATGAATCGGGCGTTGTATATGTGAAAGTTAACTATTATACAAGTAAGATATACACGATTCCTGTTATTTTAGTCGCATAATAACTACATTTGTTATATAAAAACATCCGATTCCTGTGGATCAGCTAAAGAATTCAGCCGTGGCTTGTATAGAGTGTCTTCTAAATACGTCCATAAATAAAAAAAATCAAGAGGGTTTAAGTCTCTATGTATAATTATATAAATGAAGATTATCAATTTGATATATCATATACTTTGGAATACCCTGAGGAATTTTTTACGCGTTAATCTTCCATAATCAAATGCCAGTCGCTCGTGTTAGGCGTTTGGCATATATGTTCAGATAACGTCTTTTTATGGCATGTTTTTCTGCATAAAATAGCAGAACCCCTCGGCATTGGCGGGGGTTCTGCTATTGATGTATTTAACTGTCTATAAGAAACGGCAAACGGGAACCCTCGGCACATTCCGCAAACGAGAAAATTCTAGCTTGCGGAAAGTGCCGAGGGTTCCCGATTGTAAGAAACGGTGCGAGGTTCGCATGTGTTGAATAAATGTTAATCTAAGTATATCAATAAACTAACTCCATTATATTGTTAAGGATATCACCAACCTTGTAAGTTTTGGAAACATCCACGCCGTCACATGATCCGTTGTGTACGAACGCGTAACGCTCCGCTATAGATGGAATGTGGACATACCTACACTGGAGTTGCTTCAGGTAGCACATGTTTTCTGTCAACCAACAAGTCACGTGGAAGTGAGAGGTACGCAACAAATTTCTAAAGGAATATAAACATATGGCAGACAACGATGGGTAGTTAAATCCTGTTGTGGGAGGGACATTTAACCATAATACAGTTTCGCTTGATAGAAAGTGACAAATACGCTACAAAGGTCATACTTGAAACGATAATAGTGTCAAAGTGAAAGAAACGCAAAGGAAAATAATCGAGTATCATGACGTTGTCAACAAAATAGTGACTTGTCAACTAAAACCGTGTTTCGAAATCCAAATCGACAAAACGTGGGCAAATAATAACAAAATAATGTTACACGGAAGCTCTCGAAAACGTAAAATGATAATCAGGCCAGGTATTTCGGAAAGTCTTCTGCTTTAGATTAACAAGCATAATGCCGTGTTCTCAAATTGAGAACCGGATATATAATTTAAACAAACAAATATCCTAACGAGCTCAGAACCGCAAGAAAACAAGTGGAGCGCTTCCATTGAAATAGTGGTATTCAATCCCTTGAACATGTAGATCGACTAAGGAATGCCAATGCAATTGGCTGAGAGAGCAGGGACACTATTATCTGGAAATTGTGAGAAAAAAAAATTTAAAAATAGGGATATTGAATTCACCACACTTATCATATCACTATCGGTTGCTTTCGTTTGTTAAAAAGGATCGGGGAAACGACAGGTAGACGAGTGAATTTTTCGTGCCTTTGACTTCAAATTCAGGTATACGATAAATACACTTGTTCTTAGAATTTCTTGTTGTGGTTAAAGACAGCTAGCTACCATCAATATATCTAGGAATGGAATCGAAGGACTTGGCAAGGTCTTTCTTATCCGGTTTGGTAAGTTTACCATTAACGATATCATTCAATTGACGTTTGGTAAAAAAAAACATGCGGTATTAATAGTTTGGTTCTTAAATTGTATCACGTGGTACGTGTGGGTTTTTAACATCAATGCATTGCTGTTTCCATCCCTGGTATTGTTCTCTATTTTCTTAACCTGTCTCTGAATATCTACGTATACTTCCATATGTAGTTTATTGATAAGCTAAAGTTAGATTTATCACGCCTCATATTCGTCAAATGATATACAAACCCTAACAGCGATAAGATTTAAGGAGTGTCGTCAACCATGGATCGGTGCGGTAATGATGACGTCATTGTTATGAGATATTGTGAAATTTCGACACACTTACTATAGGTGTGGTTTCCCATAGCACAAACAGGACTAAGATCGTTAGGGTCACAATGGATTGGGCAGTCCAAATCAGTTTGAGTGCACTGACCAGTGTGACGTATGCTCAATGAACCATGCTGCTGCTGTGCCAGGCATCTTGCGTTGTCAAAGTCGCAATGACTGTCTGTATCAACAGAGTAAAAGTTGGTTCATTTCGGCCAAGTTCGCAAAATATCATTGATATACATATATCCTGTCCACATCCTACTTATACAATGGCCTTGTAACAAACAAACAAAAAAGGTTTACATTAATGTATATGTGTTCGTTCATGCCCACCTAATTGGTATTTGATTTATATATCTACATAAATATCGTGTAACTTCCCATTTTCATGTATCGACTTTCCAGAGATGTATGTTGTATCTTTCAAACGATTAAAGATATATTTTTAGAACAGTAAAAGAAAGTCTGTATAGCATGGATTGCATTATTTCACTGTTTCAATCGTGTCGACATTCTCTTTACAAAACGAGGTCGTTTTAATAAATGTATCATTACCGCATTTTTGAGAACTCGGTGACATTTTTTCCATTATTTTTCAGTCTCTGCAGTCTTTCATCTGATCCTGGGCTGATCAATTTGATCAATATGTTCTACTGACCTTCATGATTCCATTGTGTAGGATAGACATGGAAGCCCTACAGCATTTTCAATGTTGGTTTTTTTTTCAAGTTTAACGATAAATCCGGCCTAAGATTTACCAACATTTGGATTCTGATATTTTGTGTTGGTGACAGTAAATTTGACGTCACCGCTGAATTATTGGTAACCAATAACCACAGCCAATTACTGCTCCACTACACAACTAACGAGATGAATGTTATGATACTGATACGTGTAAAGGGACGGACAGGGAAAGCGCGTGATACATCTTACCCTCGAATTCCTTAGTAGGTAACTTTGTATATCAGGAATCTTGAAACATTTCAAAATAAAAATTGGTCATCAAGGTTTTTGTTTTTGTTTTTATATAAGACATGAACGAATTTTCTTCTTTCTTGCATGATTCTTTGAACTTACCTTAACTTTGCCCAAGTGTGACATTAACTTCAACAGCGATCTTTGAAAATGAAATGATAAACGATGCTTTTTTTCCATTTTACCATTTGCGTATGTCGTACATTTAACGACAGAAAGCATTTACAAAACAGAATACACCATCTACTGTTGATGCTGCAAAAATGATTTAACAAAATGTCTTGTTGCGAGCACAGCAAGGGAAGTCGGGCATTACGTTATTATTGATATTGATGTGTAACAACATTTCTGTGACATTACCGTAGGTGACGCCGTCAGTTCCACACACTTCTCCGTCGGTAACTTCATCGTCACAAATTGAATCGCACGCATAGTTGTAAGATGTATGGTGAGCCGATGAGGAACTGCAACTTCCAGAATGCGACAGGGTCATGTGATGGCCATTCAGTCGTGCGTAACACTCAGCAATTTGCAGGCGACACAAATTGCCTGCAATGACAATTAAACTAAATACTTGATAGCTAAAAACAAATACAGTAAGCATATATATATATATATATATTAGCGCTGATCTTATTCAAGCGCTTTTTCGCGCTAAAATATTGATATGCTAAATATAGTTTACATTTTAGGTTAATGATATAATAACATTTGATTAAGTTGATAATTGCCTTCATTTTTTTTATCAGAGATAGTGCACTTTAATTACATATGGCCCAAATTAAACATGTTACCAATACAAATATCGGAAAACATCGTTAAAGACACAACGACAGACATACCGGGAGCCTCTTGAAATACAATTATCAAAGAATGAAATGATACATGATATAATAGTTCGAATTTCTTGTTCCACATTAGTGACTTATGAGAATTTTAACTAGTGATAAAAATTAAAACAAAACCACAAGGTTTAAATATATATATAGTATAATTATGATTTGTTGAATATTCATATTAATTGGTTGAATATCGTATTAAGCGTGATTAAAATACATGTATGACCTACTATATGTGTGATGGTCACTTCCACATACTGGGCTGTATTGGGATGTGCATGTCCTGTCACACAAGTGCTGTGTTTGTCCATAAACAGCTCCTACAAATAGAGGAAACAATTAGAAGAATCGTTATTTTTAAAAAAAAAAGGCTATGTGTGTTTGATGGCTCGACAATTATACAATGCTTACCAAATAGTGCTACAAGAATAGCAAGTGAGTACATGATGTTGGTGGTGGGTGTGGTTAGGACAGGTTGTGATCGTGAGTGTTAACGTACTTATCAGAGGTTTGGCATTGCCACATACAAGATAGGGATGACCTGTACAGCGACCAAAGCGCTTATCTTTGGTTTCTGGTGGTATTTGCCTTCTGTAGGCCTTCAGAACTGAACGTTTAATCCTTTTATTAGGTGTAAATCTTCATACTATTTTACGGACATAGTTTTACTAAACGTGGGGTTTCTGTTGTACTGTTTGATGTTTCAAAAACTGAAGGGGGGGGAGGTTGCATACACGAAATATAAAAATTTGGAAATGTTGTTAGGGGCAATTTGGTTAAATTGTGTCGCGAGGAAAGTGACAATGACATTTGTATTTTGTCTTTGTGCTTTTCTCCCTTCTTTGGTCCACTGTAAACCATTGTGGAACATCTGATGTGGTCATTGCATGATTCTTGTTCCGGCTATCGACAAACCGCAAACAGAAGCAGTCCGAAAATTCATATCACAAGAAGAGTCGGTGTCGAGTACCGTATTAATGTATATCCTATGTAGTTTAGGCTGTTGTCAAATATCACTAAAAACGGTGTAGAATGTAATTCAGATCGGTGTCGAATATCGCTAACATCGATGTAGAATGTAATTCAGATCTGCGTCGAATATCGCTAACATCGATGTAGAATTTAATTCAGATCGGTGTCGAATATCGCTAACATCGATGTAGAATGTAATTCAGATCGGTGTCGAATATCGCTAACATCGGTGTAGAATGTAATTCAGATCGGTGTCGAATATCGCTAACATCGATGTAGAATTTAATTCAGATCGGTGTCGAATATCGCTAACATCGGTGTAGAATGTAATTCAGATCGGTGTCGAATATCGCTAACATCGATGTAGAATGTAATTCAGATCGGTGTCGAATATCGCTAACATCGATGTCAAATGTAATTCAGATCGGTGTAGAATATCGCTAACATCGATGTAGAATGTAATTCAGATCGGTGTCGAATATCGCTAACATCGACGTAGAATGTAATTCAGATCGGTGTCGAATATCGCTAACATCGACGTGGAATGTAATTCAGATCGGTGTCGAATATTGCTAACATCGACGTAGAATGTAATTCAGATTGGTGTCGAATATCGCTAACATCGATGTAGAATGTAATTCAGATCGGTGTCGAATATCGCTAACATCGACGTAGAATGTAATTCAGATCGGTGTCGAATATCGCTAACATCGACGTAGAATGTAATTCAGATCGGTGTCGAATATCGCTAACATCGATATCGAATGTTCATACTGATGTAAATTACCTCTAAAATTGGTGTACTACATGTATGTGGTTTAAATTCGTGTCCTTGCATTTTCCCATCTTTTAAACAAATATAATGAATGTATCGGTGCCACTCAACAAAACAAATCCGAACTGCAAGGTAACGAATGTGCAACTTTCTTGATCAATATATGGTAAATCAGAAAGTCGTTTGGCTTGAAGCTCTGTATCAGAGAATAAGTATTTTACGTTTGATAAGCACAACCACACTATAGCAATAATATTTGTTCTAGGTTGTTAAGATCCAAACCGGAAAAAATATTAACAGCAAACGTATCTTATGTCTGACACAGTTATCTTATAATTTATTTTAATAATCAGCGATACAAAACAGGTGTCAACTTGGATTTCACACTCAATTTCCACAATAACAGACTTTTTGTGGAATTTCATAGTCCTCCCACACCAAGACTTTGCTTCAAACCTATATGTTATAAAATAAATGAAGTTTAGAATTGTGGATGAAAAACAGAACACAACTAGTTTAACCTGAGTTATTTTTTTATTAATAAAATCCTAAATATCACCCCCATGTTAGCATTAGATATGTATTACTGCTGTGTGAGCGGGATCATTTTGTTTATGACTATTTTCAGCACATACAATCAAACTCATCAGATACAGAATGTCAAATATCAATGATACTCTCGTAACCATGGATATTAGTGTTAGTGTGGAGAACTATATAGACTTGAAAAAATAAAGTGAAATATTCATAATATACTGATTTAACACATAAGCAACAATGTTCAATATGTGTTGATGAAGAAATACATGTCACTCCAAATATGGATAGTCTACATGAATGATTATACATGAACCAGGAACTTTCTATCCAAGTCCATGTTTGGACTTTAAATGCATTCTGAATTACGAACTGTTGTAATTCTAGACATATCCACAGATATTTTGCGTTTGCAATAAAAATTTAACAAACATCAGAGATTTTTAGATAAAATTGCCAATAAGATGTCTACATAAGTCTAAAACAATGCATTACATATTTCCTGTTGTTCTCTTCTCTGTAACAAATACTTGTAACTCAAAGACTGTACAAAACATTGTCTAGTGGTATACCTTTACATTTATCCTCCATACTTTTCTAAAGTAAATAAAGTCTGAAATTCCAGATGTTTGACCTAGAACCATGGTAACAGTCAACATCTCAATGTCGACTGTTTACATCACAGCTCATTATTGTTTTAACTTCCCAGTTGTTATCTGACAATTTCAGTCATTCAGCAATAGTGAATAGTACCAAACATTGTACAGCTATAACTGGTAGCTGTACCAAACTTTGTATGACTATACTAAACATTGTACAGCTATAACTGGTAGCTGTACCAAACTTTGTATGACTATACTAAACATTGTACAGCTATAACTGGTAGCTGTACCAAACTTTGTATGACTATACTAAACATGACTATACTAAACATTGTACAGCTATAACTGGTAGCTGTACCAAACTTTGTATGACTATACTAAACATTGTACAGCTATCACTGGCGACTGTACTAAACATTGTACAGCTATAACTGGTAGCTGTACCAAACTTTGTATGACTATACTAAACATTGTACAGCTATAACTGGTAGCTGTACCAAACTTTGTATGACTATACTAAACATTGTACAGCTATAACTGGTAGCTGTACCAAACTTTGTATGACTATACTAAACATTGTACAGCTATAACTGGTAGCTGTACCAAACTTTGTATGACTATACTAAACATTGTACAGCTATAACTGGTAGCTGTACCAAACTTTGTATGACTATACTAAACATTGTACAGCTATAACTGGTAGCTGTACCAAACTTTGTATGACTATACTAAACATTGTACAGCTATAACTGGTAGCTGTACCAAACTTTGTATGACTATACTAAACATTGTACAGCTATAACTGGTAGCTGTACCAAACTTTGTATGACTATACTAAACATTGTACAGCTATAACTGGTAGCTGTACCAAACTTTGTATGACTATACTAAACATTGTACAGCTATAACTGGCGACTGTACTAAACATTGTACAGCTATAACTGGTAGCTGTACCAAACTTTGTATGACTATACTAAACATTTACAGCTATAACTGGTAGCTGTACCAAACTTTGTATGACTATACTAAACATTGTACAGCTATAACTGGTAGCTGTACCAAACTTTGTATGACTATACTAAACATTGTACAGCTATAACTGGTAGCTGTACCAAACTTTGTATGACTATACTAAACATTGTACAGCTATAACTGGTAGCTGTACCAAACTTTGTATGACTATACTAAACATTGTACAGCTATAACTGGTAGCTGTACCAAACTTTGTATGACTATACTAAACATTGTACAGCTATAACTGGTAGCTGTACCAAACTTTGTATGACTATACTAAACATTGTACAGCTATAACTGGTAGCTGTACCAAACTTTTTATGACTATACTAAACATTGTACAGCTATAACTGGCGACTGTACTAAACATTGTACATCTTATTGTATATCTTAAAAACTGAATAATTTTATGAAATAACAAAAGGTTTAAAAATTATAAGCATTTTTGAAAGACATTTCATAAGTGAACGAACTTGCTTTAAAATTACAGTTGGAATCATGATATGGTTCTCTCTAACACATGAACACACACAAAACAACTCTTATAAAATCTGGTAAAACATGTATCAACACAAGCATTATAATGTTCTACATTTCTCAATAAATAATGATATTTAAAATTTGACCAATGTTCACTGCATTTGTTTTTGAAAATCACAGTAATATCAAACTATTAAGTATGAAAAAACTGAGTTAAGCTGGTATATTTCCTATTGAAAATTCCATTCAAAAATCCTTGAAGTATGTCCCCTGCATTTAAACTGCTCTTCTGTTTTAATGTTTGATAAATAAGGTGCCTGGAGAATGAAAGCTTTAATTCAGTCATTTTTTTTCTATAAAATTTTAAACTGGCAGGTTAAAACCTAAATAAAACATTTTTTAAATAAATGCAAATGTAGGAAAAAGACCAATAAAAAATATTTTTGGTAAATACAATTTCATAAGAAAAAAATTAAGATATCTATATACACAAATATAATTGAATTATACAAAACAACAACACAATCGAGTGAACATTGGGTTATCTGTCAATGTTTGGTATGGCAGTTATAAATCGTACATACATCTCTGACTTTGTCATATTACTGAGCTATAACTTCAGAAACATAACATGCTAACTATCCATTTATCAAATATACAGATCAGAGCATGTAAAAACCTTGTTGTCTTTTAAACAGAATTAATTTCACTGTGATCATTCCCTGTCATTATACATAAGAATACAGCATACAATTAGATTTTATTTTGATTTTACAGTTAAAACTATTAACATGTATCATTTACTGAATCACCGTTGACAACGTTATCATAATGGTGCAAAATCCCAAAAGGCATCACATTTATGACAAATTAGATAAATTAAAATTGACAACATCATGGCAACTTAAAATCCATAATAGTATAAACCTGTGGAGGAATGTGTAATGATAAAAACATATCCATGGTAGATATAATGTTATACACAGTGGAATAGAACATACGGCATTTAATTCTGTAAATTGGTAAACTTAAACACCCATGCCCATCGGACTTTGAATTCATTGACAGAGATGGGGGGTATGGTCACAGTGACTCCTGACCCAGTGCCAGGGGTGAGGGTCAACGATCCTTTATATCCCAGCAGAGAGACCATGGAGGCATGGGAGGCGACTGGTGCCCCTAACTTGAGGACGTTGTTGTCTGGCCAGTCTAACACAATAGCATATACAGATGTTCCATTGGTTGACTTCTGGGAGGTGTACCTGTAAACATTAAGACAGACTGCTATGTACAATCTTGATATAACAAAACTTTTATTCCATTGCCAATCAGTCTCCTATACATATTAAAGTCATGACCAAATATAACATTAAAATCCATGACATTATCAGTGGAGATCGTCACCTCAGTGTAATCATTACAATGTCAAAACCAGTTTTAACTGTGTAGCGATAAAGAAAAAAAATGTGTTGAAGCGTGTGCACTGCCTGACACAAACATGTGTAGGGTACTACCTGACACAAACATGTGTAGGGTACTACCTGACACAAACATGTGTGTAGGGTACTGCCTGACACAAACATGTGTGGGGTACTGCCTGACACAAACGTGTGTAGGGTACTGCCTGACACAAACATGTGTAGGGTAGTGTCTGACACAAACATGTGTAGGGTACTGTCTGACACAAACATGTGTAGGATACTGCCTGACACAAACACGTGTAGGGTACTGTCTGACACAAACATGTGTAGGGTACTGTCTGACACAAACATGTGTAGGGTTCTACCTGACACAAATTTGTGTGTACTGCCTGGTACAACTTTTGTGTACTGGCTGGGACAACATATGTGCACTGCTTAGTATAGCATGTGTGTATTGCCTTGTTTTATAAAAGTGTGCTGCATAGTACAACTTCTGTGTACTGCCTGGTACAACTTCTGTGTACTGCCTGGTACAACATGTGTGTGGTAGAACTATCTAATACAACATGTTTGTACTGTCTAGTGTGTACTATCTAGCATAACATGTGTGTACCGCCTGTGATTCTCATCTGACTAAGTCCATGAGTTTGTGTTATATATATGACACATTGTTATTGTGTGTTTATCAATTTTTAATTATTTTCCAATCATTATATTCAGAAATATATATAAACATTCTTTTCCTTACCAGACCCCACTAGCCAGTGTGTCATTTTGATGTGACCAGGGTTTAGAGGCGTATATTGCCTCACCATTGACACCTAGCCACTCTCCCATCTGTCGCAGCCTTTCTTCAAATATGGGGACAATTTTGCCATCATGAGTTGGCCCAATGTTGATCAGAAGGTTACCTCCACAACTGAAATAATAATGTACATGTTACACTAGAACTGAGAGATGTGCTAATAATACTGTGTTGATTGATACACAAAAGATCCAAAACAGGTCTAGGTGTTCAGCACTGCAAGATCTTAAATGTTTCTATGTTGATTTGATACGTAGGTACTAGGGTGTGTTTTGTTGTTTCAGTTTTGTTTTGCATTATTGACTTGATTGAATTGTTGACATGACATTAGTGAATAGTTTCTGTGACGGCATATCATTGTCCTGAGAAGAGAATCCCACCCTCCCCGGCATAAAATTGTCCTGTTCAACAACAAGATCTCTTGAACTCAGTGACAAAAAGTAATACCGGGTACATGTAAAAATCTTCAGATGTCAACACATTTGGGACGAACCCCTTCCCCAACCCTTGAAAATACTTAATTAATTGTGATTCTGTATTTTGTCTTTCTAAAAATTTCTGTGGATGCGCTATTTTATGGTAGCGATAATTAACCAAACACTGAAACTGCACCAAAATTGGATTGCACCAAATTAAGTATGTTTACAGTAAATACCTGACAGTTGATGCTATAACACTGGTGATGTCCTCCATGGTCAGAAAGTCATCCAATCTGGCTCGTCGACGGTAGCCCCACGAATACTTATCAATAGTCATGCTGTTTTCCCACTTTCTTTTCTGTAGCACACCTATACAGTATAACGTTCTGATCAGCACATATAAATCATACAGAATGTATAGGAGATACACAATAGAAAATAAACTACCCTGGGTTACAGTCAAATAATCACTAGAAAATGTCACATCATCACAAGGATACACATATTAGTTTCAATATCACACCAGAAATAAATTGCTGTTACATCACTGCAGAGAAAGCAGTCACATCAAGAGAAAACCTCTTTGTTGCCTTGATGCTATATCAATGTGCATGCGTAATGCCATACTTTTAACTTAAGAGTGTATGTCATGTACCTAAGTATAGCTTTAAGTGACAAGATAACATCTATGAAGTTCTACATACCTGGGTTGTACCTATCATCACAATTCAGAAAGCCACCATGTTTACATCTGATGTTCTTGCCCCATCTGTCATTTACCACCACGCTGTCTTTGACTGGACTGGACAAGATATTTGTGGTACAAGTTAAGTAATGATATTAAACCTGCTGATGCTTCTGTGGTCAAATTTGGTTTATGACTATCTCAATGTAGATTTGATTGGTCAGTGATTGGTTCACTGTGATATAATTATTTACACTCATTTTTCTTCTTTTGAATAATGTTTTTGTGTGTGTTTACTTCATGAGTATTGTATATAGCCACCAAATAATACAAGGAGACCCACCCCAAAATGCCCATGGCTGTTAACCAGGAAATAAACTCAGTGAACAAGTAAATTTTCTAAATAAAACATCAATCATGATAGAAAGTTCAAAGTAAAACAAGAAATTGGTTATATAAACCTTAAACAAAAATGTTAGTCAAGAGGTTTACATGTGGCTAAACCAGGCAAGTTAGAGATTCAATTAAATACCTTTCATTGTAAAGCCAAGCAAGGAACTCGGTGGCATTCCAGTAAACATCAGTGGTCTCCCAATCTCCATCAGACCAGATCACATCAGATTTGTAGTTATTCACCAACTCATATAATTCTGGTAAAGTCTTCTCCTGAAACAAGTAAACATATGATGTATATTATCAACCTGTATACAGTCAAAACATTTGTAATATAGGACAGTGATCAGTACAAAATGTTTGGAGACATCTTCCTTCAGAATAGAGTGGCAAGAACAGATGAAGTCTTGGTATAAGGTTTCCTGTGTAATCTTGGTACAGATCTAACATTGGTATCAGTTTTATTTTGATATCTATAAATCTATTGATAATACAGTTAATATTCTTAGACACTCAGATTAATCAGTTCATAATGGTGCCTGTGATGTGGCAACATTCTGAATAACAAGCAACAATGTACCAATCACGTGGAAGAAGTCTTGCTGTTAATTTGTCCAAATCATCATTTATATTTTGAATATACAAGTATATTGACTTTTCTGTTCTTTATAAAACTCAATTATACTTTTGTAATTTTCCTGTTTCATTTCTGTTTGGATGTAATATTTTCACAGGACACAATAAAATGTATAAATACGTACTCTAACAAAGTCTTGAGTTTTGAAGCCATTTGCTTTATCACTAAGATAGAGTGGGTTATACCATTCAAACAGTGAATGGTAGGTACCAAACTTTATTCCCTCCTTCTTCCTGACAGCTACAGCTAACTCTCCTGTTGATATAAACATGTTCTATTGATATGTCATAATTGATTAATGATTCTTCTTTTTGATATCATATAAATCAAACACTTTCATATCTAATATGGAGACATAAAAATGGTAAAAAGGTCTGCTAGTTAGTATCGGTAATATGTCGTTTCTTTAATAAAACCTGTACATGTATATACATGTACACTAAGCTCGTATGTTGGACTCTGTTGGAATTTTTTAACATTTTAATTAAGTCAGAGAAAGGATGAAAACTGCTGATAGATACAATAGATCACATAACTGAAATATGGATATCCATATATAGTGACTTTTTTTCACTTCAGTTTACCATAAGCAATTATCATGAAATGAAATGTTGGATCATAGATACAGGTATGATCAACACATTTTTATGCAGCCTAATTTTGAACTTGACGGATTTGCAGTTAGTGACCTTTTCTTCAATGAGCTTGAGTTACAGCATTATTATCGGGTTTCAATTTAGAAAGGCTATATATTATTTAGTTACTTGCCCACAAGATCTCGCTTGGGACCAACATCCATGGAATTCCAATTCCATGACACTTTTGATGGCCAGTTGGTGTAGCCTTCATGATGTTTCGTCACCAAAACTACATACCTAAAAAAAGAAAATTTAAGAAATGTCAAGATCATAGATAGATTTTAGGATACACTGTAATGATACAAGTTGATGGGCAACGAATACAATCCAAGTTATATCTATGAGAGTACTTTCTAAAGACCGTTACCACTGCAGTCCCAAATGCAATATGCATACGTTTTAAAAGGTCGAGGAAAACAATCTTATATTTGACTTTCCAAGCCTAGTGTGTCCTATATATGCCATAGTATCCCCGTATGCTGAGATTAAAGAACACTGTCTGAGCATGCCTACAAGGAAACAACTATACCCCTGTGATAAGCTGGTGTGATAAAATATCAACAGTTTCCCTTCCCATCGTTATTCGTACTTTGCTCCGGATGCGGCTAAAATGTCGGCCCACTCATCGGCGTTGTAAAATTCTGTCGTAAACTGGGGAGCAAAATCAGCATAGGTGAAGTCTGGTCTGTAGTTTCTATTCATGAAATCAACAACACCTGGTATCTTCTGTCCTTTCCACAATTCCCAGAACCACTCCGACGAAAAACTCGGCACGGAAAACACCCCCCAGTGAATGAATATTCCAATTTTTGATTCATCATACCAGTTTGGTAAAGGACGAGAATCTATTGATTCCCAGTTAGGTTCATATTTTACGCTTACACAGCAACACAATGCGCATAATAGTATAAAAGTAGTGGTTTGGCGAACGAGGAGCAAAGACATCTTTCCTCAGATAGACAAGAGTCGCTGTTTGTTTACCTCTATCACATGATTCACATCGGCATCACAGTAACGCTTGACACTGCATGGCCTGTTTTTCCGGCATTATCTACCAGAGTTGTCGTTCCTTAACAGTCACAAAACACCTCATCTCTAGTCTATTGTATGTCATCGACCAGCGTTAAAAATGCGACTTTTGAGAGGTCATGCGCCAATAAAGATAACAAAACAGAACAATAATCAATTATTTATTATTTGACACAAAATGTTTTTCAAGAATCCTGAAATGGCGTGAGTCAGATGTGTTATTAGGGTACAGCAATGCACTCTGAAAGGTTGTTTTTTTCAGTTCAAAAGGTTCTGGTGGCATAGAAATATTCACATTAAATGAACACAATACCGGATGTAAGAGATGTCGTTACATAATAAAGTAATGAGGAAAATGCCCGAACAGCGACATCCAGCCATTTAGTTTGACTAGAAATGATTGGTCACTAAATTTATGTGGTCCGAATGTTTTGTCGGTCAAACTGTTTAAGTCACCTATAACAAGAAATTGTAACTGGTATCACCGACGTTCGTTGGCGAGACAACTCCTTGAAATAGGACGAGCCTAGAGACATAGAAAAAAAAACTGTTACCAACCAACAAACCTACCAGTATTAGATCACCTGCTCTCAACTCGTTCAAAGGGCAAAATAGTTTATGTCATTGTGCGGCATCCGGCGTCAACTCCTTCATTTAAATGACTTCTTCTCAATAACCAACATTTGACTGACAGGTTCCCGGGATGAAGCCCATCAGAGCGTGTGAAATTGGCCCTGACCCATATTCAAGGTCACCGCGGTCAATTTTGTCAAAACCTCTTAACTTATTCTTATGACAACCGAAAGGGCTATAGGCATGATATCTTCCTGGTAGATCACTGGAATGAATCCTAACAAAGTTTTAAAAAAGAAATGAACTTGACTCATGTTTAAGTTAGATCACAGGGGCCAAATTCCTCAAAAGTTTTAAACGACGTCTTCTGACAGAAAAGCCTAGAAGCATGATATTTTGATGGAAGGTTCCTGTAGATAAAGCAAAGACACATATTGCAAAAAAAATCTCTCAAGCCATTGACCCATATTTAAGGTCGCATGGGGTCAAATTTGTCAAAAACCTTTCAAAAACTTCTAATTAAACAGAAGAAAGAATAGAATCATTATATTTGAATGGTAGATCTCTCAGTTGAAGCCTAACAAACTTCGCAAAAAGACGTAGCGCCATATTCAGGTCACATGGGCCAAAATTGTCAAAACCTTTAAAAGTCCTCTGGTAAATTAAAAATCCGAGAAGCAGGATATTTAGTGGAAAAGTGTTCCTAGACAAAAGCATGACAAAGCTTGAAGAAATAAAAAACGACATTTACCTATAATCCATGTCATAACTCTCCGATTTGAAGTTACAGATGTTTTCGATGCTCGACAGTATGCCTAGCATTTTCGGTGTTGTGACATTACTTACTTGAATTGGCAGGTAACGAGAAGATGCTTACATTTTCGGAATCCCTCGTCTCATTCTTTCTCGCTTCATTCTTGTTTGTGTATTGATTACGATTTTGTTAAGCAAATTACTATTGTCGACATTGTTAACGTTCCAGCATCTGTACTACTTGTATACATTTCGAACTTGTCTTCGAAAATTATATCAAAGTACGATATTCCAGTCAGAATCCTAACATAACAGTTATTCAAATTACAAAAAAATAATGTTTATACTTAATCAATATACATTTTCAAAGGATTTTCCATTTTACCCCAAAATATCAAGCAGAGACAAAAATAAGCATAATTATATGTCAGCTAGAACATTCTGGACGTGGAACAAATTCGTACATCCATGATTCCTATACAGAAGCGATTTTGTCTTTATTTGCACCAACTCAGTGTAGAGTGAAGTTCATCTTTGTGTGATTGTCCGCTGTATAGCAAACTGAGATGAAGTCTCTTTCAGCCAATGTCTCATTCCTGTGATATTTATAAATTCCGAAAATGGTAATAAAAATTTTTAATGGAAAACCAATGTGTTCAGTTTTTATTGGATAAATATTTGTATTCTGTATGACGTTTATAAATTGCATTTAAAGTTAGCCTGTATATCTAGCACATCTGTATGCATGTTAACATCTAAGATATTTCATTTATAATTTTTTTCTCTGTCATGTTTTGATAATTTTACATGTATGGACTGTAGAACTTTAAAGATTTAGAACGTCTCATAAGTCATTAATGGCTGTATGTAAATATAGATTTGTGCTTGCATGTCTCGGGTTTACCCGTTTTAAATGAATATATTAATATGAAATAATAAAATAGTCGTACCATCATTCATATGCAAAATCGCAAAGGAAAGTGAAAGTCGTGTACAAAACTGGATTACATAAAAGAACCGTTGATTATTAAACAGAGTTTTACCGTGTCTCTGTAGCATACATGTTGCGATGGAGCGCATTATTATGTCCTTAAACTGCTCTCTCTTTGATCTCTTTAGAATTGAGATGCACAGTATGATGGACAGAATATCGTTATCGTACATGTGCATATCTAAATAGTTTCCACTCACATTATCTACTGTCAGAATATTCAACTGTTGCCAAGGGTGTAACACAGCACGTCATCATCTACACGCAACTTCCTGGTTAAAAAAAACAAAACAGGCCATCTGGTGACAGCTTATTGTTTGCATGTACAAAAAGAATGCTAATTTAAAAGGTTGAGATGCTGCAAACAGACAATGAGGAAGTCATTGGATTACGTAATAATTAGCTGATGCTCATCTACAACTCTCCAATTGTTAGCGGTATTTCTCCTAAGGCGTTTACTTTGAATACAAATACATGTATTCAATAGAAGAATTCTCATTGGTTACACATTGCACGGCGCGTATCTGTTCCAGTATGTCAGAGCGGTGTAAAACATCGACGGTTGATACTAATGAATACAACACCACACATCACATATGTAAGCCAATAAGCAAAGTCATTAGGTGTAGAATCGTAAAGTGTATTGATTTTGCACTGCCTTTATAACGAATGAAGAGTATCAAGAAAATAGGAAAGACAAAAACAAGGTATATTCTTCATGTTGTTTTGTAGAAGTCTATTACAAAATTATGAATGTAACTTCTACAACAGTATTCCAATGAATTACTCTGTATGGATATTGAAAGAAAGTACAATGTGAGAAGAGTTTGGTTTGTGCATGTCTTTGTCAATAAAACGTTGCGAAAAAACCCAACCAAAATACAACAAAAAAAAAAAAAAAAAAAACCAAACAAACAAAAACAAAAACAGATAAAAACCCAAAACAACCAGAATATATATGTGCATACCAAATTGATTGGGGACACGACATTGTCTGAAAAAGACTTCAAAGAACTTGTATATCTTTTTTAGATACGGAAACTACCATCATCAAAACGCGAGACAGAAGCTACCATTTTTACAGTACACGGCTTAAACTCTGAAGGTTTTCGAGGTAATGCCAGGACACGAAACCATGGCGACACAGAAGAAGAGTAAGGTAGCAATGTTATTAAGAACAAACGCCACTACCCACCAATCTCAAAAGATTATACCAAAGACACGTACAAAAGTGAATAGAACAATTCAATGACGACTCAAATGATACAATACCTACCGTGTATATTATTAAAACACTACTATCTTACCATCTTGAAACTAAAAAAAGGAAATGCATAAGGATATATAGGGAAATTAAGGTAAGTCTAAACAAACATTTAATAAAAGACTAAATCCTTAACAAATTAGAAAACTATATAATACTTAGATATCAACATGATAAAGAAACTATCATAAATAACATTTACCAACACGATAAGGATATTATAGAAAGCATATTAGTACTGTGATACGGCATGAAGTTATTTTCGAGGGCTTCAATTTTCAGGAGATTGTATAAAATCGCGAAAAATAGCTGTATCGAAAACATAATTTAATGATCTAGAACAAAAATATTGTCTGGTTTATGAATATGAAAAATGCAGCCTTAAAGTTTTATTTAGTAAAACCTCAAAAATTAAGTCTCGAAAAAATACTGTAAAGGTTCTATGATTCGAGCTTTTTCCGAATGATTTTGTGTTCATTTTCTTTTTCGGTGGGTTTCTGTCATCCTCGAATTGAACAAAACATAAAACCATCGAAAATAACAACTACAACAGTATATCAAAATCACAAAGAAACTATTACTTAGTACAAAGTTGGAACAATGAATATTTACATCAAAGGAATCTGTCAAAATATTACTTAGCACATGATTGGAACAATGTATAATTACATCATAGGAACCTGTCGGAATATCATTTAGTGCATGACAGGGACAATGTATACTTACATGAAAGGAAGCTGTCAAAATAGTACTTAGTACATGGTAGGGACATTGTATGTTTCCATTAAAGGAAGCTGTCAAAATAGTACTTAGTACATGGTAGGGACAATTTATATAAAGGAATCTGTCAACATTTTACTTAATACACGGAAAGGACAATGAATGAGTGGTAGGAACAAAGTATGCTTACATCAAATGAACATGTCAAATATTCCTTCGTACATGACGGAACATTGCATACCCAAATCGTTGGGAAATGACCAAAATGGCAAGAAACCACAGACAATTGACCAAAATACCGACAACAGAGGGACACCTAAAGTTTGAAACCTCCCATTATTGTAGATGATCGTTGTGTATCTATTTCATAGATGTATGTACACATATCTACCACTTAATATACCTACCAATCCTGTACATGTTTTATCCGTATAATTAACGTTGTTAGAGTTCCATGTAATATGTAAAAAGAAGGACGAAAAAAATGTGTAAGCTTGTGATTTATTAGTAAAGAATTCTGCTGATCATTAATGCTGAGTGTGTGGATGCTTGACATATCACATCGCGTTTAAGTTCTTGTATTGATGCCATTCAACAAAAAGCACTGCTATCTTAAACGCACAATAATCAATTTGAATACACCATTCCCAAATTCTACTGGCCATGTGCTCTGATCAGTGAGTATATATGACACACAAAGTGCCTTCTAAAGGACTGCTCTTGTCAGTGATGTTATTTCTATGTAGGCCATGCTAGCCTGAATGACTGAGTAGACAAATAAAGTAAACTGTGAAGTCGGCTAGTTGTTCCTTCACCTGTAGTCATTGTGTGTTAAAAAAAAATTCTGTCGACTTTTCCGAAAAAAGTAATGACAGTGCATTTTAAATGACTCAGTCTATGGATAATTTTGCTGGCCACAATTTACATTTGCAAAATGTATCGCCGATCACAATTAAATTTACAAAATGTATTGCCAGTTTACATCAGGATATCCGCCAAACCTCCGTCGGCGTCTGATGACCGCTGATAAAATTTCCTATGGCATCTGATGACCACAATCGAACCTAAATTGGTCTTCGATGACCACTGTTGTAGACTGTTGATAAGCACTGTTAAACCTCCACTGGGGACTGATGATAAGCACTGTTAAACCTCCACTGGAGACTGATGATGAGCACTGTTAAACCTCCGTTGGAGACTGATGATAAGCACTGTTAAACCCCCGTTGGAGACCGATGATAACCACTTTTAAACCTCCACTGGAGACTGATGATGAGCACTGTTAAACCCCCGTTGGAGACTGATGATAAGCACTGTTAAACCCGCGTGGAGACTGATGATAACCACTGTTAAACCTCCACTGGGGACTGATGATAACCACTGTTAAACCTCCACTGGAGACTGATGATGAGCACTGTTAAACCTCCACTGTGGACTGATTATGAGCACTATTAAACCCCCGTTGGAGACTGATGATAAGCACTGTTAAACCCGCGTGGAGACTGATGATAAGCACTGTTAAACCTCCACTGGGGACTGATGATAACCACTGTTAAACCTCCACTGGAGACTGATGATGAGCACTGTTAAACCTCCACTGTAGACTGATGATGAGCACTGTTAAACCTCAACTGGGGACTGATGATGACCTGTTAAACCTCCACTGGGGACTGATGATGACCTGTTAAACCCCCATTGGAGACTTTTGAGGACTACTGTTAAACCTCCACTTGGGATTGATGATTACCTGTTAAACATCTATTGGGAACTGATGATGAGCCCTGTTAATCCTCCATTGGAGACTGATGATGACCACTGTTAATCCTCAGATAAAGACTGCTGTTAAACCTCCATTGGAGACTGATGAAGACCACTATTAAACCTGGTGGTTATTGTTGAGACTCCATACGTGTCTGTTGACCAATGTATGCATAATTAAAAGAGATATCTAAGGACAACGGTTATACCTCAATTGGAGTCATCCGTGAAACGAGATTCACACGACTTTCATCTCGCCTACGTTTCAAACTGATAGCATGGAAACTGGGTAGGTTTGCCTTTGAACTTTGACTTCCAGTTGTAACATCAGAATTAACCGCACACGTTTTGCTTGTCCCACAGACCGCTGGCTGCTTGTCAGCTGCACAGCTTAAATCACTTTTTTCCTCTATGGTGGTCAGAGGTTCGATATCCGTAGACCTTTTGAAAACAAAATTTGATTGTAGTTCACTGATATTTTTTAGTAAAGCTGACACGTTTTTTTCGCTGGCTTGGTTTGCTTTGCTAATATGACAACCCATGTTATGTCCATTAGTACATATCAGACACACCAGGTTGCCAGATGTTGATATTTACAGAAGCAGAAGAATATCCTTCGTGGCTGATCATCCGACTGTCAAGTCAAGTCACCACACGGTATATTGGTAAATGAGATACACCATCACATCGCGACAATGTTGTCCCCTTTCGTAACGATATGTATTCTCTATTGCCCGGGTAACCAATTCCTGAGGTCAGTTGATTATTATGTACAGTGGCTTAATAGATCCGCACATAATGACCGTATACGAGCATTGTGGCAGTTCAAAATGAAGCCCCAATAACGTTGGTTTATTGAGTTGCCATGGTAATTCAATATCAACACTACAGAGAGTATACTTATAAACAACACAGATTTCGTGAAAACGGCTGCTTGTGCTACATGCTGATGTGCTATAGCAATCTGTTACGGAAATCGATCGATTTCAAGTCCGCTCCCTCATATATGTAATGAAGATATTAATTATTATATAATAATATTTATTACACCTGGCTATTGGTTGGTAATTACTGGAACAGGTGATAATCAATTGTTTCTCCGAAGAATTGATAGTAAATCCACATCAATGAGCGTTGCACGCGGTTTCCAAATAATAGTTCTTTTCTGAAACGTTCACACGTCTACAAAATAGAGGTATTATTTTAATCCAAATAGCAAGACATCAGTGGTGGGAACAAATCAAGTGGAAAATCTCTGTGGTAATCACTCGTCCTAAGACAGGGACCTTGATTAACGTATATCACAATTTCCTGGACTAGCATAATTCGATAGTCGGGACTAGACCTAGATTTACCAGGATAACACAATACCAGGTAATTAAGGATGTAGTTATGATAATTTCTTTCTGAGAACAGAGTAGGAGTCCGAGAGTCCGAAGATAATCCTTGTAACATTTAACAAACAATAATTTTGTATAGTAAGGGCATATAAATCTTGTTCAAGTGATGCGTTAAAGACCAGTGTCCTTTGGTATAAGTAGTTTTTATTGAAGGAACTAAGGCGTGATCCGTAACTCGACGGAGATATATTTACCTACGATATATAGTAATTTTAGCATATGTTAAAGTCTATATTAATGTATACACGAAAAATGCTTCCATATCAAATGGTTCTAGTTGATGCTCGTTAGTTTGCCTGTTGGTTCTGTCGTTGTATGCATTGTTCTCATTTGAGAACCTGACATAACCTATTCGAATTGACAAAGATTTACATGGCGGCGTCATCGATGAAGCAGAAAACTCTTCCGGAACACCTGGGCCCGTATTCATGAAACCGTTCTCATGCTCAAGCATGAATTTTGTGCTGAAGCTTTATGTCTTGTTTAAGTTAAAAAATAATAAATAAGACTGATTTTGCCGAAGATTTAAAAATAATTTTGAAAGGACTTCAAGTCAAAGTTATATTCAAGGTTTAAATTTGACATTTGTATTATTTTATATGATTTAGGTGAATTATAAAAAAGTTTGCTTGAGCACAAAATCTATGTTTGAGCATGAGAATGGTTTCATGAATACGGGCCCTGGTCTTATTCTCTTTTTGTACCTTCAGGGGTCTCGTATAAAACTTTGTTTTTGTTCATATTTTGCCATAGTTTTATTAAATTTGAGCTTGGATTCAGATTATGTTAACATGTTGTTATTTCTTGTACTTTTTATTAACAAGCATATATATAACATATGCCATGAAAGTGTAAGAGAAGATGTAGGATGCCACATATATCTGGTGCCAAAATATGTCAAAATTTTATCTTATACTTGAATCATTTCACCAGTTAAAATGAAATTCCACTTTTTTACCTTAGTCAAGAGACAATGCTCAAAATAGACAATGAAAAAAATTGCACTGCTGGTCTCAGAAGTATCATCGCTCTATACCCGAATTATCTTCGAATTAAAACAAAGAGAACAGGTGCTTTATATATACCCCAAATCCTCATTGTTTTCTTTTGGTCTAAAGCTATTGAGGAGTTAATCTATTAAGGTATTCATGAAATATATTGTACATACGTTTACTTAGTTGTTAGTGAGTTTGTTTTTCCAAAAGTGGCCAAGAGCTGAGGTTTGACCTAGACCGATGATCCCCAAAATCGTATCGAGTGCTTCGTGGGGTAATGATATTCGATATTCTACGAACATGAACTCAATCTGTCCGTCGGTTCACGAAATATTTCGTGCATAATTTTTTTTTTACGGAATCGCAGACGGACGGGTGGACAGGCAGACTGACGGACGGACGGTGGGAGCCACGTGATATATATGCATCATAACATGAAATCATCAACAAAACAATCGAGATATATGTTCAATTTTAATGATAAAAAGTACATCTGAAATTAAATAGTTGTAAAATGACAAGTATGGATACGTACAAGTAATGAAATAATGACATTAATAGCATGTTATCAAAGAAAAAACAATTAAATATTTTTGTTTTGTTTTTGTCCTGATTTTCCACTCTCTTCAAAAGTATGTTTACAATTCCTTCTTTTTTCTTTCAATTCCATTTTCCCGAACAACATTTCACTAGTCATGTAAGAAAGTGGTACGAGACGCATGGAAAAACATACACAAATGTAATTTATTGCATATCACAGTCTTCACATCAAGCTAGGTTGATCTACTAGTTGTAAGGGAATAGTCTGGTCGCCAAAGGCCACACCAATTCTGAAACATGACGGGTATGTTGTGTTAGTCGAAGTTTAAACAAAGACTTCAAGTCACATTGCAAACAATAAAATTCCCCTGATGGTATTCTCACCGCGTATTTTGTTATATGTGATCAAATACTTATTTAAGGGGAAATTCTGTTGTAGCATCAAGCAGAGTGTAACAAATGTTTCAGAATTGTTTATCAACCGATCTTAACAAGTACGGTTTGTACCTTGATACCGTAGTTACAAAATTTGGTCAATATCTCCATCAATTGTTTCATATGTATTACTGAATACACTTATCAATATGTGTCTTCAGTTTACAATAACTTGGTACGTGTATAGCCAAGTGTGCCGGTTTTGACTAAGCTTTAGATAACATAATACATAAAAGATCTTTCATGAGTTTTCGTTTGATACGTGATTTTTGACATGTTCAGTTTTAGTGATCCTTCAGCGAGCTACAACGAAAACATCGTGACCAGTATAAAAAATCACACATATTAAATGAAAACTCGTGTAAGATGCTTTTTTTATCACATGAATGATCATTCGGGAAAAAAATATGTGAATAAAAGAGGTTTCAAAGTACTTTGAGTCAATTCGGCGGTATGTTTATGGTCTCTGTTGTTATGCCCAAATACAATCTTTAAATATGTGATGTCATTTCATTATGTAAGCTTAACATCACAGTTAGTTTGATTACACATGCGTATTACGTTACACATGTATAATACGCAGAGGCATAACACGGGTTTTTTAAAACAAGGTAATCACGTGATAAACCAGTAAACATACCTACTGAAATCTACATCTGAAGGAATACATTGAAACCAATGCCATCAACAGCTGATGCGCAATTTTGGTAACATGTGATGACAGAAAGGTAATCCCAATCAGGTAAAAACATAATATTGAACACAGGTAGGATAATGTAATTACAACGTCTACTGACCGTATAACCTTGTCCAAAATCGCTTTTATATGTATGGTTTATATCATGCGAGGTAAGTAATAACGGCATGGATGTCATTAGCAGATCGAGCCAGTAGGATTGATATAATACGGTAGGATCAATACAGCTGGATCATTAGATAAAACAGGACAGCTTTACAAACACTGGTGTCACATAAAACTAATCACATTTACACTTCAGAGATCATTATTGTGATTTCGTTTCGTCGTTCTTTTAAAATAGCATGCATTCATATTAGCTGGAGGCCGTGCGTTCTCGTCAATGTTCCTGTTTCCTATTGTCAAATCAGACCCATAAATGCAAACAAACTTTTAATTCAACAATAATTCTACGAGAGAAAATGGGTTTTTGCATTCATCTTCAGAAAGAAAAAAGCGAACATCATACAAATGTCTTTCGATAAGTATCCACATAAGGATAAATTACATACTATCACTTAAATCATACAAAATAAAAACGAGGGGGACAAGAGATCATCAACCAAGCCTTTAAAAAGCAAGACTTACCTCATTTAATCGAACTACGTGACCAAGGACACAGTTGTAACATCAATTAATAACAAACCACGATACAGATGAATTATACAGACCTGGTGGAGCGATATGGGATTATGGGACTACCGTTACATAAAAGAAATTAACAGTGAATATTATTTTTAAAATGGAGAGTATTATGTGTTTTGATGGAATGATTAGCTGATAAAAAAACTTAATGACACAGGAACGGACAGTATATATCTTGGGTATTCTCTTATTTAGAAGAACTTCGTTAAGCCTCCAAAAATGATAATTTGTAACGAATCATTATCAGATGTGATTATCGTACACTCTTACATGAAAATATTACCGAAGAATATCTAGGATACTCATTTAACTACGGATACAAGCGATTGATATCTTAAAAAAATATTCCAGCTCTTAGGTAACTTGCACTAGTATAAGTCTAATTACCTAATTCTCAATCAACAATATAATGCATAAACTAGCAGGTTTACAGTAAGAATCTGTCTGGCGAAAAACAACTAAACTGTTCACAAGTAACTCAGTAAACTAGCTTGTTTGTTATTGTTTAGTTCACAGTCTTATGTTCTGTGTTGTTTCAGTGTTGAAAGATGATATTGCTTACTGCCATGATTAGCAATGTATATAGTTATATAACACAGGAAACATACGGTCATAGCTTAAAATATCAAAACACGTTAAAAAGATAAACGATGAGAGCTTGAATGAATCACTTCATTATACCTTGGAGTATGTAATCTTGTAAAAAAAAAGGATGAACTAGCAAACAAGAACTAAGATTATTTGGGCTTACTACTCCTACCATTTCTTTCAAGGGTATAGTTACGATCTGTGTTTATTAAGGTAACAATTACGGAGTCAACCTTTTCACTCCATAAGGTATAAAGCTAGAATCAGATAGAGAAATAACAAACTATATCGTAATGATCGGACTGTTACGCTTTATACGTGTAATATAGGCACATATCCCATCTCGCAGTTCTTCATCGTAAAGTTAATATTTCAAAACTAGATTGTCAAATTATTAGTTATGACGAGAGATAAAGACTTTGATATCAGCGCTTGACCAAATTCCAGCCTTCGGCGCTTAGGCTGATTTCTGGGCTTCGAACTAAATCAAAAGGATGCGACAACAAAATACTGATTTGATAACCTTCATGATATAAACATAAATGTTTCGCATTTCAATCTGGGCGACTGAATTTTCAAAATATTAACAATATATTTTATCACTATATTATTATATAAATATTACAATGTAACATGAACATTCTCTATAACATGAAGAGTTATTTTTCAGTGCTTCAGTGATAAATCATGTGGTACATATTTAATTATACATGAAAGTGCTATGTGCTGGAAACAAATGACATGAAAAATGGACTTTCGGCTGCTTAAACAATGATTGTCCTTTTGAGGAAGAAAATGTGAAGGTGAACGTGTGTTTCATGCACGTGAGGTTAGTCATGCTTGTGACCATAATATAAAACCTTAATGTTACTGATGATGAATTTGTGAAATGTTAAACATAAAGAATATGCTCTATTTTCTTTTCATGTCTTTTTTTCACTTTTCCATTTTACTTATAACTAGTTCATAAAAACATATGAACAAATCATATATACTTGAAGACGAATTTTAGAGCAGGGAGTCATTATGTTATTTTTCCGTAACCTCCATTGGTCAGATTTTTTGTTGTAATTTACAGACATTGAAACATTTCTAGATACAGTGTATTTTCGATATTTATATTTTGGTTTCCATTAATGATTCCTAAATGAAAACATAGTGTGGATCATATTTATGTTATTTCGCTCTCAATTTTCTGCAATTTTGCAGATCATATGATTACTGGTCGCGTAATTGTAATCATTTCAAGCCAAATCATATTTTCATTTTAAAATATATTTTTGAAACTAAAGTGGTGATTTTTTTTCATAGTTTTTACCTTCATTTACACTTATTATTCCAAATGGCCATGTACATTCTAGTATTTAATTCGAAATGCAAAATTTCTTAAAATGGAATCTTACAGTCATACTTACCTATACACTTACCTACTTAACCAGAGACATGCATTCTAAACTACTAAATATGTTTGACTAACTACTTTACTGTAAGGAGTATATGTTATATTCAGGGTGGGATACCCAGTGCAGAGTAGGGAAAGGTGAAAGGGATTCAGAGATCAATATATTTGTGTAGCATGATGGCATAGTTACCTTCTTTAAACACGAAGGGAAAAAAGAAGAAAAAACGAAATAAATTCAAAGTTGAAATATGAAAAAATAAACAATATATTATCATCACTGATGCAATAATATAGAAAAGGCAATTTCAACTAAATATATCTAACATGTATTTTTCATTTACATAAAATTACAAAGGTCACTAGAATGTTTCGTATGGTGGCAAGCACACATAATTTAGGAAAAGATAGCAAGTTGAATGTCAATAATATTATCAAAATAATGTTAACTGAAATCAGTGTAATTAGATAATTTGTGTGGTATCAAAACTTACCACTGTCCAATACCACATCAAAGGGTTTATCATACATGTCCAAGTAGTCCTGGGGTCTGATCAGACAGGGGTCATTGTCCTCACACAGGTAATGTAGCACGCCTATCATATAAAAAATCAAAAATAAAAGTAGTAGATTTTTATACAAACCTTTACACTGGTAAAGTTTACACAGTTCCATGGGTAACTTCGCACCGCGAATAGTGCCTTTTCATACTTTAGAGTAGGATAAATTAGAGCCAAACAATTAATTAAACTGCATCACACAGCTGTTTCGTCTTTCTATGACTCGTAAGTGATGCTATGGGCCTAGATTTTGAAGCCTCGCAGACGACTAAGGAATATCCAAAGTGATCGAAAGAAAAGTCAAAATCTAGGCGAGAAGATGCAGTAGATTCATAATTAAATAAATTTCGTAATTTCCATACATCAGAAAATTTTAGAACAGCCTCAAGTACATATAAGAAGTAAAAGGGATAATATAGCAGTTTTGATTTGGACAGTCACGAAGTTAATGGAGATACAAAACATATCAATTATGGGCCTTAGCTCAAGATCAGAATCAATCAGAAAAAATGTCGCTGTCACACAATATAGACCGAAATCAAAGGTCATTAATGTTTATATGACAATTAACATATGTTCCAGCATTTACTGCCTCGTATATACTTTAAAAAATCTTGAAATTGAACATTCAGACAGGTACATCATGATTTATAAGTGTGCTCATTGTCTTAGCAGAGTACAAAAATTCCAAAACTTTTTAATAGATAAAATGCCTGAATTGGAATATTGCAAACTGTCCTCTAAAACACGTTCGTATATATTCAGGGGTACAGGTCAGGCAACATGAAGTCCGTATGATACACATTGACTTGAACAAGGGGAAATCTTGACATATATAATATAGCCAAATAATGAATTGAACATCATCATGATGCTGTTTCGTTCCTCTTGGACTTGGTGAAGATACTACCGCTCTAAATCGTAAAAACCAAACAATATCAAAATTGATCGAAAGAAATATAAAAAACATACAGGTAGGTGGACCTCAAAATTCAATACATTTGATAATTTTCGATTAATACATGTAAATTAATTAAAACTTGGCATGCAGGTTACGGCGAAGTCCTCAAATATGTAATGTCTACCACCTGCACTCTCAAAGAAAATGTCTGTATATTGATTATCATCTCTTTAAATAAAGTATTCAATACCTTGCTGGGGTAGCAGCTCTGGCACTCTTTCGTGTAAACTATCCATCAAGTTCTTCAAATTCAACTGTAAATATCAAAATTGATCTTTTCTCCTTCAGAGATACATACCAGGTAACTTGTTTTACCCATTACATTAATGTTTATTTTCAATTTAACTATATTTTAAGGAGTTTCTACTTTATTTTCATTACTTATTTTATCTGGAATGTCAAATTTATTGTCAAGTAATTTCTTCTTCATTATTGATTAAAATACTGTAGTTCAGTTCAAAACATCTGATGTAAAAACTCATGCGCTTTAGAAACTTTATCTTTATGAGACCTAGCTTTCATTACTGTCAGTTGTCAAATCTTGATTTAATATTAGTTTTAACAGAATTTAAATCAAATTGAATTAAGTGTAACACGTATTTGTATAGTTTCATTTATGACATAAATGGAGCATTGCCCAGAGCCTACCATCAAACATACATATGTATTTACTTGTACATGATCTTATGGTAACATTGGTACCTTCGGTGTCTTTGCTAGATGATTACCCAGCTTGAGTAACTGTGTCAAAAGATCTATGACAATCTTGTCTGTTGATTCATTGCTGTCATAATTCTCTATTCTTGCAGCCTGTATGTCCAAGGTGCGGAAGCTCCACTGACCATAAAGTCGATGAGGGATGTATGGATAGTTAAGGTCGTACAGAAATACATGGTACTTGATTTTATTAATTTTAAAAAGTTGATTTATTAATAAAGTTGCTGATTGTGTTTTGTTTAACTTTTGTAAAAATTCGTAAATTTCTAAGGTAGAAAATAATTATTCCATTTTAATATACGCTATATGTACAAAACATAACCGAATAATTTGAGAACCACATATTTTTTCGATTTTGCAACGAAAAAGAGTCTCCACTGTAGCCTCACAATTTTCAACGTACAGTCTGTCATTAAGCCATTTTGATTCAGTGTGTAAACTATACGATCAGATAAAAATAAATAAACAATAGCAAAATCCACGAACACGAATTTCTTTCGCCATATGTGTGCAAACAAATATGTATGAGACCAAACCATGTTAACATTTCCTCCCAATTCTAAGAAAATAATTGAAATATATCTACTGTGTTATATATGAGGAAGTCTAATCATTTGATGTTATAGTCCAACATCTTTTTCCTGAATGAATACCTTACATACTTCTTTTTTTCTCTTGAAACGACTTTGACCTCAAAGTAATGCTGGTCAAAGTGTAAAAGGATATATCATGCGAGATGATGAGAATTTTGCTGGACTCAAAAGACCCACTGCTGTCGTCGATATTCGATTGTAGGTCCCTCACTGTCTCTGTTATTAGATCTGTGGATGTCTGTAACCAATTTCGTAAAATTTTAAAAATGAAAATCATGTATAGAATGTTTAGAATATTGTCATTTTAAAACTTTTTCAACGTGATGTTTAAATAAACTGCTTTTCTTTCACATACGAATGATGTATGTGATGCAAAAGAATATTAAGGATAAACAACTTGTAGGTAAAAGGTCATGTATTACTGGTCAACATATTTTGACTATGAAAATCGGTGTTTGTTTTACTAAGTATTATATCTATTACCACACTAACCTCAACAATGTGCACTATATGTTTCATGTAGACAAGCAAAAGTCCTGTGACCACTTCTGATGACTGATGAACATTCTGAAGATTTTTGAAAAATCTTTCATAATGATCTGAAAACAGCAAATGAAGAGATATTAATACATCAATTAAAGTGAAAACTTAACCCAATTAGATTGAAATTTGAAGACTATATTTTTGTAAGCAAGAAACAAAATACTAATAAAGTTTTGTGCACTGGCTGTTGATTTTCTTTGTCAAATAGTGATTTTTGTATAACAAAAACAACATGGGTTTTGTAATGGTAAATAATATTACAATAATATTGGTGCTGATTTTTATTTACCAAGATTAGTTTTGAGTGCAGACTCATAATTGAAAACAAATTGCGGTCTGATACGATGGTTATGGTATGTAACTACAATGTCATTCAATAACTTTTTACAAAATATATTTACTTCCAATCTCTGTTCTGTCTTCGATGCCTTGTTTCAGTTTGGCGATATACACAAAACGATGAATCAAATTTTTCTGAAAATGAAAAACAGAAAATGCATTTCAATTGTTCTCAACAAAACAAGCACAAAATGTCAAACACAATACACACACAATGACTAGTTTCTGACGCTATAGTCATTTCCTAAGGGCGACAATTACCAAACCCATGGTGGGAATTTCACATGTAATTTCAAAGTAGTTCCTTTTAGGCCAATCAAATTTGATTCTGTCATCGGCCTTCTTCTTCTTGCCTTTTTTGGTGATATTTCTCTTATCTGGCTTAGGTGAGGATGGTCCTTGTCCATCAGATTGCTCAACCTCTACATCCTCACCTACATCTCCAGCAACACCTTGTTCAGCCATCAGTTAATACCAATGTATATTATTCCAATAAAGAGCTGGAACAGATGTTTGTGTGACTGGATTTGGAAGTTAGAAACACAAAAGGAAATGTTTCCAGTGATCCAAAAATAATGATAACAATATCTTTCACACCTATCAAACAAACAGCGCCAGTATAATTCCTGTAGTAAATATCACATATCGTAATGAAATACTGTACAGTCAAGTGTACCTAGAACATAAGAACACAATCACCACATCGCATAGTTTACTATCGTGCATGCGTATAATGTCCCCACAAGGCGTATTAAAGCAATGTTGATGTCATGGGAACTCTGTATGTAATCAGCATGTTACAAAGACTGTTAGATTGTGTCAATAGAAACCTTGGACCAACTTCCCCTCCCTCCACATACACAGTATACACTGGAAGGCAAATGTTTGATTTAGATATATTCAACAAAAGACTAACTCCAACAATGGAAAAGAACAGTTGCTTTCATACACTTGCTCAACTAAAAGCACGATGATCTATCAATAATTTGTACGGCTTTACAACCTGATTGCTGTTTGGCAGTTTAACTGTGGGAGCTGTTGACACAGACTGAGATATCAATGAATATGCAGTGTTATCAGTGACTGTATTGACCCTCACAACACATAGTAGAATGGTCCATGGTTCACTTCCAATGGAGAAAGCCAGCAACAATGATATAGTGTTCAAACACATCCATATCAGAAATTATATGTACATAGCAACATTGGGCAAAAGAAAATTAGACGGCTTATCAACAAGAAACTGATTTTAGAACTATATACTACCCAGTTTCCTGCAAAGTCTACGGGGTGTAATGATGAAGGGAAGAATATTATGCGCAAAAACATATGGTTGTGATGGAAAAGAGACAATTTCACTTCTGGAACTTGGAGGTGGATAGTGATGAAGGGTTCATTGAAGATGTACAACTAATGTGACCTTATAATGGTAAGACTCTGCATAATGGACCAAATCTTTGTTTCCATTAGAAATAAAACTGAAGTTCATGCACATTTTCAACACTGAGATAAATCACTATTCTCAAATGGACATAAATTTATGTCTTGTTTTAAACCATGCCATGTATACTAATCGTTCAAAAAAACGTTAGCATTAGAAAACTCATGTGAAGTCTGGTATTCAGGATAGTAGATACTAATACAATCCAGCATTCATTCGTTGGAATTATTTTTCAAATACCTAATGTAAATCCTGAAGTTTAAAAAAAAAAGTGAACTGCTATAAACCTAAAGGTTTACCTAGGTTTTCATTTTTTTTTTTTTTTTTTTTGACATTAACAAAACCTAATATTTGAGATTCTATACAAACTTAAGTAAGGACAAAATCATACTTCAGCTTTATCACAGATTTTGTAAGCAACACATTATTTTTAGGTTTGGAATGGAAATGGAATATCGCTATCTGAGCTTTTGGGCAAATCATATATTCGCATATTTGTCACTGTTATTGTCTTCTTGTGAAGCATTTGAAATTTTCAATCAATGATAAAAACAAATACTGTTGATAAAATACATTGTGGTTAATTTTGTTCCTTTCTACTGTATAATAATCTTGGTACTTAGAAATTTATCTGATTTCTCTAATCTTTGGTTATTTTAGCAAGGATCTACTTTACACATCACAACAGGTAAATGATACCCAATTCAAGAAACAGATTTCTTTTCCACATATGGAACCATCTACAGAACGGATGATCATTTAATGACAGCTTAAATAACAAGTACAATGGTTGGACAAAGAAATGTGTAGTATAATTCTAGGCTATGTTAGATTGCGAGATCTGAAAGGATCAAGAAGAATGAAAGTCCACTGTACAAAAACAAAAAAGATTAATGGTACCAGCAAATGTAGATAATGGAATCTTGTAATCAAGATACGATTTTTAACGATGAAAAGACATTAAATTACTATATTGCTTAGAAGAGTGTAATTGTGCTACAGCAATATTTAATTTTTGAGGAACAAGACTTCACTAAACTGCAGACAAACACAAGTCCCACCTTTTTTCTACTTAAACTTGAATAAATTTTATATCATTTAAATTTCAGATTCAATCCAACAAAATAATTTTTTACTCTTTATTTGATTTGTGTCCAAACCAGTGTCAAATTCTATGTCTTATAGATCTTATTTTATAGAAGGCTGTTATTATAGGACTGTATCGTCACATCTTATAGAAGGCTGTTATTATAGGACTGTATCGTCACATCTTATAGAAGGCTGTTATTATAGGGCTGTATCGTCACATCTTATAGAAGGTTGTCATTATAGGACTTTATTGTCACATCTTATAGAAGGTTGTCATTATAGGACTGTGTCGTCACATCTTATAGAAGGTTGTCATTATAGGACTGTGTCGTCACATTTTATAGAAGGTTGTCATTATAGGACTGTATCGTCACATCTTATAGAAGGCTGTTATTATAGGACTGTATTGCACATCTTATAGAAGGTTGTTATCATAGGACTGTTTCGTCATATCTTATGGAAGTAGTAAGTAGTAAGTGGTTATTATGAGACTGCAACATCACATCTGATAGTGAGTGGTTGTTATGAGACTGTAACATCACATCTGGTAGTAAGTGGTTATTATGAGACTGTAACATCACATTTGGTAGTAAGTGGTTATTATGAGACTGTAACATCACATTTGGTAGTAAGTGGTTATTATGAGACTGTTACATCACATCTAATAGTAAGTGGTTATTATGAGACTGTAACATCACATCTGATAGTAAGTGGTTATTATGAGACTGTAACATCACATCTGATAGTGAGTGGTTATGATGGATCTTTAACATCACATCTGGTAGTAAGTGGTTATTATGAGACTGTAACATCACATCTGATAGTAAGTGGTTATTATGAGACTGTAACATCACATCTGATAGTAAGTGGTTATTATGAGACTGTAACATCACATCTGGTAGTAAGTGGTTATTATGAGAGTAATGTTTCATCTGATAAGACTGTTACATCACATCTGATAGTAAGTGGTTATTATGAGACTGTAACATCACATCTGGTAGTAAGTGGTTATTATGAGACTGTAACATCACATCTGATAGTAAGTGGTTATTATGAGACTGTAACATCACATCTGGTAGTAAGTGGTTATTATGAGACTGTAACATCACATCTGATAGTAAGTGGTTATTATGAGACTGTAACATCACATCTGATAGTAAGTGGTTATTATGAGACTGTAACATCACATCTGGTAGTAAGTGGTTATTATGAGACTGTAACATCACATCTGGTAGTAAGTGGTTATTATGAGACTGTAACATCACATTTGGTAGTAAGTGGTTATTATGAGACTGTAACATCACATCTAATAGTAAGTGGTTATTATGAGACTGTTACATCACATCTAATAGTAAGTGGTTATTATGAGACTGTAACATCACATCTAATAGTAAGTGGTTATTATGAGACTGTAACATCACATCTAATAGTAAGTGGTTATTATGAGACTGTAACATCACATCTAATAGTAAGTGGTTATTATGAGACTGTAACATCACATCTAATAGTAAGTGGTTATTATGAGACTGTTACATCACATCTAATAGTAAGTGGTTATTATGAGACTGTAACATCACATCTGGTAGTAAGTGGTTATTATGAGACTGTAACATCACATCTGATAGTGAGTGGTTATGATGGATCTTTAACATCATATCTGATAGTACGTAGTTATGATGGATCTGTAACATTATATCTTATAGTAAGGGATTATTATAGAACTGTAGCTTTATATTTTATACACTAGTACATGTAATATGGTCACTGTAATGTTTCATCAAATATTTCACAAAGTAGATGATCATCCATGGTAATGTGACATCATAGTACATTTTACACATTGGATGATCATTTTTGCACAGTAACATAATCATTAAAATACAGGAGGCTGTCATGCAAGTGTAGCGGGGGAAATTATATCTTGTGTAATTTTATATGATATAAAGCTGTCAATACTTCAATTTTAGTCAGCTTGTTACAGGTGTCCCTGTGTCAGGTCTACTGTAGTGTTTGTACCCTGTGTACCGGTGACCTCTCCATTGTTTTGTCCTGTCACCTGGTACCTGTTTTGTCGGAGGTCTATGTATATCACGTGCAAGTTCTCCTGTCTTGTTTTCCTTGCATTTTCATCCGTGTCAGGGGTGTTCTGTCTCTGGTGATGTGTTGTGATTGGTTCAAACTGTCTCGCATTGTCATTTTAGGGTATAAGATGCAGTATGTATAATAATTTGTGTGCAGAGCATTGGATTAACTTCCACAAGGTGAAAAACTTCTCTGAGGTAGGTCGGGGATGGTAGCGTAATTCGTTGTTTTATCGGGTGGGAAGCTATAGCTGGGTGGAATGTAATTTTGTATAGAGATAGATAAGTTTATGTGTTCGGTGTAAGATGGGGGTCTCTGTGTTGGTATAGGCCTATGCCGTTGTTGATAATTCCCGTTAATTAATGTTTGCTGTTAAATAAGTTGTTACATTTAAATTAGCAGTGTTTGTCCTCCTTCGAAAACAAAATACAAGCTGTACCCATCGAACCTGGGTTGACGGTGATACAGGGCAAGACGGGACCGGGTAACTGTTAACCCCCACTCTCCCTCCTGTTTCACATGCATAAACATTAGAAAACAAAACAGCAGCATTCAGTGTAATTAAGTGATAAAGTAGCTAATCTTTCTTTACTCTCAACACCATGCAAGCAAATTATATAAATATGGTTATATGTATAAGATGCGGATTAAAATAGAATAAAATAGCCTAGCTAAACTTAAGTTGTGTAACCACAAAAAACATCAAAATATGATCATAAGACATAAACACATTGCCTGTACATTCTAATGGCAGCTTTACTGGTGGAAAAACTGTTTTCACTTATCATTATTAAAGACAAAGAAAATCGAAATGTGTAAAATGTAATGTACTATCAACATCTTTATGATATACATATATATTCAGCTGCTTTCCATTCGAATGCATGAAACATTATTAATATGTAAAGCAATGAGAGCTATCAGATTGTCTACAAAAAGGTATATAAATGAATAAGCATACAGTGATAGCTATCAGATTATTTACAAAAGGTTTGTAAATGAATTAGCAAACAGTGATAGCTATTACATTACCAACAAAATGCTGTAACTGAATTAGCATACAATAAACAATCATTTGCTGGTAATTACATTTCAAAAGAAAATGCCATTGCCAACTGAGATTGGTTAACCAACATAACAGAAAATCATTATAATAGTGAACACTCATAATCAGATGATGTGAACAGCTCATATTGAAATTATTTCTAACAGATGGCTGCTATAAATGTTCATGTAGATATGATTTGTAGTGTTATCTAATACAATGTATAGTTATAAATATACTGAACAAAATAAGTTAAGGATCATAAACTTGAAACAGTGCAGTTTTACATACAAGTAATAATATGATTATATTTTAAATTTTAATGACAGAACATTCATTTTAGTCTTTAATTACACAAAACAAATTCATTTGTGGTAATTGCTACCAAGAGCAGATAACCCTGAGTAACAGCACCCTTGAAATCAAAGTGTAAGAGGAAGTAGAGCAAGTTAATCATGTAGACAAGGAAAACTCATCAAACTGCAATTGGCAGTTTAATAGGCAGTATGACCTCCGTTGACATCAATAACTGCCCTGCAACGTCTGCACATGCTCCTTATTAGTCGTCGGTGGCTGATCTGTGGGATGCGCTGCCATTCCTCTTGCAGAGCAATCATAAGCTGTTGGCGGTTCTGTGGCGGATTAGGTCGAGCTGAAACCCGGCGTTGCAAGGTGTCCCAAGCATGCTCGATAGGGTTCAGATCAGGAGAACGACTTGGCCAGTCCATGCGAACGATTGCTTCACGTTGAAGATAGTCGTTGACCACACGAGCACGGTGAGGACGAGCATTATCATCCATCAGAATAAAATCATGGCCAACAACTCCTGCAATGGGCCTTACTATAGGGTGTAGAATCTCGTCCCTGTATCGAACAGCTGTTAAAGATCCATTGTCTATGATGTAGAGGTCTGTATGGAAGTCAACACTGATCCCTGCCCAAACCATCACTGACCCACCACCAAAGCGATCATGCTGGACAACACAGCAGTCTGCATAGCGCTCTCCTTGGGTTCTCCATACCCTCCTCCTACCGTCATGGAAGTCAACACAAAACCTAGACTCATCTGTGAACATAACATTTCTCCAATGACGTAATTGCCAATTCAAATGATGAGTGGCCCATTGATGTCTGGATTGTCGATGACCTCTGGATAAAATTGGTCGGACTGCTGGTCTTCTAGCTCGTAAATTAGAGGCATGGAGTCTGTTTCTGATTGTCTGAGATGAAATCCTTAGATTTGTAGCACGCTGAAACTGAAGATTCAAGACAGGAGCACTCAAAAACCGCTGACGTCGTGCCGTGATGCAAATGAATCTGTCCTGTCGGGCTGTCGTACAGCGTGGTCGTCCAGATCTGGGGCGTTGACGGACGTTATTTGTCTGTTGATAGCGATTCCATAGCCTACTAATCACGCTCTGAGAAACATGAAGCTGTGCCGCCACATTTCGTTGAGTTTGACCAGCTTGAAGGAGCCCTATAGCTCGCGCGGCTTCCATATCATTTAAATGTCTTCGCATGATTAGTTTTTCAAGTTTTCGTTACAAATTGATTAAATGTTTCCAAATTCAACTTTTTTTAGCTTAGAAGTAACAGAATCAAAACCTGCAAGATTCCTCTGTAGTAATAGACCAGTCAGTTTTTCACACCACCATAGTTAACTAGAGCGGAACGGCAAGACCTTCAGATGCACGTGCTTTCACCTTTGACATGACTTTAGGTACATATTGGAGAAACTACGAGTGCAATTACCGGCAATACATGATTTGAATTTTTAAAGATATTATGGTCACAATTTATGATCCTTAACTAATTTGTCCAGTATATATACATTTTCCTCTGACATATAACATTGATATTGTATTAATGCAACATTAATATTAATATTAATATAAATATAATAAAAATATTAATGTAACAGTATAGAGACAGAGAACTTATTATATAAATGACACAACCCTTCAACTCTTTATAATATTGCATCCATAGCATAGCATAAAACAAATACAAAACAAAAATCAATGGATTGACACTTAAGACAATTTTAAAATGATATTATGCTATATTTTTCTTTTCTTTTCACTTTTCCGACAGGTAGAGGAATAGTGACTTCATCAAGTACAGGATACATTGTATTAACCATTCTGTCGCGTTTCTTCACTAAATAATAACTTGGGGCTTGAATGGAAAAAAAAACAAACAAAAAACAAAAACAAAACAAAAAACTTGTATATAATCAGATGATGTGAATTGGTGTTTTATTGAAATCTAACAGATGGCTGCTATAAATGTTCATGTAGATAAGTGTTAAAATACAATGTATAGTTATAAATATATAATTTTCCTCTGACAATAACATTGTATTAATGCAACATTAATATTAATATTAATATAAATATAATAAAAATATTAATGTATATAGAGACAGAGAACTTATTATATAAATGCTTTATAATATTGCTATTAGCATAAAACAAATACAAAACAAAAATCATGGTTTTAAACAATTTTAAAATGATATTATGCTATATTTTTCTTTTCTTTTCACTTTTCCGACAGGTAGAGGAATAGTGACTTCATCAAGTACAGGATACATTGTATTAACCATTCTGTCGCGTTTCTTCACTAAATAATAACTTGGGGCTTGAATGGAAAAAAAACAAACAAAAAACAAAAACAAAACAAAAAACTTCTATAATTGTTGCTTTTCGTATTGGTGTTTTAGTATTCAGAAGTTAACATGAGTATATGGCTACTATTGTTCAGTTTTAACTGTTCCTCTTTCTCGTGCATCACACTGTACAGCCGTCACAGACATGAGTCCGTGGTATCATAATTGATTATTATTGATAATTTTCAATAATGTGGCTTCATACACTCGCTTTCCGTGAGAAATGCTATACAGAGACAATTTACCTTATTCAGTGCTCTATTTTTATCCTCAATGACTTCTAATAAAGAGGTTCTATGAGGTTCAATGACGGAATCTTCTCTTTCATGCTCCATGGCAGACGCCATATTGTGAGTTTTGTTGCTATAGGAACAGCTCCATTTTTTCCGCGTTGGTTGATTAGAAATTAGTCGACATTGACGAAATATGTTTTATTAATTGTCCTATCAATTTAATATTCAGTTTTGACAATTTAAAGAACATTAAGATATAAAATTAGGTTATTATTTGTAAATATTTATTGTAAAATAGAAGCCAATTAACGGATTTCGGAATACGAAAATTGACAAATAAGATTTGAAAGGCAATGCTTATATTGAAAAGGTATCAAATATTCGATTTATTTTTGTCGCTCTTTATTGTGGTTGTTGTTTATAAACATATGAAGAGGCAGGTAGTAAACGCAATATGGAAATAACAATCCATCCGGAAACGTTGAAGTTCAAGTCAGTAGTTTAGTTTGAAGTATCTCTTCGGAATAACTTCCGTTTCATTTTCCTTACAGGCAACATAATCTTCCCGTCAAGCTGTATACGAAATAGCAGTGCAAAAGACGGTTTGTATCAGTCACAGACACTATGTTTAACAGTTTTTGAAATCAATGTCAATGACATCCATAGCTATCCAAACAGACCAGTTTGATAATCAAAGGAGCTAAAGTAATTAATATGGTTAGCTGTTTAATTTATTGTCACAGATCCTGTCAGATGATCACAATATCCGATAACATGTGACGTATGGTATGCGTTCGCCGACTACACAACAAAACCCTTGTCGGTTGTTCAATATTCAAGAGGTCTATATTTAATTCGTAGGTTGTACATAGCATGGAAAACAATCTATAGAAGAATTTATACTACAGTAAAGACAAAATTGTACAAATGATACAGTTACACTTGCCATGTTTTTATTGTTGGAGGTAAAAAAGTAGATAACAGTGTATATACATTTAATGTCTGTGTATGTCAAAATTTTTTTATATTAACATCAGTTGGGGACATCAATGTAAAGTTACATACATAGTGTATGTCTAGGAATTAAACACACAGCTTGTTTGTTATTCTACATTCAAAAGTAATAGTAAGGCATCTTTTTATTGGATAATTTTCATGATCGAATCCCTGATATTCTCCTTAGTTCAGATGCAAGCCCAAAGATGGCAACCATCTTTGTGGCTGAGGTAGATGATCAACATTGACATATTGTAGAAATTTATTTTAATACTAGGCTAAAATGTGTCATTGCAGTGTAAAGTGGAGAGTACGATGATGATAAAATTTGTCTTGTTGTGAATTGCCAGCTTTTGAAAAGCTTCATTAGCCTGACTAGTATTGTTATTTCATGATCAACATATGATTTATGATGGTTGTGAACTGACTGAAGACACGCTTTGCAAAAATCTATGAGGAACTAACTATGAATCAAGTGGCTCTGGTCTATAATTTGATATTGATCATGTGCATTCTGAGATTCTTAGGCCCTTGAATGTTACTTTAATTCACTGTTATATACTTGAATATTTTATACCTAATGCAATTGTAATAATCTATTGTTTTTGGTTTTCAGGGATGAGTTGATCCTGACACTGATGAATGACGAAATGAAAGCAGAATTCTCAAACTTGGTGAAGTTTGTGAAGTCATCCAGTAATAGCCTAGACTTGAAGTCATCTGAGGAACAGATCACCAAGTCTAAAAGTGAACAGTTTTTGTCTGGCAATGATGCAGTACAGATTTATAAGGATATTATATCAAGTCATTCAAGTAAATCAAAAGGCATTCAGAACAGCAGCATTGGTAAGGATCACACACCAGTAGAACAGGTACAATTAAAGCATCAGAATAGAGGACATCAATTTTCCAAACATCCTGGTAGGCCATCTACCCAATGCTGTTTAAATGTACAAACATTACTGACATGTTCCCAGAATGGAGACCTAGCAAAAGTCAAGGAATGTTTGACCAATGATGTAGACATTGATAGTCAGGATCAATTTGGATGGACAGCTCTCATGTGTGCAGCATGTAGTGGACAGAGTTTAGTAGTAAAACATCTTCTGGCCAATGGTGCTAATAAACACCTTACTGCAACAGGCGAAAAAACAGCCGCTTCGATTGCCTCTGATGCAGGTCACTGTGATGTAATGAGATTTATATCAGAATTTGATCCAAATAAACCTGAAGTGATTGAAGAAAGAACACAGTCATCTCCCAGGGGTATACAGGTGGCACAGCCATTTTACTGTGATGTTTGTAAACAGGACATAAAAGAGACTTCACAAATAAATCATCAAGCATCAACTGTACATTTGTTTAACATGAAAATGAAGGCAAGCCCACATAGTTTTTTAGAACATTCTAAAAACAAAGGGTATCAAATTATGAGACGAACTGGGTGGGATGGTGAGAAAGGTTTGGGGTCAGAAGGTCAAGGGCTGAAATTCCCAATAAAGACAGTGTTAAGAAAAGACAGAGCTTGCTTAGGATCTGACACATCTAAAGAAAAAGCAAAGATTACACATTTTGGTCCTAGAGACATCAGTGCTGTGAAGAGGAATGTCAGTGTTAGTGAAAGAAAAATGTCTGCTAGAACTTTAAGCAAAAGAGCACGGAAAGCAAAGGAGAGGAAGGAAAAACAATGGGAAAAGAACTTAAGACAACAGTTTAATTTGAATTAATAATTGTTTTTGAAATTGAAATAATTGTCAGGAGTGTTTTTGAATCAAAACATAAATCGTATTTTATTGATTTTTTAAATATCTTATGTTTATTTATTCAATCATAAATTAAACAGAACACCCAAAAGTTTATATATATATTTTTTTTAATGTATACATGTACATGTATTAAGTGTTGTTGTATATGATACAAAAATATTACACAAAGTCCTTGCTATCTATAATTGGTTTTTGTTTTTAATCTACTTTTTTAATGTGAATTAAATGTATAAAATCTGTGATTTCCTACGCACTGAATATATATACATTTGCATTTTGCAGGTGTGGAATAAATGACAAAAGCATTGTGCTACATATAGAAATTTTTATTTACCTTATTTTATTTTCAACATCGCATACTTGTTTTCTGTACCCCTTGAATATTCCATGGCAAAATTGAAGGTTCAATGAATTGTATTTTTGCTTCATGTTAAATTTGCCTTGCTCCAGTTGTTCATATCCCCAGGTTGATCATCTTTCAGTTTTGGCTTGTCTAAGGGGAGGCAACCTCATTTTTTTACAATACCATACAATATTCTAATAATTCTGTTCACATTAAATTGATGAAATTTGAAAGAATGATCAGAGGCAGTTTGAAAGACTTGCTCACTTCAGATTTTTCTGATTTAAAATACACTTTTAGTATTAGTTTCCAGAGTTATCAGAAGCAGAGTCATATGTAATTATCCCCAATGAAACATATCGCAAGAAAGATTAATGTAGGCTTCATCATCGGTCCTTTCTTGGCTTAAACTTGAAAATTTTTTAACATATCTGGCTCAACTTTTATATACATATAAGGCTATAGTGCCTTAGGCTTGCCTTTTATAATAGACATGATACCCCTTTCGGTATAATCTTTGTTAGCATGGAAATAAATAGAGAAATCCAAAATTGACAGTTTGCAAGCTTTTCTCAGCCTGCAACCTGTAAAACTATTGTGTAGATTTCTACACATGTTAAAGACACAGAGAAAGTGCATCAAAAGATTTACTAACTATATGGTTGATATGTATATAGGTCTGTTTGGAGGGTCATACCAACAACATGTGATAATGTCTTACTTTTCAGCTCCTTGTTATAACTGTCTGTTTTTTGACAACATAATTCAAAAATAGATTACTATTTGAATTGAGTGTTGGTCATATCTTCACTTTTTGGTGGTGATGATTAAGAGGTGCTTGCAATCTGTGAAATTGTGATAAGAAATATTAAGGATAAATATTGTTACTCTTTTGACTTTTGTAACTATATATATCCATTTCTTAACTGCAAATACTCTTCCATACTCCTAAACATTTTCTCTATAATAATTATACCTATGGGATATAAATACATCTATCAACTGTAAACATCTTACTACTGACCAGGTGTTTGTTACTACCTGTAGACATCTTACTATTGGTCAGGTGTGTGTTACTACCTGTAGACCTCTTACTATTGGTCAGGTGTGTGTTACTACCTGTAGACCTCTTACTATTGGTCAGGTGAGTGATATAACCTGTAGACCTCTTACTATTGGTCAGGTGTGTTATTACCTGTAGAACTCTTACTATTGGTCAGGTGTGTGTTATCACCTGTAAACCTCTTACTATTGGTCAGGTGTATGTTACTACCTGTAGACCTCTTACTATTGGTCAGGTGTGTGTTACTACCTGTAGACCTCTTACTATTGGTCAGGTGAGTGATATAACCTGTAGACCTCTTACTATTGGTCAGGTGTGTGTTATCACCTGTAAACCTCTTACTATTGGTCAGGTGTGTGTTACTACCTGTAGACCTCTTACTATTGGTCAGGTGTGTGTTGTTACCTGTAGACCTCTTACTATTGGTCAGGTGTGTGTTATTACCTGTAAACCTCTTACGATTGGTCAGGTGTGTGTTACTACCTGTAGACATCTTACTATTGGTCAGGTGTGTGTTACTACCTGTAGACCTCTTACTATTGGTCAGGTGTGTGCTACTACCTGTAGACCTCTTACTATTGGTCAGGTGTGTGTTATTACCTGTAGACATCTTACTATTGGTCAGGTGTGTGTTATTACCTGTAGACATCTTACTATTGGTCAGGTGTGTGTTACTACCTGTAGACATCTTACTATTGGTCAGGTGTGTGTTATTACCTGTAGACATCTTACTATTGGTCAGGTGTGTGTTACTACCTGTAGACATCTTACTATTGGTCAGGTGTGTGTTATTACCTGTAGACCTCTTACTATTGGTAAGGTGTGTGTTATTATCTGTAAACCTCTTACGATTGGTCAGGTGTGTGTTACTACCTGTAGACCTCTTACTATTGGTCAGGTGTGTGTTATTACCTGTAGACCTCTTACTATTGGTAAGGTGTGTGTTATTACCTGTAGACCTCTTACTATTGGTCAGGTGAGTGTTACTACCTGCAGACCTATTGGTCAAGTGAGTGTTATGAAGCTGAAAATCTAACTGGTCATTTGACAAGGCACTTAACCCCTATTGCTATGAATTGTACATGTATGCAACGAGCGCCCCAGTATATTGTTCACTGAGGTAGCCACCAGCTGCTAGTTATGATACCCTGATTTAAAAATTACTCTGGCTTTTTCTTGGATGATAAAACAACAAACAAAATCAAGGAATGTCTTGTTTGTTCACTTGCTTTACGGCTTGAAGACCAGAAGAGTTTATGCCATCAAATACTATTTCGTTACTGCTAATCCTCCTAAATGGATAGTGATACAAAGAGAACCCCATTGGTGAGTAAGGAATACTTCATATTTGGTCCTTAATGAAATTAGGACCCTTTGATTTTCAAGATGGCTGCCATGGCATCTATCTGGAAAATCTCGTTATCGCTGCACCCTCTGTATGGAAAGTCTTGTAAATAGATATGACTTCTAGGGAGAAGAAATTTTATTGTCTACAGAAGGTCCCGACTGAAATTCTGACCCATGCCGCATGCAGTTAATTGATCTTCCTAAATCCTGTTCTCAAAACACATACTTTTCCAGAATAAAAAGCTATAGATGGAAAGCAGCTGTTTATACTTTTAGACAGCAGTATCCCTGAACAATTGCCAAACTGAATCCGCCAGAATAATGGAATACTGAAAAAAATGCCCTCGATTTGACAAGTGATTTATTCTTTGTACAATACTTAATAATAGCACCTTTCAAATATCAAAATCAATGTGGAAAGGAAAAGCCATTTCCATTTTCATGTTAGCCATATAAATGAAGCATTTCCATGATTCACAGTTACTCTCTACATGTATACATGCAAATCACAGGTTCATGGACTTTGATGCTGACTACACAGGGATCTACGTGTTTATTTCAAGATATTGCATTTTGGTAAAACCTGCAGGAAAGAGCTCAAGACACAAAATGTCATCAGTTTATAACAATACCAAAAGTTGGACACCAGTCAGGAACTCTAGAATTTGAAAACAATTGCAATGGAACGACGCTTATCTTGGATTTTGACAGAAAATAGTTATTATCGGTCTAAATCGAGAAATAACAGGACAGATGTTTCTCAGCTTATTTGTATCCGACCCCTTTTTGCGATATTGTTCTTGAATCCTAGAATTACAGAAAGTTGGCTATCTTTGATTCAGGCAGCTACAGTTAAATTTGTTATCGCTAAATTTACTTAGAAATACCGAGCAAATCTTTCCTAGGTTTCATGGACATGTTCTCCAGGATAGGACGTATTTCCAAAGGTGATGATTACGCAGGATTCTTTTTGATTGAAAGCAAAAGAATATCTTGGCAGCTTAATTTATCAATTTTCCATAATGACGAATGGATCTTTCACAAACTAAAGGGTAGCAACGGCTGACAGACAACTTTTTATGAGTTTGACAGTTAAATCTATTTTAATGTACTGAATCGATCTTGCTTTAATTCTATGTAAATGTTGCAATACAGAAGATAGTTACAGTGTAAGGTTAAATACTAGCAATACAGAAGATAGTTACAGTGTAAGAGTAAATACTAGCAATACAGAAGATAGTTACAGTGTAAGAGTAAATACTAGCTATGCAGAAGATAGTTACAGTGTAAGAGAAGATAGTTACCGTGCAAGGTTAAATACTAGCTATACAGAAGATAGTTACAGTGTAAGGTTAAATACTAGCAATACAGAAGATAGTTACAGTGTAAGGTTAAATACTAGCTATGCAGAAGATAGTTACAGTGTAAGGTTAAATACTAGCTATACAGAAGATAGTTACAGTGTAAGGTTAAATACTAGCAATACAGAAGATAGTTACAGTGTAAGGTTAAATACTAGCTATACAGAAGATAGTTACAGTGTAAGGTTAAATACTAGCAATACAGAAGATAGTTACAGTGTAAGAGTAAATACTAGCAATACAGAAGATAGTTACAGTGTAAGAGTAAATACTAGCTATACAGAAGATAGTTACATTGTAAGGTTAAATACTAGCAATACAGAAGATAGTTACAGTGTAAAAGTAAATACTAGCAATACAGAAGATAGTTACATTGTAAGAGTAAATACTAGCTATACAGAAGATAGTTACAGTGTAAGGTTAAATACTAGCAATACAGAAGATAGTTACAGTGTAAAAGTAAATACTAGCAATACAGAAGATAGTTACATTGTAAGAGTAAATACTAGCTATACAGAAGATAGTTACATTGTAAAAGTAAATACTAGCAATACAGAAGATAGTTACATTGTAAGAATAAATACTAGCAATACAGAAGATAGTTACAGTGTAAAAGTAAATACTAGCTATACAGAAGATAGTTACAGTGTAAAAGTAAATACTAGCAATACAGAAGATAGTTACATTGTAAAAGTAAATACTAGCAATACAGAAGATAGTTACAGTGTAAGAGTAAATACTAGCTATACAGAAGATAGTTACAGTGTAAGGTTAAATACTAGCTATACAGAAGATAGTTACCGTGTAAGGTTAAATACTAGCTATACAGAAGATAGTTACCGTGTAAGGTTAAATACTAGCTATACAGAAGACAGTTACCGTGTAAGGTTAAATACTAGCTATACAGAAGACAGTTACCGTGTAAGGTTAAATACTAGCTATACAGAAGATAGTTACCGTGTAAGGTTAAATACTAGCTATACAGAAGATAGTTACCGTGTAAGGTTAAATACTAGCTATACAGAAGATAGTTACAGTGTAAGAGTAAATACTAGCAATACAGAAGAAAGTTACATTGTAAAAGTAAATGCTAGCTATACAGAAGATAGTTACAGTGTAAAAGTAAATACTAGCTATACAGAAGATAGTTACAGTGTAAGAGTAAATACTAGCAATACAGAAGATAGTTACAGTGTAAGGTTAAATACTAGCAATACAGACAATAGTTGCAGTGTAAAAGTAACAACTATGGAATAGTGAACAGACCAAACTACATATATATGTGGAACCAATGAACATCATAAGACATTGGTAATTCATTTAAATTCAGTAAACAGAGGGGATATTTGTGTCTATGTATTCTTTGCGTATCTATCTTGAAACCATGAAAAATGCAATTTCGCCAGAATTTATTTAAACATAGCCTCCTTTTCTTTTTTAGCACGTGTTTAAGAAACTTCAATAGTTTATGTATGCAAAAATGTGTGGATTTACATAGGCGACATACTTATAACAAACAGATTTGCCTCCCTTGTTCATCAAATATTGAATTCCAAGAGTAATAACAACCTGCATAACCTGCTTTACTGCTGTGTTGTTATCACCTTACAGTAAATAATGTTACAGAAATTCTTATTTCAGAGTTCAAATTTACACTTGGATACGTCAAACAAGTACTCTGGAAATGGTTTCTTGTGCCATATTTATTACCTCCTATAATTCAAAACAAACTAACTATATGTGTAGAGAAAATCCATCCAAATGACAATGGACAATCCATCACATACAAATCTAACGATAAAAACATGAGGACAAACAGCATTTATTTTTCATAAAACCATTTCGTTTAAAGAGTCTAATCAGCTGTCAAAGCATTAAAACGACTTTAAATAGAAATTTAAATACCATTTCACAATAGGTCAAGATGTTTCTCGGTGTGTCACTCAATAGTAATAGTTGTCTTATGAAACAGATACGCTACTCTTTAATAGACATGTACCATGTTCAAAAATTCATTTTGTCTCCAGGAAATGGCTATGAGATACACTAGCATTACACGTAGTTTGAAAGTCAATGTTATCTCTTGTTAGTAGCTGTAACCTAACTTTACCAGTTGATTGGTTATTCCTAGACAACCCTGTGGTTGCAACATATATATGATACATCCACATTCTATACCATATACATGTGTATGTACTCTTTGTTATTAAAGAGGCGGATGCATATGATACTTAATAGTTTTAAAGATTTTCATTTATCATCAACTGTCAAGCAAATTCATTTTGAAAAGAATGATACAAAACCCAATTATCTTTATCAAAGCTATATATTCAAGTACAACTTCGTCATGACATATATACATGCACAATGCATATACAGCTCAAATCACTTGCTTTCCGTTTAGTCCGGATGAAAATAGCTATATTTCTAAAACTAGCAACAATTCTTTGTGATTCACAGACTCAATATTCATTAATAAGCACACTTTGTAATAAGAATATAGAAATGTAATAAAAAGTTTATTAATTTTAGTTGATGTTTATGATCAATTCGGTTATTGACTTATAATCTGCACAAAGGTAAATAACACATAATTATTTCACACAAAGTCTGCAGTCTTTTCATCTACACTAAGATTACAATTACAGAAATGGCTTTGATTTGTCATGTATACATAGTATATGTGATGTATGACAAAGTGATATCAATATCCACTGTTGATCAGGTTGACAATAGTTGAATTCATAGGTGCATAATTTCTTGCGTTCCCAGATGACAATTTTCCAGATTCGTAGATCTGCCATTTTCCGTCATTATCTCGCGACAATGAACACATAATGACCGCCTGAGAAGAACTTGCGTGTGTAAAGGTTGTTTTACACAGATCAACTGTAGGGTTATCAGCCTGGTAAAACTTTAAACTCGGATTCGGATATCTGGAAATGTTCGGAGAACACCAAGCACTTAGTGTGAAGTACATTTTTGTAACATTACTAGGTATTTTTTTCAGATGGACATTGATGGTGTGATGGCCGATCCTTTTCACAGCATCCATGACATCACCAGAGTGCCATAATCCTGTCAAAGGGAAATGTTGATGTTCAGATTGATATCCACGAAAATCGCATATTGCCATATTTGTTGTTCCATTATACACCAAGCAGGATGCGTCTAGGTAATCACGACCGGATATAGGATATCCCCAGTGTAGATCGAAGACCACGTGATCAAAAGCCTCTGGGATAGAATAGAGCAGCACCATCAGGTAGACAGTGGTGTTGGGTGGTACATTGAAGTCTGACAGGGTCGCTAATTTTCCATTGCTTAATCTGTTCTGGAAATAAGAATCAGATATATATATTCTCGACGGAGGGATCGTAATGATGAACCTATGATTCATTTGTGCTTCTATATTGAACTGAGACTTACAAAGGGCGATCTTTATCAAAGTTACAATAATGGATTTATTGTGGAATGTAAATTAAACATAAAAATAATAATATGCTTATATCTGCTTCAGATATAACCTGAAAACATGGTTTATAATACACGTAACGATAAATGAAAATTGAAAACAAATGATCCATTTGCAATACAATTTGTATTGAGTAATATCAGATAGACATGAAAAATTAAAGATTTATAACATCAGAAAAGCAAATTCTTCAACTTGAAAAAAGGTGTTTAGACATTTAAGAAACTCTTCGCTCATTAATTAAGAAAATACTCAAAAATGCAGGAAAATAACTAGACTGTATGTCCATATTCATGGAACAAAATATTCAAGTAATACACGAAAAACACGGCGACTGGAAAATGTACAAGAAGAGTAAGTAATGTAACATTCTTCTCAAATGAGGACAAGGTAAACAGCTACGGAACCATCAGGCTAACTAACAAGTATCAAACATGCCTGACTTTATCACACATAAGGAAATATACTATTTCCCAGTGATATCACTATGGCGACCATAAAACTATTTGATCTGAACATCTGTCTATATTTGTATAAGGTACTTGCCATACTAGTTAGATTTTTCTCAGAATCAAAGTCGTGCTGGAAAGCTAAGTAACTGATCATAATATACACCAATACAAGGAATGGCTCGAACGAGACCTTAGCTTTGACAAACACTTTAAAGTATTGATCAACAGCTAATACATACTGTTAATTCATTGTTGTTGTGATTAAGTTTTTGCTTGTCGACATCGTGATTCAGTCGGTGTTTTATTTCGTCTTTTAGCTTTAAAACTGTCATGGTGGAGTAGTAGGGAATGGAAATGGATTCACCCGTGAGGACAGTCACGTGAACGAGGTCCCATCCCTGTTTTGCCACCGATGGCGTGTATGTACTCTCATACACGGTGAACATAGCACCCAATGAAGCCTCCATCATTTTCACACTGTGACTGTCTGGGTTCACAGATTCTTCACAACCAGGATAGGGACACATCTTCTCCTTTTTAACACACTGGATCACGCACTGAAACAAAAATGGAATTTTGGATTACACGCCAACACATATCTGCTGGATATGGGTGCCATTTACGAAACTCTTCACTGCCCCCTAACAAACTGAGTATTAAATACAGCACAACGCCTCAGTACACGACAAAGGAATTTAAAGGAATGCACTTTTTTGGGCAGGATAAACATAAATGAATGGCCTGCACTCCTGGCCAGTGACATCATATCGTAGGCTGAAATGAATACTGATGCTATACATAAAAAAACAGACACAGAGTTTTACAGAACATGTGACATTTCTGTTGTCTCTGAGAATTGTTCTCAAGTAAGTCAGTTAATCTGAAAATAGTAAATAAATGTGAAGGAGGAAACACGACCAGTAAGTCCAGTTGTTTAAAAAATGCTGCTTTGAAAGCATTATTTTAAGGTGGTTGATCGCTTCATTATTCCCGAGATAACTCTGAACTATGGATCGCATTTTAGAAGGCGGCACACAGTACATATTAATCGCGTGTTTGAAATTCAGAAAGATTGGTCCCCAATGCACACCTATTTGCTGACATTACAACAATTGGTCAAGCATTTGAATTTTGCTTAAATTCTTCTAAAATCTGAATCATTTACAAAAATTGTTTAGATGTTTGTAATCCATAAATAAAAAAACCATTTAAGTAAAGGCCTGATAATAATACAGCTTATTCACGGTAACACCATCCCACTAATGTAATATTGCACAGGCGTTTTTGAAAAAAGTGGTACATATTGATAACATATTCACAAGACCTAACCCCCATTCACCTTTGCTTACTTCCTTTGTTGAAAACAAAATATCTTGAAGGAAAACGGATGTGTCCAGAAATAATCCAGTGTCTCGCCAGTGTTATAAAGGGAGACTACCTCGTTGCGTTAATGTCAAGGTCTGCCAAGGGGATACTTTGCAAGGCTTAATGGGAAAAACCAACAAATCGATTTGAGATTTTAATGACAGGATTTATTAAAAAAAAAAACAACTTCAGTTAACACCTCCTTGACATCGTTCCACGACATGTACATTTGAAGTCTTACAGAAATCAATACGATAATTTAGGCAGATCAAGTTTTATAAATGGAGAAGGAAGTTTGAATGACTTATTTCGTTTATCATTGTCTTCAATACGAAAATGTTCTGTTTTTAAAAATGAAATGTCTTTAATCAACTATTTCATGTTGACACAATTAATATCTTTACTTAGCATTTGAAGTTTTAGTCGGTTTACATTGAGCAGTGAACGTAGACTGGTTCTCCTGAAGAAGACCGGTTTGCTTAAAAACATTAACTGCTACCCCATCTTACTACATGTAATTTCAATCATTCACAACAAGAGAGTCTATCCCAATTTATTCACCCTCGCCAAAATACAGCTTATAGTTTAAGACACTGACCATGTATTTTCCATGTACGTCCTCGGTTAATCAATGTGATACACTTGGCTTTGGTCTCTTAAATCAGCAGTCTCACCAACTATCATTGTGATTCCTTCATGTGCTCTGTGCATTAGAAAAGCATCTAAGATAAAATCTTACCTCCATGCATATCAAAGATGGATGGTCACAGTTGTCTGTAACATCATAGGATGGAAACTCTCTTGACAATTTATCATTGGAACAATGCCGGCACAACATGATCAGATGTCATATGCCTGTCAAAGTAATTGTGATAAATAATGAGTGGATTGTTTGTATAAATGATATTAGCGTGCATGTTTTTTTCATCACATCTTATCATACGACAGAGATGATATCTAAAAGTGTCTTCAGTAATAACAAATATATTTCATACGTGTGTCATATGCTAAAATATTTTAATATCTTTCACGAGTGCACAGGACGAGTGAAATATACAAAACATATTAAACACATGAGTGAAATATATTTGTTATTACTGAAGACACTATCAGATATTCTATTTAATACATTTTCAGTATAAAATCACGAAGCTGACTATGCTTTTTGCGGACACTACTCACTCATCATAACTTCGCAGTATGAAAATTGAAATGAAAGTTAACCATAGAAATGAATGTCGTGTTACTATTTCGGTCAACAACCCTTTCAGGTTTCTAGTTTTTCAGGGTTTTCTTGTACATTGCTTTATGATTTGTTAGTTTTTTTTTAAAGATGATTTCTCTTTTCATTTGTATAAGTCAGCAACAGTATTATTTTTCACTAGTATATTTTTATAATAACACTTTTTAATGTGATACTTCTCTATATTTCACTAGCAAAAATTTGATAAATACTAATAATCCGCACCTTAAAAGTCCATGAGAGATGAAGAAATGGCTATAGAATGTATCAGAGTACATGTATAAGCAATTAATCAACAATAACATAAAGGTTACAGAATCATTTTTCTATCAAAACCTATCAATACACAAGTGGTATGTTTTAAATCATACTTTGATACAGAATTTCAGCACCGGCTCGATTGAGGTCAGCCGCCCTCGAACACAAACTTGTTATGTATGTTTTATCAATAAGGTGTATCATAAGAGACACTTACATGTAAAGAGCTCACTCAGATTACATTTGTATTGTATATTACATTATGTTACAATATACTCAATAAGTGACTCATTTGGTCTATGCTCTTGTAAGTGAAATAGGGTGTCGTATATACAAGTGTCATCCGTTTATGCTTTTGATTGAGATTGAGTGTCGTGTTCTAATTAAAATAAAAGTTAACTTAAATGGTTGTAATAATTCATTTAATCAACTATATGTATACCTTATATGTAATATACTGTTGATATATTTAATGTGTTACGTATTGATGGACCCATAGACTCTATATATAATGTATATGAAAACCCTCGCCAAAATGCAAATTACATTTAATATTCTAAGACACTGACCATGTATTCTCTATTTAATGTACAATAGTGCTTTTGGTGCCTCATAAGTCGATTAACTTTGGCTGGACATTGATTTAATTTTTAATGTTTTATTCATTTTATCATGTATGTAGATCAATATGTGACACTTAAATAAAATAAATGGTCATTATATTATTTTTACTATTATTAACTAATTTAACCATTAGGCTAGCCAGGTGAAGCTGTGGGCTGAATAGTTGGTACTAGGGGTCTGTGTGACACTTCATTGTGGTTCTATGTCTTGTGTTTTTTATTATTGTACTAAGGATCCTTTATAATATGCACCATTAAATGCATCATATTGCAGTTAAGCTCAGTGACATACCCCCAGAAGCCATTGTGTTCAGTATCGCTTAGTGTTCGCATGTCGATGACAGTGATCAGTACGGGGGCTCAGATATAGAATTTTCAATGTATAACGAGTAGGTGACAGCAAGAAACACAGCGAGTGATATATTTAACTGAATATTTCGTTGGTAAATAAACATGTATTTAACTCATAATAGGTAATTTTTACTTATATTTGGTAAACATTAGAATTAACGTCTACACCTGAAGTTGATTGATGAAACCAAACGATTATTAATGACAACACAACAGATAAAGTTATATGAAAACACTGAGAAAGAAGGAAAGAATAATACCTAACTTTAGTCTCTGAAACCAGGGGCGTAGCTAGCCCAGCAGAAAAGTGTAAGCCTAGGCAAGGGGTCTGGGGGCCGCCTAGGCCCCAAGAGGGTCCAGAACAGAGTCCTGGTGGGGGATCAGGGGGGCGAAGCCCCTCCGACGGAAAATTAATTTCATGATTAATCAGATGTACTGGTAGATAGGGGTATATAAAAACTCAAACACAGGTTTGGGCCAAAAGTAACCAATATTTTATTATTATGTAATATTATGTAACATTACAAAATTATATATCTGTGGACAACACAGTCCACAAATAATGAAATACTGGTCTTCTGCTAAGAGACAAATACAACTAATAACTACAACATAAAAGATATAATCTAAAGGGATGGGTGGGATGGGTGTTTATCATTCAGGATTCTAAAGCCCTGTCAGTGCTGGAGGTGGGACCTGGTCACTCCACAGTGCTCTGGAGACTGTGGCTGGGCAGGTCAGTGCAGCAGTGTAACCTACAAACCTCCTAGGTTGTCATTGGCTAAACCTGTCAAGGTGAGGAGGTTAATGGCTGACCATACAAATCCCCATTATAGGCACAATGTTTCTCAATGGTCCCATTGCCCCAAACTTGACATGCCAAATGTTAGCCCTGACCCCCGGATAACCGACCTGATAAAAGTTGGGGCAATCTGACAAGAATGACACTCCATCCCACCTCATTAATATTGTATTGATAACTTAATACCTACATTTCAAAGATGTTTTGAATCGTTTTCTGAGACAATTTTTTTTTTAATTTCTTCAACCCCTGATTAAATAAAAGCTAACTTTCTGTTCTTTTGATTCGCGACAATGTCCATAACAATTTCCGGATCTTGGTTACCTGTACCTTCGGTCTTTGATGTGTCACTTTTAGTGTGGTCACTCGATTCGACTTTATTTTGTTTGAAAAACTTGTCGATCGACGTCTGTAATCCAGAAGCCTTCTTCATTTTGAAAATTTGCACTTTAACAACATTATGATCGGAAACGTTGAAATGATAGTAAGAAGTAGAATAGTATGACGTGTATAAAGTTCCGGAAAGCAATGCACTAGGCCTAGTTATTCAACAATTTTCTATTTTTAATTTCTTATTTATCAAAAAGTATTAGATATTTATTTTCAACCTTAGTTTTGTAATTTTGTCCGACATACTCTATGCACAGATTTTTTTGTGTGTAAGCCTGGGCTTTGCTACGCCCCTGGAAACCCAACTGGATTGTTCCGTTTCATGTGGCCATGGAATTAATACCACATATATTCTTATACGTGATGATATTCATTACCATATTACGAGGACACTAAAACCTATAAATTGAAAGTATATAAGATTCTTAGTACTCACGTGTAAGCCGTTCGAGGTTATAGTCTACGATACACACTGCACGTACCCTGACAGCTATCTGTTCGGTGTCCACGTGATTAATATTAGGGACGTGTGCAGAATAACTAGGAATCGCCAGTGAAGAAGGCAAGTAAGTAATACGTTAGTTGCTATGTACTGTTAGTTGATGAGTATTTATTTGGTTATTGGAAGGTATAGAAATAATGGAAGGTAGACAGTGTTAAAATACACAATTATAAATATGCATTTTGTGAATCAATTCGTATGCCCACAGTCACGAGAATTTCTGAAAACACAAAACGAAAGCAAAGCATTCCAAGAAGACATTAAGAAAGAAACACAGTAGTATTCTTATGTAAACCGTCTACCGGACTAAAGATATTGACAACTAGGAATCCCTAGTGAAGAACGCCGGTAAGTAATATGTTATTTACTAGTTGCTGAAGGTATTTGTTTGGTCATTGAAAGGTAAAGAAATAATGGGAGGTAAACAGTTGTAAAAACACACGATGATAAATATTCACTTTGAATGCCCGCAGTCACGACAATTTCTGAAAACACAAACCGACAGAAAATTATTCCAGGAAGAAATTAATGTAAATTTGATAGGTGTTAAAATAACGAGGACGAACACCGGTTCCGGTTCCAGTTGTTTATTCGGTTTATCTAATTATAAAGACCCTACAACATAGAACACATAAAGCACATAAGCACGATCCCTTATAATACATGTAACCCATGTGTCCACATGTGGTATTTTAATAACCATGTAGCATAGATGCATACTCAGGTATCATTGTAAATGTCCTTGTTACTGTTTTGTGAATGTGCACGTGACGTTACTACGTGACATGTTGTTTACGTCTCATGTATTGTCCAGTGGAATGTGTGGTATGTGGCCGAACTAGTCCGACGTGACATGGACTTCAACGTGAACGCAACTCAGCACTTCTAACACCTGCATTTGTACTGCATGCTAATTGCATTCTCCACACCTGTTTACGTCACTTCCTTTGGTTTTCTTTCTATCTGTCTCTCTCTGTCCTGGCACTCTACTGCTGGACGTCAGCGCGAGCGGTCCAGCAAGATCATATATCATACACATATACTATACGTATCACTTCGTATGGTGCGGGGCCAGTGAAGCCTGGTAAGTTGACAATGCTGTGGAAGTTGATTGTATCCGGCGCGTTCGTGATTGGTGAGTGTTTGTTTCGAAAGAGGCTTGGAGTCTAAATGTTTGTCTTGTCTTTTCAGGTTCTTTTTCCCTTCAGAAATAAATCATCGAACAAATTTGAAATCAGAGTGATTTGTATCTATATATATATACCCAAGCACACCCCGGTGACATACATATCAATACATTAAATATCACACATAATGTACATTATAGATCATATCACAGCTGTCATTATCTCAAAAGGGAGTTTACTATACACAATGTATATCTACTTGTAGTATATGGATACAAACGGGTAATACTTTGTAAATATAAAAAAAAAGGAATATAGCGATGCGCTATAGCCACGTACGTTATACATTATTAAACTGCATTTAATAGAACGTTATGCTACAAACAATATGCAAAGTGAAAACCTACCCCAACAATGGGTCAAGGGTCCTAAAGTAACATAGGGCTCATTAATCACATGAATATCATCAGGATCGTAGACGATCAACTGTAATAAAAACAACGCATATATAAGTAATTAAACAGTACGGGTCATTGAGTATTTGTTTTGCATAAAACTACACAAGATCGACGATATTATTGGCGTACACAATACACGCGGATTTTGATAAATAATTATCAATATCATTACAAATGATGTTACACAAGATATATAACACCATTATCGATCTTTCAAAGCAATATATAAAAATATAACTTACAATTTAAGGGACAAACGCCTCAAATGTCGAACGGAGGTTTGAAACGTCCGTACTGGTCAACGTCCCCTTTGTCCACTAAAAAACCCGCCAAATACAGACAAAGACCAAAGAACGAAAAACGACAATAACTGGACATACGTAGACACACTACGTCACATAGGTGAACTGGACATATAGACGCAACATATATACATACATCTTAACGATAACAGTCGACGCGAAAATTCAAACAACGCGACGCTAAACAACGGCGGCCAAACTTAGCTAAAAACCGACCCTATTACATTAAGAAAGAAACACAGTAGTATTCATATGTAATGTATGAAAACCTCTACCGTACTAAGAAATGGATAATTATGATTTGACAAGATGTATACATAGTGGACTCAATGCCGTCCAGTGGAATGCCATACTATTTACTTGTCACATTAGTTTCCACGGACCCCTTAATAATCGATCAAGGTAGCAATGCTACGTTGATGAGTTGCAACCAAACAAATATATAAATGTATTGAAATGTGTTCATACTATGAAATGTATCTATTGTTAGTGATCAGTGAAAAAAAACAGTATTATTCTGAAAGATATCAAAATAAGACCTCAAATTCTCTCACATGAAATGACAGACATGTGTATCGGAATTGTGCCACTTAACCACAGAGACGCTGGAGTTAGCCTAACAGTGGCCCAGAAGTGCATAACTTTTACATAAAATCAGCTTTCAGAACGGGAATATCATTTCGATGCAAGATAAATATGACGTCATAGATTCTTTGCATAGTTACATTGCACTGAGGAGCAGCTAAGCTGTGAAAACGTTACGCAAAATGCTAACTTAACTTTTTCTTGTGTTTGTTTTTTTAACAATTTTCTTATATATAAATATATACACATAATCATTTCAGGAAATAGTAGATATCTGTGTCTATATGGGCACCTTTTCTAAAGGGTAAGATTAAAGGATTTATTGTTTTATCTTTTTTCATCATTTCTTCCTGAAGATTTTTTTCATATCACAAACTTTTCAAATAAGGTTACTTTCTCATATGCCAGCCTCACTTACTGATTCAAACCAGTATGCAGTGTTAAACGTGATCGTTATAAAATCATATTTTTTCTAATAATTCAACCCTATAGCGACAAAGGAAAAAGCGTTAATTTAACTGTGTAAGAAAACAATATGTCCAACACGTGGACATCACATTTCCATTACTATATCATTTTACCTCTTTATACAGATTTGAGTTGTACGCAGATTTGAGTTTTTTTGTGTTGTATTTAAATCACGGAAAGGAGGGTGGGGGTAACGTATGTGGCATCAGGTAAAGGCCATCCGATGTCCTTCAAAACGAGAGGTTTAAATTCCCCTAATCTACCTTTATTGCATGGTAGTCATGCTACGGCTATGTTACTTATTGGTGTAGTCACCAGATACAGTCCTCATATCAAGAAATCGCGGGCTTTCAACAAAAGAAGTTCACCTCCGTTATCTCCCCTTTTTACTGAAAAACATTGGAAACATGGCGTGCGATAGAAGTCTGTCTGAAAACTTCAAGACCAAAACGCAACACCTCGATCAAAAGAGAAGGTGTGTCAGTGGGTTCCTACGAGTAAGTACTTTGTAAGTCATGATAATAATTGTTTATTTTGTGGCGAGATAATCAGGAACACAGATAATTATGATAATTAATTTGGAGACGTGACCGCGGCCGGTGCAGATGCAAAAATCAACCCACTTAGATAACAAATTTTTGCCATTTAGAGGTTTAAAATATTCCTATAGAATTAGAAAAACAAAACCGGTTGAATTTTATGGAGAAATTCGAGAGAAAACCTGAACGGGTCATATTATGCAGTGTCTGCTTGAAACCAGATCACAACAAAAAAAAAGTTGTATCCATGAGGGGGGATCAGCATATTAAGTGAATTTGATTGGCTTCAATTCAACATTGTTATCATACACTTTAGCCTGTGAGCATTTGTTTACTGAATTGTCTCGAGTCTTACTGTTCACTGTTATATTGGTCTTCGAAGAATTTACTGGCGATCACTTTTGTTTTCAAATCAGCAAATAGCTAAGGATTATCATTTTAAAGGGTTTTTTTTATGTTTTTAGTTGTTCCATTGATATATTTTGTTTATTTATTGTTTATTTTGGTGGACATTCCTGTGCCTGTCAAGTTTTTACATCTTGTCTTGTCTGAAGATATTTTTGAACTTCTGCGGTGCTTATTTGATTGATCCTAACTGAGGTTTGTACCTGGTTATAGTAAATGTTTAATTGGTCAATACCTGGGGAGTTAATGACCAAAGTGTGTACCTGGTTATAGTAAATGTTAAATTAGCCTGCAATGTATAATGTTTTCTTAATTGACATGATGTAATGAATTGTGTAATTGTGACAAATGATTAATTTTATACATTAAACTAATTTTCTACAAATAAAATGTCCTGTTTCATCTGTCGATGCTCTCAAAACGGACTTGTGCAAGTCTATATAAAAGTTAAAAGATATCAGAAAATTTGAAGAACAACAGAATTCACATTTACAGTAGATAAATATCGTTTCTTTTACTTCTCAATCACTGAAAATACGAACATGTACAACAACAATACACACACAGATGAATGGTACCTAATCTCGAAGGCATCATATTATGTGTGGGCACAAAATTGCCTTTACACCGAAAGGTTTTACGGGCAGTTTTTTTGAGAATTACGGAGTTTATTTTCGTGATATGGCCTTGAAACCTGATTGGCTTTCAAGGAAAAACTTTGGATGATGTCATAACAAGCGTAATAGCTGATTGGACAAGGCAAAACTTAGGGAATCCTTGAAAGTTAACGACGTCATCTCTTTCATCACTGGATCGTTACATAGTCTGTTGCAGCGCAGTGATTTGAAGTAAAAAATACGGCATTTTTATTTCAGCTTGCTATCAGTCAGTGTATCAGAGTGAAAGAGCAGAGTTTCTTTGATGATATTCCGAACGTAATAATATAACTTTAGCTTTCAAGTGGAGGGATTCCGATTAATGCATCTAATCTGATGCCATTTCGCTGTGGTAGTTGGTGGGCGGGGCTGAGATTCTCCTCCAAGGGCAGCAACTCGTGTTGTATGATGAATATTTGTTGATATGACAAGGAGACCTCACAGTAAAATAATCTTG